ATAGTGTAATATAGAGATTATAGAAGTTATAAAAGTCATTTGCAAAGCAAGGAAAAAGTGAAAATTGTGATTGGATATCTATAAACAACTTACCTCCGTAGAAATAAAGTTATCGGATAATTTACGTCTTTTGGCATCCCTATCTTTATCCCTTGTCTTTTCTCTGTCCCCATCGCTGATTCTACTTCTGTTTTTATCTTTAGAAGATCTTATGGCAAAAGACATGGTGAGAAGATTTTTAGTGTGTGTTGTTGAACAAAATGTTGTCTTAAGTGAAGAGCTTGACAGTTAGTGGCACATGTACTGCCTCGTCAGGGTTATTCACGTAATCACTATGCTCTGAGCGTTTGGGCGGAGCTTAGAGTGGCGCTGCAATCACCATTTACACGCAATCCTATAGAAAACAGGACACGTCCTGTCAAAAGCACTAGCGTCGGCCGCTCGAACTAAATTTTTTCTTATGAGAATTAAAATTTAAAAACTGTAAACATGAGTAACGCCACGCTGGGCTAACGCTCGGGGCCATTAGTAGGGCGGAGAGAGTGATTATTATTGTAGCACACGGCCATGCGACACGGCGAAGTCAATCTCAACACCAGAGGGCAAGTCAAGTTTCTTTTACGATGTTTTAGTGATAATGTTTTAAAATTTTTGAAGTGAAACTTTTTAACTAAAACTAAATGAATTCTTATATTCAAATTTCATGTGTCGGCATAGAGGGCCGTTGTAGCTTTTGTTATATCATAATATTATAATATGCAAAATAAAGTGCATGAATCATCGTGCGTTGTTATGAGTTTTCAAAAAATATCGCCGAATACTTTTTAAATCGATAAATGTTAGTTTAGATTTTGTGTCGATACGGTAAAATGTGAAAAATAATCAAAATGATCAAAATAGGAATTTTATGCGCGTCATGTTTCCACATTATTCTGAGTGTGTGCCTAGTTTATATAGCGTAGCTGCGTAAATCAATGCGTCGAGGCTACTGCACGTGAGAGACTACTTCCACTCTTTTTGTGAATTTATAAAAACGTTTAACTAACGTTTAAAGTTTAGTACATTTCAGTTAATACTCAATACTCAAGAGACAAACTGATACGTTCTGCACCACCACTTTCTCAACCAATCAGAACGCTTATAAACTGTTGACACTTTGATCGATGCTTTTTATAAAAAATGATGATGATAAGCTCGGTTTATCCCTTTCTAGTTACTAATGCTTAATTCTTCATTAAAAATTTTTTGTTGTGTTTTTAAACTAAAACTTTTATAGGCGCGTTGGGTATTAGCAAGGGATATATAGGTAGTAGTTTTTAGAATAATCGAGGTATTCATTAATTGTTCATTAATTGTTTATTTAATTTTTCAAGTTGAAAATTGATGATTAAACGAGCTTCAAATTAACCATAAGTGAGATTTTAATCAAATAATATCAAGTATCTTATTGATATATTGACATTAAAGTTGTCGTATACGATAATGATAATTTTAAGATCTAATACACCATTAAAATTTGAAGACGAATTTTTGAAAAAAGATGGATTAAATTCGATTATTATTATAATATAATACAATTCGATTATTATGTATAAATTATGACAATATCATTTTACTCACTTTTCCATACGTCTGAAAGTTGAGTTCTGCTAGTGGTCCAGCTGGAACGACCAAAGTTTTCGATAATCTTAAAATGAACATTTGAAAGTATTTTCTTGCTTTTGGTGGATAATCATACCAGTTGCAACCGTAACTAAATGTTTTTTACGCATAAAAATGAATAATCGGTTTTACACTAATTACAGCAAAAAATTTACCATGAGTTATATACATAAGAGTTGCCATTCACTATTTTTTGGCTCGGTAAACAGATGAAAAATAAACAAATTGTTGATAAAAAAAATGGACAAAACATTCTAAAAGCTTCAGCTTCGTCTTTTTTTGATAAAATCACCATCTAGATGAAAAATTCAAAATAAATAGGGTTTAACATAAAATTGCCATTGAAAAATAAAAGTCATTACGTACCCAAAATGCAGATATAACAAGACACATTGATGTCAGCGTCAAAATTACGAACATAATTGGTCTGGCGATTTGATTATGTAGTTTCATTATTCTAAAACATGAATTTATAAATTTTTATACAAATAATCGTATAATTCATATGATGAATATATAAAAGATTATAAAGAAAAGAAAGATAAAAAAGATTTTATATCATATAATAAATATAAAATTGATATATGGGCAATTTTGAGTGAAATCGAAAGGCCAAAAAAAAATTTTCTGCCAATATGAAAAGATTGTTGTTTCTGATGCCAGAAATGTTCCCAAAAAAATTTAAAAAATGTTGTTTAACCTTCTATTAGAGTTTCTTTCAGAGTCCCAAAATTTGCCATTTTGGCATTTTTTCGAAATTCACTAAAAATCGCCAAAAAAGGCCCTTAATTGGTAAAAAAAAAACGTTCATTTTTTTATGTTTTTCCACGTTTTTTAACGCTCATTGATTTTTACAGTCCGTTACACTTCGACGCCCATTACAAAACTTTATAAAGTGGTAGTTGATTTTCAGGAAACGTTTTATATGGTTAGCTTCTAGTTTTGGGAATAAAAGTCCGGATCGAACACGATTAGATTTCGAGTCTTTTGTTTGACTTACCCTACACTGAGCAAAATGGTCAACTTTGGACCTCCGAAAAAATTGTCTATAATTTTTTTGGAACATTCCTGACATCGGAAACAAGTTTTTCATATTTGCAAAAAAGTTTTTTCCGATTATTCGACATCGCTGAGAATCAGGTGTAATACATTTGCGTTGAATAGTGCAGGCTGGCAAACCTTCTCGTTGGTAAACTATATTTTTTAATTTTGGGGTACTCAACTCTATAACACGCTGATGATTTCGAATCATATCAGTCACTTCTTTACAAATTATTTCAGATATTTCCTCTTCTACCATCCGACCGCGATTTAAAGGGTAAAGGTACTGTTTGCCTTTCAACTGCTGTGCTTGGTGCCTAAACCAATTTAATCATTAAAATTTACAAATGTGTTTTATAAAATAAAAAAATAGGTCGTCAAAAAAGCTAATAAAAAGCATTCATTAGAATTTCAAATTGCATTGTAAGATTTAAAGTTTTACCCTGAACGAATAACCTACCCTAGGCATCTCAATAAAAATATTATGTAGGATGCACCAAACCATTGGGCACAATTCAATCCATTCAAAACGAATGAATAATTAAGTAATGTAATAAATTGTGCAGAATAAAGAGTTACAAAATATTGATCCTCATCCAAGAAAAACTCTGTTTGCATTGGTAAATGTTTAAGATGAGTGTGATTACTAGATAATACATGTATAATAAAATAAGGAGTAATAATTGGAACACAACTGTAAATAACCATTAGCGAAGTTATCAGAACTGTTGGAAAATTTTGCAACATAATTCATTGAGATACATTATAATGAATACAAATTAGACATAAATGTAATCTTTTACGATTAAAATTTAAACTACAGAAGATGATACTTACTCGATTGAAAAAGTATGAATGAATAAATTTTTCTCCCTATTTTCAATAGTAATACTCTCTCATCAGGCTTTAATTCTTCTACTTGTAATAGTAGAGAGTATGTCATTTCTTTCATCTACATAAAAATTAAACAAATTTTGAATCCTTTTTCAATTTATGATATTTTTTTCTTTTTTTTTTTTTTTGAGAAATCAACCTCATTTTCCTTGATTATTGTGATAATGTAGCATATCAACCCTATGGAGAAAGCTATAATTTGTAATAAAATCTCGATCAAAATATTTTGTTTAGAGTCAATATTGGAAAGCAACGCCGTGAGAAACTTCAAGATCTAAAGGATCAAATGTAAATAAACATTATTGATAAGAAATTAACATTTTAGTAAAAACATTAGTGTCTTAATTGATAAGTTCAATGATTACCGAGCTTCCCAAAAATATTGCCATTGACGAAGAAATTAAAAATCTGCCAATTGTTTTTCCATTAAAATTCATAAATGGCCATAAACAAGTGAGACATAGAATTTTTTTGGTCCAATAAAAATTACAATCAACCAACTCATTTGCTTTATCATGTAAAAATTTTACAGTCTTTTGGTCCGAAATAAAAGCTTTATCGAGCATGATTAATAGATATGCGAAAATGCTTGTTTGTCGTGAAGAAGTGTAACAATCGGAACTATTTACTGCAAAAAATTGCCATAAAATTTGAGTAGATATCTTAATGCATTTGCATTCTGCGCGTTACGATAAATTTCTATGACCTACCAAATAATTCATGCATATAAATAACAATACTGACGGTCATGGTTTAGTTCAATTTTTGTGAATTATTTAATATACTAGTTTTACTCGTACTTTTATTTCTTTAATACATAATTTTTTTATATTTTCATTTGTCATGTGTAACACATTTAAGCGCATTTATAATATTTATTAAATAAAAATAACTTGATTTTAATAAGATATTTATAATCATATCATGTGGTTGTGGGTTCAATGTATAAAAACAAAAATTCTGATGAATATACCTCGAGCATTCCCTAAAAAAGTTTAAGGGACGGCAGAGGTGTGAAAATGCCCGCGTTCAGTTCAAAATTTATGCAGCACATCTTCGAGTCGTTAAAAAGGCATTCTAAAAATTTGGACGCAATCGGTTGAACGGTTATTGGGATATCGTGTTTGCAAAGTCGTTCTGTTTTTTAACAATAGTAGGACCCTTTGCTTCGCTCAGCTGGATGAAACACCTTTATCGACGTAAACCCGCGAGAAACGAGCGTCCGTCCGAGCGCAACTTTGGTAGCATTAGCCGCCGAGACTTGCCGCGCGTACGACTGTGTTTACGTATGCGCGCGAGGCAACATCAAAATCATGTAATTATAGTTTCCGAATTATACAGCTGTAATATTGCGATGTGAGGTATTTTTTATCAATTCATTCGACAAGTGAGAGCAAGGCAGATCGTTTGAATTATCAAAAATGATTTATTTATCCAAAATCGAAGTCATATCAAATGTGTTTGTACATCGTACGTACAATCGACGTAAAATTTATCGCAAGAGTAGTATATACAATTTCATATCAACGGAAATATAAACAAAATCTCGATCGATCGCGCAGCTCGTCAAAACAAAATCATACAAGGCTGAACCAGTCGCTAATTAATTCATACAAGTAATTCAGCATGGCGTCGATCTGGTCCTCCGGCTCTTGTTGCCGCGGCTTGACGGCCGTCGTCGATACGCTCCCCTCGGGTATCTCGTTGAAGCACTTGGTCCAAAACTTGAACTCCTCCGTCTTGTTCTCTGGCTGCTGCTGTCGCTGCAGCTTCCTCCTCTTCCGAACCTTGCGATCGTCCTCGAAGTCCTCGTAGCAGACCTCGGTCAGACAGTAGCGTCCGGGTCGGTCCTGGAACAGCCGCACGTCGGACCTCTTGGTGGCGCGATCGCACTCGAGCTTGGAGAAGGTGTGCGAGCGATTGACGTTGATGCCCCGATGATCGATCCGCGACACGAAGTGTACGTGCTTCTGGTCGGGCTTGCACGAGGCGTCCTGGCAGTTGGCCGTGAGCAGGAGTATGCCCTGCTGGCCGGGCAGATTCAGCATGGACATCTCCGCCCAGTGGCGGTAGGGATACATCTGGAGCTCCTCCTTGAGGATCGGATAGCCTTTACGATCCCACTGGTTGCAGTCGGCCCGATATTGGCCGTTGCCGAGGGGTATCTTGGCGCAGACGCCGATGCGATTGTTGCTCGTCGAGTAGGCCACGCGCTCGTACGGATCGATCTTGTTCGGCTTGCTCTCGAGCTCGCCGTCGACGACCACGTACTTTTGCAGGCCCAGAATCTTGAGGTCGTGATAGACGATCGAGACTCGCGCCACCGTCTGTTTGCGCCGCTCCATCCGATAGGTCTCGATGAGCAGGTAATCGCTCTTGGGATTCTTGTCGTCGAGCGGCGCGACGATCATGCGATCGTCGCGGTCCACCTGCTTCTGCCAGAAGAACGGGCCCGCGTCGACGTCGAGGCGCTCGTTGAAGCCGACCCACAGCCTGATCACGTTGTTCTGGGCCTCGGGCGGCGTGTACCACTTGCTGTCCTTGCGCTCGCTGTACACGATGGCGACGAACCAGTTCTCGAAGACGACGAAGGTCAGCGGCTGCAGATACCTGAGTCTGCGCGGATCGGCCTCGTGCAGCGAGCAGTCGCCGAAGTGCACGACCTGCAAGCGCCACTTGTTGGGCGAATCGGCCGGCAGGCTGGGATCGCGCCAGCTCAGTATCACCTTGTCGTCGCCCAGGAGGCGCAGTCTCGTGTGGGCGGGATCTAGGCGGCCCGCGCTCCGGCGATTGGTCAAGAGGGTGACGGGGCACTTGTCCTGGTGGCCGAGGCCGTCGTCGCGGTACACCTCGCACTGGATGAACTCGCTCAACGAGCCCGGCTCGGGTCGCTGCTGCGGCTCGTCGCACTGGAGATACGCCCGAGTCCTGTTCTCGTACGAGTGCCGGTCGAAGATCAGATACTTGCCGGCTGGTGCGACGTGGTTGATACGCGATGGCGGGATTCGGATGCTCTCGGGATAGAAGAATTCGTAGGTGTTCATCCAGAAGAAGAGCACCATCGCTACCGTTCCAGCGCCAAACATGGTGATGTCTGCCAACCAGAGACAGAGAGAGAGAGAAAAGAAAGTAAGAAGAAAATGACGGATTATAACGGATTCGAGTCTGCCGCGGATCGTCGTTTCGCGAATCGGTGTATACGGCTTACCTTTGTTTACTTGGGCTGCGCGCGTATACTGTCGATAGCGACTGTCAGCGGTCGACTGATCGTGAGCAAAGTTGACTGAGCCGTATTGTGTGTGTAGACCGAGTGGGATATATCGTTCCTGCTTCTATGTTAATTCGAATGGGAAAGTGTTGATTTTCTTAAGCAGCGTCGATATACAGCAGATATATAGGGCGGTAAATAATTTTAAATAACGAGACAAAATTGATTTGGTTATTAGAGCTGCGATTGACATTCGATTTTTATTTTTATCGGTGTAGAACTCGTAAGATCGAAACCATCGTTTTCAATAAACAGATTTGTTGAAAATTGGCCAATTTTTCAAATTTAAGACCTGCAAATAAGACGATTTTTCTACCAATATTTGTAAGGATTTATGCTTACTTAATTTTATAACGAATGCAAAAAATTAATTCAAAGTTGTACAAAATTCAGTCAACATCCCAACGTAAGTCGCTATGCATGCAATTAGCTGATGACTATGAGTATCCACTGCGGCAGTCGTGAGCCAACGAAAATGTTTAGTTAAGTTTGAACATTTTTCTTGGTGGCGACAAAAAAAGTCCACGGTGTTCTAGCAAAAGGTAAAATAATCATCGTAACTAAAATATTTTTGTTAGGTCAACGAGTTTCGTTGTCACAAACAATATGTTAATACCACATATTACGATTTTTTTCGCGTGTATACGTATGCAGATTCAAAATCCGAAAACTAGCTTCAGTCAGGTAGATTCGATTAATAGCAGTTTTTATCCTAATTAATATTATCTTAATTAATTCATCTTATAAGTATGTGATGCAGATGGTTTCAATTGTTGAAAATTATTTATTTATTCCAATTGACGTCAGGTTAAAAATGTGTTCGTACACCTTGTACATACAATTAATTTAAAACTCGTCGTTAGTGTATATAAAATTATATATCAAACGGAAAATAAACAATATTTCAATCAAACACAGTGTCCGTGTTACATGTATTATAGCGAAAATTTCTCCTAGTAGAAAACGCTATATTTTACCGCCATTTTTGTAGAGCTTTTTTTAATAATAATAATGGTCATTAAATAGTAAAATATGGCGGAAAATGTAGCTTTTCTACCAGGATCAATTTCCTGAAATTTCGCTCCTGCCGCGCTGCTCTATCTACGGCCCCCGAAGTAGCCGCGGCGCAGATGAAAACACCTCGTGTGGAACTTGAACTCCCTCGTCCTGTTCTGAAACGGATTTTTAAGCACGAAGAAGTCCTCGTAGCAGGCCTGACTGATGCAGTAATCTCCCTCGGGGCCATTCAGGAAGAGTCGCGAGTCGGCCCTGTTGATCCTCCCGTCGCACTCGTACTTGTCGAACCTGTGGGCAAAGACGTCGACGTCGTCGTTGCGGTAACGATCGATCCTCACCACGTGGTGGCGCCGATTTTTCCCCACGCACGTGGTGTCCTCGCACTCGGCCACCACCACGAGCATACCCCCGTCGTCGGGCAGATTCGTCACGGCCATCTCGTTCGCGTGCTGGAACGGCGCCGCGGTGACGTTGTTCATCCACTGCCGGCCGCGCCGATCCCACTGGGCGCAATTCAACTCGTGCCGGCCCGGCTCGGTCCAGATCTTGGCGCAGATGCCGATGCGACCCTGGCTCGTCGAGTAGGCGATCCGTTCGTACGGATCGAAGGCCTGACCCTGGCGCGAGTCCATCAGCACGAATTCGCCCAGCTCGAGCCTCGTTCCGTTGTGCTGGACTATCGAGGCCCCGGCGTGCAGATTACCGTTCCAGGAGAAGATTTCGATGAGCAGTTGGCGGCTCGCGGGATCGTTGTCCTGGAGCGGCGCCACGATCATCCCGTCGTCTCTGAGGTTCTGCCTCAACCAGAAGAAGGGCCCGGCGCTGATGTTGAGGCGATCGTTGAAGCCGACCCAGCACCTGGGCACGTCGAAGATCTGCAAAGGCTCGTGGTAGCACTTTGTGCCACGCTTCTCGCTGCTGACTATGGCGACGAACCAATTCTCGTAGACGACGAAATTCACCGGCCGGAGGTGCCTCAGCTGTTTGGCTGGAGCTTCGTACAGCGAACAGTCGCTCAAGTGCACGACGAAAAGTCGCCACTTGTTCGGCGACGTCACCGACACGGTCGGATCTACCCAGCTGAGGATGGCCTTGTCTTCACCAAAGGGCCTTACCTGCATCGAACCGGGTCTGATTATACCGGCGCCTCGACGACTCATTTTCAGTGCGATGGGACACTCGTGTCTTCGGCCCCCGGGATCGTCGTGGTATACCTCGCACTTGATGAATTTCTGTGATCCATTGCCCTTTGGCTGGATCATCGGCTCCTCGTCGCAGACGACGAACACCCGACTGTCGTTCTGGTAGGAGTATCGGTCGAATATCAGGTTCCGGTTCGGATAGCTGTACTGGACGAGGGAGGTAGCATTAAGTTCGGTGGGGTCGACAACGAAGCCTCTGTAGAGGATGTAGTAGATGGCCTTCCCCAAGAAGAGGCCAGCGATTAATTGCCCTATGGCCATTGTCTGTGGAACAAAAAAAAAACTAGTTAGAAAATGACGGGGATGTTCGTCGGATGGATCGTTATCAATCGGCGAGCTACGCTAATTACCTTTGTTTACTTGGTGTGCACTGCGTAAATAGCGAGTGTGAGCTGTCGACTGATTGAAAGCAAAATTGACAGAGACGTACGACTCGTACATCTTAGGGATGAGTTGACTATATAGCAGGTAAAACGACAAATAATTTTAGATCAATGTAACCGTGAATAAAATTGATTTTTGAAATTGTTCAGTTTTTCGAATTTTAGAGCTGTAAGCATTATAATATTTTTACCAGTATTCCAATGAATTATTTTAATTGCCCTTACTTAAGTTTGAAAACCAATGAAATTTTTATTAAAAATTCTTTGAGATGCATTTCAAAAAAGACAAACCAACTTGAAGTTTTTCAAAATTCTTCAGTCAAAACGCTGAAGTCTCGAGTTGAAAAGCGCTTCTCTTAACCAAAATGATTTTTTAGGACGCCAAGGAGCCTCGAAAATATTACAAGAATTTTCTTATTCTTTAACGTCACAAAAATTAAAAACGAAATTCTGAAGACCTTGGAGAAACTATGTGAGTATGATGAATGTCTTGAGATTTCGTATTAATCTATTTAATGTTCTAGATCGCATCTTTCTAAGCAAAAATAATCAGTGTGACGACCAATTAATCAAAATGTTCCCCGGGACTATTATATTTCGTGAGGTTTAAAAAAAAATTCAGTAATCAACTACATCCTCGCTCAAATCACAGTTTTATACGAAACTTAGATTCAGGATACACACAATCATTTCAGTACAATTTTTATTGGTATTTTCGAAAAATATTTGCATAAGTATCTATGCATATTTACAAATGTAAATCATTGATTATTCTTCTGAAATCTATACGAGATCATCTAAATTTCTGCTCGCAATTGTCGCGTGTGTAATCTCTACGACCTACGTGGACTGTCAATTGGTGTTTACGTTGGTGGACGTGCAAATTCGATTTTTTTCCAAATTTCCTCTCGCAATGGTCACATGCGAAATCTTTTCTACCTGCGTGGACAATATTTTGATGTTGCATTAAATTGCTGTGAATCCCAAATTTCTTATCGCATTAGTCACATGCGTAATCATGGCGACCGTCTTGTATTATCTTTTGATGGTAGAGCAAATGCGGTTTTTGAGCAAATTTCTGTCCGCACTTGTCGCATGCGTAATCCTTGCGACCCTCATGGGTTGTCCTTTGGTGCTTCAATAAAACTGATTTATATCCAAATTTCTGTTCGCACTTGTCGCATAAATAATCTTTGCGACCCTCGTGGACTGTTTTTTGGTGTTTCCACACATTGGATTTACTTCCAAATTTTGCTCGCATTTGTCACATGCATAGTTTTTGCGACCCCCGTGGATTGTTCTTTGGTGGTCAAGCCAATGCTGCCTTCGTCCGCATTTTTTTTCGCATTTGTCGCATGCATAGTCTTTTCTTTCTTGATGGACTGTTTTTTGGTGGAATAGCAAATTAAATTTTCTTCTAAATATCTTCTCGCATTTATTACATGAAAAGTCATTGCGTCTTTCATGCATTGTGCGATGGTGGTCGATCAAATGCGATTTTTTTTTTAAATACCTCCACGTTCTTGGTACAGGGAAAATCTTTCCGATCTTCGTGTACCGTCCTTCGATGAAAGAGCAAATCCGATTTTTTTCCAAATGTCTCTACGCATCTATCGCAGGCAAAATCTTTACGACCCTCATGAATTGTCTTTATATGTATCAGCAAACTCTGTTTATTTCCAAATCTCTTCGCGCACCTTTCACAAAAATAATCTTTGAAAACTTCGTGGAATATTTTATTGTGATTTATTAAATTTGATTTATTTTCAAATTTCTTCTCGCACTTGTTGCATGTGAAATCTTTCCGATCTTTGTGTACCAATTTTTGGTGCGTGAATAAACTTGATTTTTTCACAAATTTCTTATCGCACTGGTCGCATGCAAAATTACGGCTTTTGTGTTCTAATATTTGCTGTCTACTCAAATGACTTCGAAACTCGAATTTCTCTTCGCTCTTGTCACAAGCGAAATTATTTTGTTCATTGGGAATCGTGTCTGGATGGGTTCTCATGCTTGATTCTACTGTAAATGCCTCCTAAAAAAAATCACTAACGTGTTGTTTGTCGCCAGAAACATATTCAAAGTCAATTTCGTCGGATTTCTTATCACTTTTATCCATTTTAGTGTCTCAAATAAGCGATGGACTTTTCTGATCAAGAAATTGAATGAGGTAAATTTATCTTACAATGTTACGGCTTGATTTTCATACTAATTTTATTATAAATATGATCAGTGTGTCGAGGCAATACGTCAAAATAGTTCATTATCATATTGTTTACAATTGAGTTACTAATTTATAGGTGTATACATATTTTCCATACAATATTTGAACCAATGTAAAATTCTTACTTGGTGATAATTCCTACGAGAAAATCTCAACCTTCTAAAACTAAGTACTTCCAAACAAACTCTCGAAAGACAACATCGATTTCACACAGAAAACATTGAATTAATATATCTTTATATACATGTTAATAATTTCGATATTCACTTCTAAATTTGCCCTCGTGGCATGGCGTGATTGGCGTACTCCATAAACCGCGACTGTTGACCTTACAAAGAAATATAATTTGTTGGACTGATTATATTTATGAATTGTAGCTGCGATCGTCTTATACACTGTGAAAAAGGATTACCCCAAGATCATCTTAATTTTTCCTCGTATTTGTAGCATGCAAAATCTTTGGAACCTTCGTGTACTGCCTTTTGGTGTTTGAGCAAATGTGATTTTTGTCCAAATTTCTTCTCACACTTGTCACATGCATAGTCTTTACGTCCTTGATGGACCGTCTTTTCATGCAGAAGTAACGTCGATTTGCGCCCAAATTTCTTCTCGCAATTTTCACATGCGAAATCTTTGCGACCATCGTGGACTGTCCTTTGGTGCTTCAACAAATCTGATTTTCGTCCAAATTTCTTCTCACATTTGTCGCATACATAATCTTTATGACCTTCGTGTACTAGCTTTTTATGCTTGAACAAATCTGATTTGTATCCAAATGTCTGCACGCACACGTCGCATAAGTAATCTTTGCGACCTTCGTGGATTGTTCTTTGGTGGTTGAGCAAAGTCGATTTGAGCCCAAATTTCTTCTCGCAATTTTCACATGCGAAATCTTTGCGACCTTCATGTACTGCTTTTTGGTGCCTGATCAAACTCATTTTTACTCCGAATTTTTTCTTGCAATAGTCACATGCGAAATCTTTGCTACCCGCGTGGACAGTTTTTTGATGTTTTATCAAATTGCTGCGAACCCCAAATTTCTTGTCGCATTGGTCACATGCGTAATCTTGGCGACCGTCGTGTACTGTCTTTTGATGGCAGAGCAAATGCGCTTTTTGAGCAAATTTCTTTCCGCACTTGTCGCATGCGTAATCCTTGCGACCTTCATGAACTCTATTTCGATGCCGAAACAAGTCTGATTTTTTCCCAAATTTCTGCTCGCAATAATCGCATGCGTAATCTTTACGACCCTCGTGGACTGTTTTTTGATGTTTCCACACATTGGATTTACTTCCAAATTTCTTCTCGCATCTGCCGCATGCGTAAAATTTGCTACCCTCGTGGACCATTCTTTGATGTTCGAGCAAACTCTGTTTATGTCCGTATTTTTTTTCGCATTTGTCACATGCATAGTCTTTACATCCATGATGGACTGTCTTTCGATGAAAAATTAAATTCGATTTTTCTCCAAATTTTTTCTCGCAATTAGAACATTCGTAATCTTTCCGACCTTCATGGACTGTTGTCTGGTGGGAACGCAAATGATGTTTTTGTCCAAATTTCATCTCACAATTGGCGCATGCGAAATGTTTCCGAACTTCGGGAACTATTTTTTGGTGCCTTATCACACTTCTCGGATTATTAAATGTATTTTCACTCTTATTGCATGTAAAATCTGTGCGATCTTCGTATATTGTCCCTTGATCCTTTAACAAATCTGATTCATTTTCAAATTTTTGATCAACATTGTAGCATGAGAAATCTCTGGGACCCTCATGGACTGTTTTTATATGCAAAAGCAAACTTTGTTTATTTCCAAATCTTTTCGCACACTTTTCACATAAGTAATCTTTGAAAACTTCGTGAAATATTTTATTGTGCTTGAGTAAAGTTGATTTATTTTCAAATTTCCTTTTGCACTTTTTGCACGTAAAATTATTACTATCTTTGTGGACTAATTTTTGGTGTGTAGACAAACTCGACTGTTTCACAAATTTCTTGTCGCACTTGTCGCATGCAAAATTACGGCCTTTGTGTAGCGTTATTTGGTGTCTACTCAAATGACTTCGGAACTCAAATTTCTTTTCGCACTTGTCGCATTCGTAATCTTTGTATTCATTGTGAATTTTGTCTCGATGTGTCTTCATGCTTGATTCTAGTGTAAATGCTTCCTGGCAAATATCACAAACGCATTTTTTGTCGCCCAAAACAATGATGTCGCGTTCAATTAAAGCATGTCCTGAGACATCTTCTTTGGAATTTTTTTCACTTTTATTCATTTCGGTGCCTGAATCAAACGATGGTTGAGTCTATTTAGTATCACGGCAATTGAATGGGTAAATCTCATCTTTTGGTACTATGGCTTGATTCTAAAACTTATTTCACGATAAACATGATCAGTGTATCAAGGCAATATGTCAAAATAGTTTATAATCATATTGTTTACAATCAAGTTGCCGATCAATTAGTCTGTAAATCCATTAGCCTATAAAATAAAAACGAAATTCTGAAGACATTCGAGAAACGATGTAAGTATAATGAATATCTTCAAATTTCATATTAATTTATCTAATATTCAAGATTTCATCTCTCAGCAAAAATAATCAGTTTAACAATCCGTAATTTATTAAATATGTGGACTAGTGGAACATTTTGATTAATGAATTACGATTTCATTTCGTGAGGTTTATAGAAAATCCAGTAACCAACTAAATCCTCGACTCATTCATAGCTCCAAACAAGACGTGAAAAAACGTAAAACAATCAGATGATTGTTACATGAATAGCTACAGAAAAAAATTCAACAAATTCTTTGACAGTAGTAAATAAATGTACGTGAAATCTATAAACACTGCAACGTTTAGTGTACAAAGGTGTAATGATAGTTTAACACTTAGAATCAGGATTTACACAATCATTTCAGCAAATGTTTTATTGAAATTTTAGAAAAATATTTGCATAAGTGTCTACACATATTTAAAATTGTAAATCAATAATTATTCTTCTGAAACCTATCACAGGCGAAATCCTTGTGAGCTTCGTATACTATCCTTGGTGATTTAAAAAATCTGATTTACTTCTCATTAATTGCTTCCCGCATTCGTCATATGCTTAAACTTTGCAACTTTCATGGATTGTCTTTTGATGAGAGACCAAATGAGCCTTTTTGTCCAAATTTCTTCTCACACTTGTTACATGCATAGTCTCTACGTCCTTGATGGATCGTTTTGTCATGCAAAAGTAAGGTCGATTTAAGTCCAAATTTCTTTTCGCATTTGGCGCATGCGAAATGTTTTCGACCCTCGTGGACTGTTCTTTGGTGCTTCAACAAATCTGATTTTTTTCCAAATTTCTGATCACATTTGTCGCATAAGTTGTCTTTGTGACCTTCGTGTACCGTCTTTTGGTGTAAGAGCAAAATATTTTTTTGCGTAAATTTCTTCTCGCACTCATTGCATGTGAAGTCTTTGCGACCCTGGTGGACTGTCCTTTGGTGCTTCAACAAATCTGATTTACTCACACATTTCCTTTCGCAATTTTCGCATGCGTAGTCTTTGCGACATTCGTGTACCGTCCTTTGGTGGGAGAGCAAATTGCTTTTAACTCCAAATTTTTTTTCGCATTTGTAGCATGCATAATCTTTGCGACCCTCGTGGACTGTCCTTTGGTGCTTCAACAAATCTGATTTACTCCCACATTTCGTTTCGCAATTATCGCATGCATAGTCTTTGCGACCCTCATGGACTGTTCTTTGGTGGAAAATCAAATGCGATCTTTGTCCGAATTTTTTTTCGCAATTGTCGCATGCATAGTCTTTGCCACTTTCATGAACTGTCCTTTGGTGAACGAGCAAATTTGATTTTTTTCCGAATTTTTTCTCGCAGTTATCGCATGCGAAATCTTTACGACTTTCGTGTACTGTCCTTTGGTGGGAGAGAAGATGTGATTTTTGTCCAAATTTTTTCTCACACGTGTCGCATGCGTAACGACCCTCATGGGCTTTTCTTTGGTGGAAAAGCAAATGTGATCTTTGTCCGAATTTTTTTTCGCACTTGTCGCATGCGTAATCCTTGCGACCTTCATGGACTGTCCTTTGGTGCTTCAACAAATCTGCTTTACTTGAATATTTTTTCTCACATTTGTCGCATGCGTAATCCTTGCGACCCTCGTGGACTGTCCTTTGGTGCCTCAACAAAACTGATTTACTTACACATTTCCTTTCGCAATTTTCGCATGCGTAGTCTTTGCGACATTCGGGTACTGTCTTTTGATGGGAGAGCAAATGATCTTTTCGTCCAAATTTCTTTCCGCAATTGTCGCATACAAAATCTTTCCGACCTTCGTGAACTGTTTTTTGGTGCCTCAGCAAATTTCTCGGATCATTAAAATTCTGCTCACACTTATTACATGCAAAATCTCTGCGATCTTCGTGTACCGTCCTTCGATGAAAGAGTAAATCCGATTTTTTTCCAAATTTCTCTCCGCATCTATCGCAGGCAAAATCTTTGCGACCTTTATGGATTATCTTTATATGTATCAGCAAACTCTGTTTATTTCCAAATCGCTTCGCGCACATTTCACATAAATAGTCTTTGAAAACTTCGTGAAATATTTTATTGTGCTTGAGTAAAGTTGATTTATTTTCAAATTTTTTCTGACACTTGTGGCACGTAAAATCTTTCCGATCTTTGTGTACCAATTTTTGGTGTGTAGACAAACTCGACTGTTTCACAAATTTCTCGTCGCACTGGTCGCATGCAAAATTACGGCTTTTGTGTTCTAATATTTGGTGTCTACTTAGATGGCTTCGGAACTCAAATTTTTTTTCACATTTGTCGCATGCGTAATTTTTCTGTTTATTGTGAATTGTATCTCGATGTGCTATCATGATTGATTGTTGAGTAAATGCCTCCAGACAAATATCACAAACATATTTTTTGTCGTCCGAAACATCTGCAGAGACAACTTCTTCGGTTTTTTCATCACTTTTGTCCATTTTAGTGCCTCAAATAATCGACGGACTTATCTGATCAGGAAATTGAATGAGGTAAATTTATCTTACAATGTTACGGCTTGATTTTCATACTAATTTTATTATAAATATGATCAGTGTGTCGAGGCAATACGTCAAAATAGTTCATTATCATATTGTTTACAATCTAGTTACTAATTTATCGGTGTATACATGTTTTCCTTACAATATTTGAACCAATTTAAAATTCTTACTTGGTGAAAATTCCTACAAGAAAATCTCAACCTTCTAAAACTAAGTACTTCCAAACTCTCGAAAGACATCGTTTTCACACAGAAAACATTGAGTTTATATATCTTGACATAAATGTTACCCTAAGATCATCTAAATTTTTGCTCGCAATTGTCGCGTAAATAATTTCTACGACCTTCGTGGACTGTCGATTGGTGTTTGAGCAAATGTGATTTTTGTCCAAATTTCTTATCACATTTGTCGCATTCGAAATCTTTGAAACCTTCATGTACTGTTTTTTGGTGCCTAATCAAACTTATTTTTGTTCCGAATTTTTTCTCGCAATATTCACATGCGAAATCTTTGATACCCGCGTGGACAGTTTTTTGATGTTTTATCAAATTGCTGCGAACCCCAAATTTCTTGTCGCATTGGTCACATGCGTAATCTTTGCTACCTGCGTGGACAATTTTTTGATGTTTTATTAAATTGCCGTGAATCCCAAATTTCTTGTCGCATTGGTCACATGCGTAATCTTGGCGACCGTCGTGTACTGTCTTTTGATGGCAGAGCAAATGCGATTTTTGAGCAAATTTCTTTTCACACTTGTCGCATGCGTAACCTTTGCGACCTTCGTGTACTGTCCTTTGGTGCCTAAACAAATCTGATGTGCTTGAATATTTTTTCTCACATTTGTTGCATAAATAATCTTTGCGACCCTCGTGGACTGTTTGCTGGTGCTTCCATACATTGGATTTACTTCCAAATTTCTTCTCGCATCTGTCGCATGGATAGCCTTTGCTACCCTCGTGGACTGTTCTTTGATGGTCGAGCAAACACCGCTTTCGTGTGTATTTTTTTTCGCACTTGTCGCATGCATAGTGTTTACTTCCTTGATGGACTGTTTTTTGGTGACTTAGCAAATTTCTCGGATTATTAAATTTCTTTTCACACTTATTCCATGCATAATCTTTGCGACCTTTGTATATTGTCCCTTGTTCCTCTAACAAATCTGATTTATGTTCAAATTTTTGCTCAAAATTTTCGCATGAAAAATCTCTGGGACCTTCATGGACTGTTTTTATATGCAAAAGCAAACTTTGTTTATTTCCAAATCTTTTCGCACACTTTTCACATAAGTAATCTTTTAAAACTTCGTGGAATATTTTTCTGTGCTTGATTAAATTTGATTTATTTTCAAATTTTTTCTCGCACTTGTTGCATGAGAAATCTTTCCGATCTTTGTGTACCAATTTTTGATGTTTAAATAAACTAGATTTTTTCACAAATTTCTTGTTGCACTTGTCGCATGCAAAATCTTTACGGCCTCTGTGTACCGATATTTGGTGCCTACTCAAATGACTTCGGAACTCAAATTTCTCTTCGCACTTGTCACATGCAAAATTATTTCGTTCATTGTGAATTTTGTCTCGGTGTGTCATCATGCTTGACTCCAATGTAAATGCCTCCTGGCAAATATCACAAACGTATTTTTTGTCGCCTAAAACAATAATGTCACGTTTAATGAAATCATGTCCTGAACCAACTTCTTCGGAATTCTTCTCACTTTTATCCATTTTGGTGCCTGAATTAAATGATAATTTAGTCTATTTAATATCACGGAAATTGATTGAGTTAATTCGATCTTCTGGTATTATGGCTTGATGTTAAAACTAATTATACTATTTACACGTGTTGAGGGAATATGTCAAAATAGTTTATAATCATATTGTTTACAATCAAGTTGCCGATTTATCTTTGTATACATATTCTCCTTACAATAATTGAACCAATCTAAAACTATAACTTGACAAAAGTTTCTTCAAGAAATTTTTTAACTTCTGTAATTGAGTATTTACAAACTAACTCTCGACAGATAGCATCAAGTTGACATAAAAAAAATCGATTTGACCTAATTATAATAACTAATTGTAGATGCGATCGTCTTATGCACTGAGAAAAAATTTTACCCTAGGATCATGACATAGCAAAAATCAGTCAACAGCCAGCAGCCTCGGTTGATGCAGCAAACCCCCATTTTGTTCTAGAAAAAAGAACAATAGTTGTCGTATCATATTGCGTTTTTTCGAATAGTCGAAAGTTATTTATTTATCCCAATCGAAGTCAGGTTAAAAATGTGTTTGTACACCTTGTACATACAATTAATTTAAAACTTGTCGTCAGAGTATATAAAATTATATATCAAACGGGACATGAACAATATCTCAATCAAACACAGTGAGTGTGTGTTGCATGTATTTAAACGAAATCATTCAATAAACCATTTACTGAAAAATCGTTTGAAATAAAGAAAATACGAATCTTTGCTAAGCAAATCGAAGAAGCACTGCGTATGGAACTTCAACTTCCTCGACCTATCCTCGTACGATCGGTTCCCGAAATCGTCCACCGCCAACAAGTCCTCGTAGCAGACCTGGCTGATGCAGTAGTGTCCTGGCGGGCCCCTTTGAAACAGCTGCGCGTCGACCCGATTGTACCTGCCGTCGCACTCGTACTTGTCGTACACGTGGGACCGGTTCTCCATGTGGCGGGCGTAGATCTTCGACACGAAGTATTGACTTTTTCCTCCTCCTCCTCCGCCGCCGCCGCTGCCTCTGCACGAGGCGTCCCCGCACTCGGCCTCGAGAAGCAGCATGCCCTCTTGGCCGGGCAGATTCAGCAGGGCCATCTCGCGCGGGTGCCGGTATTTCACCGGTATTATCAAGTCGGTCCCCAGCAGCCGACCGCGATGATCCCACTGGGTGCATCGAAGCCGATCCTCGCCCGGTGCGAAGGTGATCTTGGCGCAGACGCCGATGCGGCCGTGGCTCGTCGAGTAGGCGACGATGCGCTCGTTGTGCCGTCCGAACTGCCGCTCGATCGCGACGGTCGTGTTCGGCCGTAACTCGTACGTGCGCAGCAGCACTGCCTTGCCGCTCTGCGGGACGATCCAGACTCGAGTGAGCACGGTACCGAGCAGTTCGACGGCCTGGATGAGCAGATGGCCGCTCGCGGGATCGTTGTCCCGGAGCGGAGCCACGATCATCCGGTCGTCCCCGAGGTCCTGTTTGAACCAGAAGAAGGGCCCGGCGCTGACGTCGAGGCGATCGTTGAAGCCGACCCAGCACCTGGGCACGTTGAAGATCTGCAAAGGCTCGTGGTAGCACTTTGTGCCACGCTTCTCGCTGCCGACTATGGCGACGAACCAATTCTCGTAGACGACGAAATTCACCGGCCGCAGATGCCTCAGCTGTTTGGCTCGTGCTTCGTACAGCGAACAGTCGCTCAAGTGCACGACGAAAAGTCGCCACTTGTTCGGCGACGTCACCGACACGGTCGGATCTACCCAGCTGAGGATGGCCTTGTCTTCACCAAAGGGCCGGACCTGCATCGTACCGGGCCTGATGACACCGGCGCCTCGACGACTCATCGTTAGGGTGATGGGACACTCGTGTTTGCGGCCCCCCTGATCGTCGTGGTATATCTCGCACTTGATGAATTTCTGTGATCCATTCCCTTGCAGGTGGATTGGCTCCTCGTCGCAGACGACAAACACCCGTGTGTCTTCGTGATAGGAGTACCGGTCGAATATCAGGTTCCGGCCAGGATAGCTGTACTGGACAAGGGAGGTAGTAGTAGGTATAGGGATATAGGGAAGGATGAGAGGGTAGAGGATTTTGTAAAAGGTCCATGACGACAGGATGATAGAAATGAATTCCGGCTTGAAATGAATAAGCATTGTCTGAGGGACGAAAAAAAGTTAACGAACTGACGGATTCGTCTAGTGGATCATTATGAATCGATGAAGTACACCAATTACCTTAGTTTATTCGATGTGTACTCTGTCAATAGCGATTGTCGACTGACTCAAAACAAAATTGACTGATACGCATGAGGGCTAAGTTGACTATATGGCAGCTAGAGAGGCAATTAATTTTAGATTGATGTAACGAAACAAAAATTAAATATAATAATCTTTTTACCGGTATTCAAATGATTTATTTAATTGTAATTACTTAATTTTTAGATCTCGGACTTTCAAAGTAAATATTAAAACTTCAAGAGTTAAAAATATGGCATTTGAATCGATAAATGAGCTTCTTATGGTAGTCGCCCACATAAAGTTGATTAGATCAAATCTGAGAGAATGTCTATTTTATACGATTGATTTTCTGACTTTTCTTTTTCTTGATTTTTCTTGATTTTCTCGTTTTTTTGATTCATGTTTTTTGTTTTTTTTGTTTCCTTACTTTTTACTTGTTTGATTTTAGATTTTTTTATTGAATTGATTTTTTCTTGATTTTTCAATTTTTTGTTATTTACAGAAAAAAAAATGGCATGTTCGCCGAAGATTCTTTTAATTTTGAGCACGTCGTGGAAGAGACCTTACAGGCGGACATAGACATAGATTCCTACCTTATCCTGAGCAACAGCTTATGAGCATTTGCGACATCCGCCGAATGGTCCTTGCTAGGTAGAGAAACCAGGTGGAGGTACGAACCTTGCGAGAACGTCAAAGCTACAAAGCTTGTTCAGAATTACCTTAACAGAGTATCTAGCACCAAGAAATACCAGAAGATGGTTTTCATGGAGGGCCATTGGGCCAATTATGGCGCAGAGCAAATTTTTGTGCTCTTTGCTGTCGACAACTGCCTATTACTCTCGGGAACGAACATAATGCGCGTTTTCATGGAGAAGGTAAGTTGATTCCGTTTCATTTGGTTACTTTGGGGTTACTTGAAGGATCCTGATAAAGTCCAATTTATTAATGTTCCAAATCGCAGGTCGTGCTGAAAGCTTTCGACTCCTTGCCGGGTGACACAACGACGGGCCTGATTTTCCAAAAGGATAAAAATCCCATGAGAATCTTCAGCGAAGATATGCTCGTTTTTATTGAACTGCTGGAAGAGAACCAAGCACGTTGGCTCAACACTGAGCCGTATGTCATACGGACATTTTTTTACAAATGCCGACACAACCTCAAGGCTGATATCGACAAGGCATATGAGGCGATCCGTCAGTCCATGAGCTCGTGGCAGAAAGACATTCTCTTCTATCAAATTCACACGGGCTGCTTCGTAAGAAATGATCAGAAGGAAATGTTTTTGTTTGACTACGACAAAGTGGAAGAGGTCTGCGATTTTTTATTCCTTCACTTGGGTATATTACCCGGGGATTATTTGGAATTAACCCCCATTTCATATACCAACCTATGACATACGTTTTTTTAATTACTTGCTTTTTGTCCTAGGTGCTTGGCCACGATAACTTCCAACGTCCGAAGGCGTTCCATTTTAATAAGATAGGGCACTTTTTTACAAATAAAAGGACAGCACGCTTCCCCCAGATCGACAACATCATCACGTACGAGCTGCAGCAGCACAAGATCAGTAAAGATGTTTACAAGCAGAAATTGATCTCCATCATTGTGGTAAATGGCTTAAATAGCGCCGTTTTTAAGGATGGAAGAAATGAAATCGTGACGCTGCCCAATCAGCTATTGGGTTATGTAGATTCGATCGCGAAGGAACCCGTTACTCGAATCGAAATTGTGGAAACTTTTTTCAAAGTCGATGAGTTGGCGGTCTCCGAATTTTCCCGGGTCTGGTCGAGTGAAACTCAAAATCACCGTATTACTTACTCGACGTGCATTTTACAACTGTTCCATACGTTATACTTCAAGGGGGCCTTCGTCGGTGACAGAGTGGACAAAATATTGTCGCGCCAAAACCAAGGAAGCGGTTGATTTGCTGTCAACGAACTTCGAACGCGGTACGACGATCCCAACGAGGGAAGAAATCGATCGATGTTACAAGACCATCGAGATATTTCTTGCCTTCGTTGATGGAACCGTCGAACGACAAACCAGCGGTAGAGCGGACGTCTTCTACCTTAACACACTGAAGAAAAAGGGAGACGGGGGTTATTTCGAACTCCTCTACCGCAGCTGTCCACGAACAACACCGATTGCTGATGGTAGAGAGAAGCTGCGATACTTTTTCTCACTGGTGATGAGGGCTCGTTCGTACCTCAAATAACGGGTGAGACAGACCACGACCAAGGGCTTGGGTCCATCTCCACTCCAAAACTCCACTCCAATTTCGTTGTCCATCGTCGGATGGTTCTCTCCGAACAACGGAAATAGGCAGCTATCACATTGCGAGCCACATTTGCGGTAATCAAATATCGCAATACAGCGAGATTTGGCTCGTTCGGCTGAAACGGCATTGTTAAAAAAAAAAAAACCGTTTTATTGTTCACGAAACCGACACGAAGCGCGATCAATCTAGACTGCCTTGTGACGATGATAATCGGTCATTAGCGCAGAAGATTTACGGTTTCCCAGCTTATTCGCAAGTTAGCGGTGGGGGCAACTGCAGTGCGAATTTGCTAAATTTTTAAACTGCAAACGATAAGTCGTGCAAATGACGCGAAGGAGGGGAACTTGGCTGCTCGTTGCAAAAACGAATTCGTTATTTTTACGCTTGACCGCCGTGAAGACCACATCGCACTCTGACACCACTATTTGTTTTAAAATTTTTCGAAGGATGAGGACTTTACAGCGAGAATTGTGCAGGGAGGTGCGAATGCCGGTTATTTTATATGACCAGCGTCACCCGGATTACAAAAACACCAATCGCAAATTTGATGCATACAACACCGATGCACAAAGCTTGCACGTATTAAGCCTTAAGTAATTTTATACTTTTTTATCTTACCTTTTCTGCCGATCTCTCTCTCTCTCTCTCTTTCTGTCTCTCTCTTGCTTTATCTACTCTAACCCCCTTTTTTCCTTTCTTTTTTTGCTGCCACTTTGAGGTGCATAAAAATAAGAACAAGTATACGACGCGAGCCCAAAAACAATTGCTCAGCAACTCATGACAAACTTTTTTGTCGTGCACCAAGATCAACGCACATAAATGCGCCAATTATAATCTCTCTCGCTCTCATATTTTTATTCTGGCCGTTATATTTGTATTAACTAACATTTTTTATCTTTTCTTTGTTACAGCTTTAACTGTAAAATATATGTGGCAAGGTCTTCGCAAAAAATACAACCATCTACAATTGCAACTTGGGGCAGGCCGAAAAAAGTGTGCAATGTTATCGAGGGTTAACATGGAATACCTATACAGGATGGACTACCTGTGCCATTATACGCACCACTTTGGAAATTACCACAACCGAACTTTCGAAGAGCGTTGCCGAGAGGCAGGGATAGTCGTCATTTTTGAAGACTAAAACAATCAAAATTTGAAATTTTTTTTATAAAGCAAGCGAGCATAAGTATCTCTTTGTAATGTTTTATAAATTAAAAAGTTTTCATTAACATAAATGATTACCAGTGTTGTTTATTTCTACAATAATATATTGTAACGCGAGAGAAAACTCGGTGTTTTTTGTAATAGAAGGCCAAAAACAATAAAACCTTTTTTCTAATTTTGCTGTGCTCGAAATCAAAAATAACGTTGACGCTAGGCTCCTTTAAGCGGCTAGCTCGCCTTTTCTTAGCGTGCGAGCGATGATCGGCGTCGTCGCCACCTAGCGGTGACGAATCAAAACACTCGGCGTTAAGCCGCGAGCGCGAACCTAACAGAAAATCAAAGCGCGAAGCTCGCCGTGCGAGAGGCACGACGAGCAGACGACAGCAACGAGCACGCGACCGAGCGAGAGCCGATAATCGACGGGAGAGATATAGACTTCTAGTCCATGTACGCGCGCGAACAGTCGCAACGACCTTCCGTATTGCTGTGAACTGCGAAGTGTGTGTTTTGCGATAAGCGATATCCAGTGAGTGCCGTGACACACCAAAGTAGCTCCGTCGACCCCGTGCTCACGGACCCTCTCCTGCCGTAGAGACACTCGTGTCTGTAGACAACCCCGACTTGATCACCCGCAACTTAAGCGATTGCTTAACTTTATACAGGTTTTACAAATATGTACAACACCTAAATTAAATTAATTTACTTTCTGTAGCTTCACCAAGAGTTGGAACGGGTGACTTCTGAACGAGATCTTGCATTCAGAGAGAAGGACAAATTAAGCGATGAGTGCTCAAAAGCAAAAACTGACCGACTTGATCATTTGTCGAGTGAGCTGAAAGAAACTATCGCTAGGGAGCAACGATTATTAGGAGAATTGCATGAACTCGTTCAGGATTATACTTCGCTTCACAAGACATTATCAACTATACCGAACCTGGGTGACAGTTGCTGATTTTATGCTGTAAAAAAATCTTCGAAACATTGATGAACGAGGATTTGTGGCGCATTTACTTGGCGGCTACGGGTCAAAGCTCGTAATTGTCATGAACTTATTTTCAGTATTTTTCAATGTTTTAATGTTATTTAATGATGCACATTTTCTATATAATTCAAATAAATGAAATTTAATAAAAAATAGTTTTGATCTTTCTTATTAAAAACGTCGATAGCTTGGATGAAAATTATTTTGTAATCGTTGTAAATATAGAGCATTTTGTGCGCTTCGCGCGAACTGACAGTTGACACGTGATATTGGCCGCTGCTCATTCCTCCCCACTACTGTCGTACACGCAACACGAGGCGAGGCGCGACACTCGTCTGTCTCACTCGCTTCGTAAATCGTCGCTCAGCTCGTTCGTGCCGCGTGCATGTCAGTACACGTTACGACGCTCGACGCTGTGCAGCATGAACGACCGAGAAGAATCGAATCGACTAGTTTTACAGCAAGTTTTTCAATTCCTAGCCACTGAACGCGAAAATATGTACGGGAACGAAGAGCACGAAGGGTTGTCCGATCGCGAATCCGACGGCGACAGCGACGACGGCTACGTGAATTCAGCCAAATTGAAGAGAATGCGCGAACGCATCGATTGGGACGTCGAAGAGCAGCGACACGATCTTCTACGACAACTCTGTTCCTTGACCATAGATTGGTGGACGGGTTCGTTTCCCAATCTCCTCGACGTTTTTCGCAAGGAAGAAATCGATTGGCTTCTGATGACGAACGTGCAAAATATAGCCGAGCCACTCGGGGTCAGTAAATTTGTCAAATTCGTGGCTCGCAGCGGCTACAAGGACGAGCCCGACCTCGACGAGGACAGCGGCAAGCCACTGACGCGTCGCACCACGGCGCTGCATCGGGCGAGTCGGCGCGACTTTTGGACATGTCGCATGATCATCGAGCTGTTTGAAATATACGACAGATTCGACGTGAACTACACCGACGAGTTTGGATTGACGCACTTTCACGTGGCCTGCGAGTACGGTCTTTACGACGTTGTTCAGAAATTCCTCGAACTAGGCCGCGTGGATCCCAATTGCCTCGAGTACGTGACGGGTGATTCGCCGCTACACTTGGCTGTGGCTGGTGGCTTTTTCGACGAAGAGAAATCGATTTATCGCTTGTTATTGAAAAGCGGCGCAGATCCGAACTTGGCCAACTTTAACGATGTGACTCCTCTGCACAGACTGTGCAGGTCGGACCACTACTCGCACGAGGAATTGAAGCTGTTCTTCGAGAGCTGCGACGACGTCGGGCGGACGGTGAGGGTCGACGCGCGAGACAAGATGAGCAGGACGCCGCTTCAATTGGCCGTGACGAGTCTCATGCCGGTGACCGTCGACGTGCTCCTGGATCGCGGCGCCGATCTATCGAAATTCACCTTTCCCGCCATGTGTCACTTTCCCGAGGAATCGCAAAAGGAGGGCGAATGTTCGATCAATTTCAAAGTGCAACAAGCATCGGGCCTGCTGGCCTGCGTCGAGAGTCTCGAGAGACGAGGATACCAGCTGGACCGAGACGACGCCGCGACGATCATGGCATTTTTCGCCAAATACGGACTGTTCGAGACGTCGTCGAATCTCGACAAGGACGATTGGCGCGACGACGACAAGTTCGCGAAAGAAGCCAAAAAGAAAATGTTGACGCCGGACTTGTCGCTCCACGACCTGATCCCGCTGCGACCCGCAGAGGCGGCCAAACGACTCGCTTACATGGACTACGTGGCGTTCGCGGAAGAAGAGCTTGTTTGGTCCCTGCCGAAAGGGTTCTACGACGCTTGCGCCACGCACCTCTGCGAAAAACTGTCGAGAGGATTTTTCCAGCGATGGGCGCTGGATGCTCTCTTGGAGCTGACCGGCCAGCGACTGCCGATTCTCTGCTGCGACATGGTCATCGAGCAGCTGATGATCAAGGATTTGTGGCGCATTTGCTTGGCGGCGAGCAGTCGATAGTTGACGATGTCGATAATCTTTTTAATTTATTTTAGTGCTTTACAATGTTGAAGATTTTTCTTAGTATTGAAATAATGGAAATAAATGTATAAGTAAAAAAATTAGTTGTGCTTTGTTTTCTATGATATTACATAAAACTTAATCATTTGAAGTAAAAGATCTCTATTTTCTTTTTAATCGCAACATGAGGTAATTTATTGACGACTCGAGTATTAAAACGACGTGACATTAGCTTCGGTAAAAAGTAGACGCACACAATCATAATATACATCGTTATCATAGGGTCGTTTCGATATAATGATGCAATCGGCCGGTAAACATTAGCGGCTCGATATCGACTATGTAAGTTCGCAGCGATTATGTCCTTATTAGAAAATAAAATGCCAAAGCAGTTGGTTCGATTCGATTGAGCACACGCACACACACGGTATTATTGCTTGCTTACGTAAGTGGCGATCTCTCGACGTCGCAATGAAATGCCGACAATCTTGGCTCTCGGCAGTTTCGCCACGCGATCGAATAAAACAATCGAATGATCTTATAAAACTTTTATCATATTTTCATTCCGTTGCTTCTTCTAGTCCCTTTGCATCGTGGCTGCGCGTCGCTCGCCACGCACTACTATACAGTCAAGGTCGATCGCGTAACGGACCTCTTTCGCGAAGCTTGCCAGCGTCATTCGCCATATTATACCGCGTCGATATATTATGCTGTACTTCGCGATGACCATCGTGCGATTAAGATTTTAGCCTCGATGCCGCTGCTTTTCTCTTTCTCTTTCTACATACACTGTATGATATGTACTTGGCGTATAATTGACAGTGCGCTGGGAGAGAGAAGAGAGAGAGAGAACGAGTATACACGTATATTATATGTAATTCAGGCACACACATATATAAACACACTGCATAGTGCATACTTTTTTACGGATATAATGCGCTTGCAGAGAAAGAGAGCCAAAGAGGCGCTGAGTGAGCCGCCGCACCGCGACTCTATATCTTCGCTGAAGATCGGTCGGAATTTCTTGAGAAAATCTGCGGTGACAGCTGCGAGCTTGTGTACACATACACACGCGGCAGAACAGCAGCGACGGCGGCTGCGGCTGCAGATGACTAGAAATAAGAAGATGATTATTATTACCTTTCGACGTAATTTTAAAGCAAATATTAGTATAAATCTAACGCGTGAAGCTAGGTAAGAAGTGAAACTAGTTTACGCGCATAGGAATGAAGAGTAGGAACATAGCAGAATCTCTTTCATTTGCAACGATATTTTTGATGGCAACTATACTGCTCGACGCTCGTATCACTTTGTAACGTCTTTTAATTATATATATCGTGCAGTTGCGCTCGCTTCAGTCGGTGGCGTGCAGGTTCGTTCATGTTGTTGCTCGATCAAAGCGTATATTATAAGCATGGGTAGTTGGCGCGCGTGAACTGCTGAATTGAGTCAGTACGAGTTACGACGCCACAGCGCGAACACCGAACAGAGAGTGATCGCATCGAACGCACGCAGCAAGTCGATTTTAGCGAGAAAAGTTGAAATTCTATTTCATATCGTGATAGTTTTTTTTCTTGTGTGTGTGAAACAATGGCCGCCGACGCGAAAAGTTTGAACGAATTGAAAAAATTGCGTGCACAGGTCAACTGGGAGAATCCCTACCAGAGAGAAGATTTTCTCTATGAATTTTACCACCTAATCGAACATTGGGAAGGTCAACGACCAAATTTCCGGGACATTTTTTGGCCCAAAGAAATCGATTGGCTTCTTGAAGAGGGTATGAGCTTCAAGTTAAATCCAGAACCATTCATTGACTTAATGATCGAAACCGGTTACAAAGACGAACCCGACGTCGATAAAGACGGCAAGCCACTTTGGCATCGCAGCACAGGAGTACATGGAACTCAAGGCTATTATCCAAAGTGGGAAAGGATAACCCGCAAGCTGTTTAAAATCTACGACAGATTCGACGTAAATTACACCGACGATGGCGTAACGCATTTCCATGTGGCCTGCGAGTATGGTCTTTATGACGTTGTTCAGAAATTCCTCGAACTAGGTCAGGATCACAATCTCTTCGAGAATTATTATGGTGAATCGACGCTAAGCTTGACCGTGCGTTTAGGTCACAAGGACGTGGCACTGTTGCTGCTGAAAAATGGCGCCAATCCAAATTCGGCCAACGAGGAGGGATCGACCATTCTGCACTTTTTATGCGATGGATATTACGATGTTAAGCTATTGAAGATGTTATTCGAGATCTGCGATGAATCGAGTCAGACCTTGCAGGTCGATGCTAAGGATAAGTTTGGTCGGACACCACTTCAGTTGGCCGTGGCGAGACTCTTACCGAATACCGTCGATGTGCTCTTGGATCGTGGCGCTGATCTGGCCAGCTCCGTTTTCCCAGCCGAGAGTGATTTTGACAAGCGTTACAGTTGGTTTGAATGGAAACAATTATCTGACGCTCTGTTAGTTGTTGAACATCTTGAGAAAAGAGGATATGAATTGGACCGGTCCGACGCTCTCACGATTATGCATTTTTTCGACAAGTACAAATTGTTCGATCAGTCGTCGATTTGGGTAAAATGTTCGAACCATGAAGAGTTCGAGAGCAGATTGAAAAATATAGAGATACGCCCGAGTCTGTCGCTCTACGAGCTATTTCGGATGAGATCCGACGAGGCTGCGAAACTATTCACGGTGGCGGACTACTACAAGTTGGCGGGCTCGGGAAAATTGAATGAGTTAATCTACGGATATGGAAAAGTTTGTAACTTGCATCTGTGCGAGATAACGTTGAGAAGATTTTGTCGACGATGGGCACTGGATTCTTTCATGGAGCTGACGCGCTATCGGCTGCCGATTGTCTGCTGTGATATAATCATCAGGAATTTAATGAACGAACATTTGTTTCACATTTGTTTAGCGGCTGAAGATCAGAGTCACGAGGACAGTAAAAAAATTTTGGAAACAAATGGAGGACAATGCAATAACAAAAGACCTGCGAGGGCTAGAAAAGCTCCACAAAGACTGCAAATTGTATGGTGAAGACGATGAAGGTTCCATTTTAGTCTTGCTTTGAAATTTATAGAAGAATCTGTGACGACGTTAAGCATGCAACATTTTCTGGTTCAGAGTTATTAAATTTTGCAGATTTCTGTCATTCAATAAAAAAATTATTAATTAATTCGTTGCGATTTTATTTCATTTTTATATTCCAATCCATCATCGTCGCGATGAAAACTTCATAATTGTAAGTTAATCTAAAATGACACGCGGTGCATATTTGAATTCGTTGTGCGCAAAGAAATACGAGCGAGTTCAACAATCATGTGCTCTGAAGTGACAGTCGACAGAGTCCCTTTTGACACGCTGCGATTGACCGACACTCCTATACATAGGTACGACGCGTTCGGTCGACGCTCGTGCATATACAGCAACAACACGTGACATACAATTTGGCGCTCGCGAGCATTTGCAGTGTTGTTGTGGTGCGTGTCTTTGTCTCTTTTTCGCTCCCCTCTTTGTCGTGCGTGTTAGCTCGAGTTGCTTCTGTAGCTCGGTCGAACGACACAATAGATATATATTAGGTCAGTCCTACTCGCAGTACACCTCACGACTCCGTGGCGTAAACAGAAAAAGCCGAGTGATTCTCGCGTCGAGTGTTTTTCAGTGCGCGCGCGTGACCGCTGCGATGGCTCAAGACGATCGAGCCTGCTCGAGAAAATTGAAAAGTCTGCGCCAAAGCGTCGACTGGGAGAACGAGGCGCAGCGCGACGAACTCTACGAGCAGCTGTACGAGTTGATCCGAGACTGGGAGGGCCGTTATCCGGATCTACGCGACATTTTTCGGCCCGAGGAGATCGACTGGCTGCTCATGGAGTCCGTGAGAAACGAGAACCGAGAGATGGACGCGGAGCCGCTCGTCGACTTCGTCGTCAGGTGCGGCTACAAGGACGAAGCGGACGAAGATGTCTCGGTGCGTCGCACCACCGCACTGCACTACGCCATCGGTTACAGATTTCTCTGCGTCGTGCGTGGCCTCTTTCAGATCTACGACAGATACGACGTGAATTACGTCGACGAGGAGTCGGGCCTCACGCATTTTCATGCCGCCTGCGTGGCCGGCTACGAGGCGGCGGTCAGACGATTCCTCGAGCTCGGCCGGGTGGATCCTAACTTACAGCCTAGTGCGGCTGCCGATCCACCTCTGCACCTGGCTCTGACGCATCACAGGCGCGAAGTGACCAAATTGTTACTGAAACACGGCGCCGATCCCAATCTGGCCAACGCCAAGGGATCGACGGCTCTGCACGTCATGTGCGAGGAGCACATCGACTACGACCTGGCGGACATTCTGTTCGATTTTGTTAGTGACGAGTTTGGCCCGGTGCTCGTAGACGCCCGAGACAAGGAGGGCAACACGCCGCTGCACCTGGCGCTGCGCCACGGACACCGTAACCTGACGAAGCTGCTGCTCGCGAGAGGCGCCGACCCGAATATCGTCAACGAGGACGGAGAGACTCCGCTGCACGTCAATTGCCAGAGATACCGCGACGACGATCTGGCCGAGCTGTTCTTCAAGGTCAACGACGAGATCAAGCGGACGCAGGTGCGAGTCAATGTCCAAGACAAGCTGGGCCGTACACCGCTGCAATTCGCCGTGGCGAGATTCCTGCCGAACACCGTCAACTCGCTGCTGAATCGCGGCGCCGACATGTCCAGCTTCGTCTTTCCCGCCTCGAGTCAATTTCGCGAGAGGATCGAGTCGCGCTTCGACGAGACCCAGTTCAATTTCAAACTCGGCCTGGCCGTGGGCGCTCTGCTGGTCGTCGGGCATCTCGAGCGTCGAGGATACACCCTGGAACGCGGTGACGCCCTGACGATCATGCGTCTATTCGCGAGCTACGGATTGTTCGAGAAGACGACTCCGGAGGTCGAAAACTGGTACGACGACGAGGAGTTCGCGAGAACGGCCAAAAAGCTGACGATACGCCGGAGTCTGTCGCTGTACGAGCTGATCCGGCTGCGAGCCGAGGAGGCCGCCAAGCTGATTACCTGCAAGGATTACCTCAAGGTCGCGCGCTCGCAAAAGCTGTGGTTCCTGCCGCACGAGCCCATCGACGCCTGCGCCCTGCACCTGTGCGAGAAGGCGTCGAGAGGATTTTTTCGACGATGGGCGCTGGATCCGTTGCTGAAGCTGACCGGTCATCAGTTGCCGATTCTTTGTTGCGAGAAAATCATCAAGCTATTGATGAATCAAGATTTGTGGCATATTTGCTTGGCCGCTGCGGAGCAAGGTTCGTAACGACTCTGAGATTTTTATATTAACTATATGAATTCGGAAATTTATTGTTTTTTTATTTTTTGCTTTCAGATGAATATTCAAACTAACGATCGACGTATGGCTCATGTGCGTGATATATAGCAGTACTATGAACCCGAAGTATGCAAACAATGTATGTAATATGTATACGAGTAACAACGACGCTTATAGCGCGCGAAAACCGTTAGAGACACCTGCGTGTCTCGTGTACCGACTACATAATTAAATTAATTAATACATTCACCTGAAAATTTAATAAGAATTAATTCCTATCATTATCGCGGTGCATGGCATGAGGCAAGTGGAACGATTCTTAGGGATAATAATATTGAGATAAGCGATAAATCGATTGATTTTGTATTCTTATGGATATATTTTTTTTGTTTAAATGTGATTGTGTATACAACTCTTAAATACATTTTTGATATAAAAAATTGTTTCCAACTCTTTTCTTTTCGTCGCTCGTATAGCAATAAATACAATGTAATAATAATATGTATAAACATGCTTATTTTAAGAATCATACTCGACTTGTGTATGCGTGTATATATAAACTTACGAAATTAAAATATGAACTACGTTTTTCCATAGGCGTATCAAAAGGAATTTCGGCTCGCGGACACACGTGCGTGTCCCGCAGAGCCGAGAGATGCGATTAAAATCTAACAATACGCGCTAAATGTCATATCGGTACCGGGGGCACACCACCGTACCTCTACAATTAGGACAATAGATAAATCAATTTTCATATCTAATTGACGGCGGGGATGAACAAATGTACGCATTATTATAATACAAATTTTACAAAGAAACTTTTTTTGTATCGTATTTGTTCTAATCAGGATTAACTTACTTTGGAACAGATATTCAATTTCATGCTCTCTCTCTTGCAATTTTATTTTTGGTTTTCAATCGATTCTACGAACTAATAAACATATTTGGAACAAATAATTTTTCGCAATAAAGGCAAATTCAATGGTTATTTGTTCGCAAACATTTTGCGTAATCTGAAAAAATAGTTTCTTAGTATTTCAATTTTTCCGCGTACACGTTTGTTAGTAGTTCACACATACATTAAAACTAGCAAAATATTCTAAAAAACTAACTAATCTGAGTGACTCTCTACGTAGTTTTTGTTTTGGTTTCATCTGCTCTTATCATTTTTTGAGAAATTTACCTACTTGCTATTAAATCGTTACAGTGTACTTTTAAATCTTTTTCAATAGTCCTACAGTAAATTTTCTGTATAAAAATTCCCAATGGCTGTCAAATCATGTATGCACCAAATTCCGTATTCAATTTTTTTTATTAAAAATAGTGCAACGATCGACTCCTTAAATCCAATCTTATGCAAAATAGTTAATTTTTTTCCAAATGTTATACTTAAAAGCAGTTTTCATTAGCAAAATATTGGCACAAAATTTTTCGTAAGGCAGATTAGATTATTCAAGCATCATCCGAGCGATACTTTTCTTTCAGCTCAATACCTCATATTCTGCGATTAACTACACGAACTAATTCCAACACTGCGTGAACACAATATTAACTTTAAAAGTATTTGGTTTTCTAATACACCTTTGTAACTTCATTATATCGGTCTGACACTAAAAATACACGTTTAAAAACACATCTCTTTTTTATTTGTCACCGTGCGCGATTTATGCGCTTTCTAGTAATTATTGTGCGTAATTTGTACAATAGTAAAGAGAAATGAAACATTTAAATTTCAACATGATGCAATCAAAAAATAATCCTAAAAAATAGAATCAATCTCGCTGACAATACTTAGTTTCCATATTATATACTCATAAGGTAATAAATTCCGACAGCTGCCTCGTTTTTTTTTTTTTTTATAATTATTGGTTGCTTGAAAAAAGTAAAATATACATTTTATACAATAATATAACGGTAAAATTATGTATATGGCGCTTAAACGTTATCCAGTCAATAATCGTCGAGACTCTCTCAAACTAAATGAGACATTCACAACCCTGCGTATTATATTTATAATATTATGGCCATTCTTATTGCTTCGCTTATTCGTTCGTCATGGCATCTACATTATCATATTCTCTCTTAGGAAGGATGAAAAAGATCGCGCGCGCATTTCTTCACACGGCTGCCGTGTCGTCGGTGTTTCTCAGCAGAGCGGCGGCCTTGACGACGTCGCCGCCGCACTGGTTCAGCATCGTCTTGCAGTCCTCCAGACTGACGAAGTGATTCTCCTTTCTCAGCAGGCCCTGCAATCGTTCGAGTTTGATAGCTGCCAAAATTTCCCAGTTCGTCACGTTGAGAGCTGCCATACACGACTCAGGCGTCGACTGATCGTGCAAAATTTTCAACATTATTCTGACCTGAAAAATGCAAACAGGAAACGATATATTGGGGTTTGGTCGATTGCCTATATGTATTTCTCATACTAACCTCGTCTGATTGCTCTCCGTTGCGAGGACCACGCGTTCTCCTGGAATTCGGCTTGTCGCAGGCGAATTCCAGTAGATCCTCGCAGGACACGTGATCGGAGGTCCTCGTCATGCTCTCGCCCTTCAAGTCGATGATCTGCTGCTGCGTCTCGCTCGGCAGCTTGTTCGTCGGCGTCGTGTTCCGGCTCGTATCCGTGGCAGTATCCGCACTGCTGTGTCTGGAGAGCTGGTTCTGCTGCTGCTCGGGCACCGGCGTGACGCTACCGCCGTCGACGTCGTCGTCCTCGCTTTCGTCGTCACCGCCGCAGTCGATCAGATTCTCCGAGAATTCCAGAAGATCCTCGGAGATGACGCTGCAGCGCTGCTGCTGACTATTCGTGCGCGTCGTCGTCGGGGCTTCGTCGCAGCCCAACAACGAGTCCAGTGCCGTTATGTCTGAGTCAATGCGACGCTCGAATTCGTCAGTATTGGCATTGAGCTCGTTGCCGAGCATGATGTCCAGGCTGCTGCTGCTCTCCGTGCCGATCCTAACGCAGCCGCCGTCGACCTGATCCTCCATGGCGGCGTTCGAGGCCGCCTGCATCTTGGCCAGAGTCCGACTGACGCCGTCGCCGGGTATGATGAGCGGATGTTTGCGCTGATGGCGCGGCAGGCTCGATTTTGGCTGGAGACTCTTGGACCTGTCTCGGGGCGGCAGCGGGATCGGATTCTCGTCGCCGCTGTTGTTGCAGGTGTTGCTCTGATTCTGATTGTTCTCGATCTCCATGGAGCGATGCCTCAACAGTACCGCGCTGGGGATCGGCGGCGGAGCCTGCGACGGATGCGCCACCGGTATCTTCAGCTTCGGCAGGGTGCAGGCGCCGCTGCTGTGACGCTGCGCGCTGTCGAAGTGAAAACTCCTGCTCGAGCCCTGAAAATCGATAAAATAGGTAAATAAGTAAAAACGCATCGTCTCGAAAATTGAAAACACCTACTTGAGTGTGCAGATCTGAATCGTGATGGGAAGTCGTCGTCGTTGTCACGTGCTTGTTGCCGCGCACCCTCGGCCTGACGACGGGAAAGCCCGATCTCAGCATGCGCAACGGATTGGTGTCGGGCGTCTCGGTGATCACGGTGGTCACTGGGGTCTCGACGAGGCTGTTGTAGACTTCCTTGGCTTCTTCCGAAAGCGTCGCCTGTGCAGCGGTGGTGAATGCGGTGGTGGTGGTGGTTGGTGGTAGTAGTAGTGATAAGCCGAGGGATCGGGACAATTGGGTACGTATTGTTTTTTTCAGAAACGATTTTGGAAGGTGCGAGAAGAGAAAAATAATAATAATAACAATAACGAAATAATCGATGAGATAAATCATAAAAATAATAAGAAAGATGTGAATTAAAAAAGTACGATGAAGAAACAAAGTTATAACAAGAGCGGATGAGTAGTTTTGCACACACTGTTTTACACATGCAAGCGGGTTTTACACACATTTGTATTGTTACATACGATGGAGTGTTTCGAAGTAGAGCAGTGATTGTCCGTAAAAAACAGAGGCACACATCGTTATACAGACTACTTGCTAATTATATGCACATTCGTTGGAAATTTATTATTGCGTTCAATTCAGAATGTTTTTTTTTTTATAAACGATGCGTGTCTGGTCACTTTGGTGAAAGAATCGGGATGATGCAGGACTTTATTTTTTCGGTAAGGCGGTTGTTTCTCGAGTATAGTTGGTCGTATCCAAAAACTTTTTCTACGCACTACGTGTCACTAATCGTTACTTACAGAGAAGCCAAAAAACTAAATGCGGATCGGGTAATGCCCAAAATTATTGCCAAAACTATGTACAGAAAGGTTTTACAGCTACGATTATTTTTACTTATAGCATAGTATCATATAGCTTGCGATTAATTACTAATGCGATTTTTGTAATCTTAAAAAGAAACGATAAAACGTGAGTTTATAGTCGGTATCGATCGAGAAAGTAACTTTATAATAAAAATATACGGAATCGTTGTCCGGTCGATATATATATCATATTGTATATTAAAAGCTAATACTTAACATTTAACGCCTTTAAAAATGCTCATTTATACCCGCAACGTTGTATATACGATCGGTACAAAATTCCCAGTAAATATAACGAGTATCAAAAAGAGTTTATTATCGTCGATTAGCGCGTTACAAAAATCGTACATAATTCTTACGTATATATTTATATTATATACTTGAAAACGCTTCAATGCCGTTCATCAAAATCTCGTTCCACGTGAAAGTACACGAAAGATGCGGTGGTACACGCACACACGACTACACACGTATATATATCGTACACGAGCTGTGTCGAAAAGTGAATGCGAGCGGCATGCGAGTCGCTTAATAAAATATGAAAATATCGCACAAACTACGTAACTTCTACGAGATAGGAAAATATCAGCGAGTATATTTTTTATCAATGACAGTATTATTATCAGTGCAAGTTTACGTGAATGAGAGAAGCAGTATCATACTCGTCTCCAGTTCCATAATTAAGCCAAGCTCTGGGTGAAAATTACTTATATTTTTTTTTCATGTATACGTAGCGTTAAAAAGGTATCGAATCAAAAAATATTCTCATGGGCTCGTTGGGCGGGTGGAGGGGGATCGGATTCAGAGGGGGCGACGACGACGATGATCGTCGTCAAACACACTACGGGGCCGGGGACGGAGGAAAGGTGAGCACGTCGTTGCAGAATTCCGGATACTCGGAGCTCGAGTCGGAATCCAGATCCGAGTTGCTGGTGAAGGTGATGCTGGAGCTCGGTGCGCTCTCGGGCCAGCTGGCCGTGTGCTGATGATGATGATGGAGATTGTTGTGCTGCGGCGTCAGCGTGGCCGAGGTCGTCGTCGTCAAGCTGCTCCTCGACGACATGGCCTGCAGCGAGCTCAGAAAGCTCGACGCGGCGGACGTCGACGATTTGTTGTCGCAGTGCAGATCGAAGTTCGAGCGACGCGCCATGTCCGGATGCAGGAAGTTGTTCTGGGCCAGCTGCTGCTGCTGCTGACGAGCCGCCGCGGCCTTCTGATTCTTGAAGTTCAGCCGCATGCCGCGCCGATGGCGTCGCTTCATGCGCAGTCGGCCTCTGATGTCCGTCTCCGAGTGCGAGATCGAGTCCGAGTCGTCGCTCGAGTCGTTCTGCTCCTGCTGGCTCGTTTGATGGAACGACCTGCGGAAGTTCTTGGCGTGCGGTCGACGATTCTCCGACAGCGACGAGGTGCGAGGTCTGAAGGCTTGGAGGCGCTCCACCAGGATCTCCGTCTTGGCGATCTCGGCGAGCTTTCGATCGTTGTTTTGATACAGCTTCGGCGGATCCAGAATCCTCTGCAAGCTCGGACTGCCGCCGTTCGACTGCTGCTTCAGATCCAGATGATTGGGCTTCTGCAGCACCGGACCACCACCTGATTTAGTATGTCCATTGCTGTTACTGCTGCTGTTCTCGTTCATTCCAGCTCCACCACCTCCACCACCCAGATGCCTCGTGTTCTGGGCGATGTTCTTGCCCAGCTGTATCATGTTCTGGGTGAGCTTGCTGAAGCCCAGATTCAGGCCGGACTGCTGCTGCTGGGCCTTCTTCGACTCGAGATAATTCTTGACGCTCTCGAGGCCCGACACCTCCCGACTCTGGTGGGACGAGTACAGCTGATTGCAGTCGGCGTCGGACTTTCTTCTCTGCAGGCCGACGAGTCCGGGCCTGCCGCCGTTGTTGCCGTCGTCGTTGAATATGGGATTGTTCGAGATCGCGTAGGGATACTGCTGCTGTTGCTGCTGCTGCTGATCGGCGTGACCGTTGCTGTGACCGTTGAGCTGATGCCTGGGACTGCCCATGAACTGCTGCTGTTGCTCGTTCTTCGGCCTCGCGCCCAAATCGAACTTGTTGAGCGACACGATCTTGGCCGCGGTGTCGTTGTTCATGATCAAGCCACCACCAGCCGCCCGATGGTTATTGTCGTAATTGGCCATGAAGGCCTTGCGGCAGGTCTGCTCGAGCTCGTTGATTCTGAGCTCGTCCTCGTACGACAGATGATCACCCTCGTCGTACTTGGGCTGCTCGAAGTAGCGATCGACGTAGCTCGTGCTCACCCGCTTGTTGTTGCTTCCACTGCTACTATTATCCCTCGGAAAGTCGTAGTCGCCGTTTCCGGTGACTTTCCCGGCGCCGTTTTGCTTGATCGGCTGCGGCTGCGGCGGGGGCGGTGGTTGCTGCTGTTGCTGCAATTGCTGGAACTGCTGCAGTTGATCGAACTCGAGACAGCTGGCGATGCTCTTGCGATGATTATGATGATCATTATGATGATGACCGTTTCCGTTCTCGAGGAATTCCGTGGACTTCATGAGATCCTGCGGATCGTAATCCATGTCGTCGGAGCAGTAGGACGACCAGTAGGCCGGATTCGGCTTGGTGAGCAGCTCGCGCGACTTGGCGAAGCAGAACTCGGCCGAGGCTTTGTCCCATAGGGGCAGTTTCAGCGTCGAGGGAGCGCCCAGAGACTCGATCGACGAAACGGTAGATGATAGTGATTGCAGGCTCGTGCACAGCCACTGAGATTTTTTGACGCGCAGGAGGTATGGGAGGCAGAGGGAGGGATCGCCCAGAGGGATTATAGAAAGCCAAGAGAGAGCGAGGGGGTGAATTCAAGAGAGTAAACAGAGAGATAAGGGTATATAAAACCGAAAAATAATCCAGAAGAAGTAATGAAGTCGGTTCGAAACGGGATCGGGTGAGAAAAAGAGAGAAAGAGAGAGAGAAAGAAAAAAACGCTTGGCGTTAGTATATCGATGAAAATTAATAAAGCACTTATTTGAGTGAAGGGCTAAATTTCATCACCCCTAATTCTCTTAGGTATTCAATAGAGAAAGAGAGAACAAGATTAAATATAATTATGTGTATTCTGTATGAACGAGTCAGAGGTGTATCAGAAATCATGCCCTTGAAAGTTATATTCATCTATTTGAGAAATGTAATTTAAAAAAAAAAAACATTAATTTTTATATTATTAAATAATAACGACGATGCAGAAAAATGTATATAATAATAATGTTTCATATATAATTGTCCGAGGCTACTCTCGGCGCGCTTCGGAGCCGACAGAAGCAAGGCTAAATTTGCATAAGAGGCTTTATAATCGAGTGTGTATGTATATAATGTGTGTTGTATATCGTCGACGAGCGGCGTCAGGAAGCTGTCTTCGATTCGCAACCTAGATATACACGAGTCGGCGGCTTTACGCAACGATTTCACGTTGCATTCGGCTGTAATTACTCGTTCGATAATCGCTGTACTTATTACACACTTACACACACATGTTGTATATGTATAAAGTGAGAGAGAGACAGACAGACTGTAAATGTTTTTTTTTTCCATGAAATGATGAACGTTATATGATATGCGCAAAAAATAAGCAGTGTTATGGCATGTTAGAAAATAATGAAAGATTAAGAGAAAGTAAAAGCCCATCACCGCGTCCCGTGTATAGTCTTACTTGTCCAAAAAAAAAAAGAAAACAAAAAACAATAACCCAAAATGAAAAAAAAAACGGAAAATCATAATGTACCTGTATGTCAGGTATACTGGCGGCCTCCTCGGAAAAGTGTCGTCTGTCGGGTTTGGGACTGTGCTGATGCGGCAGTTTAAAGGAAAATTTGCGCCTATGCGTCGTCGTCGGCGACGAGGGTGTACGCGGCGAGTGTCCCGAACCGCTACCGCCACCCTGACAGTGGCCGCCGTGCCTGGCGTGCTGCTGACTGGACGAGCTTCCGGAGATGGAGCCCGCCGAGCCGGCAGCACCGCCAGCACCGCCACCGCCGCCGTTGTTGGCATTGTTACCGCCGCCGCCGACCTCCTGGTGGTGCTGCGTCTCGAGGTCCGTCATCGAGCGCGCCGTTATCTCCTGGGCCATTGCGATCGCCGAATAGAGGGTCTTTTGATCGGCCGCCGATATTGGCTTCACCTGATTGGCGTGAGTTGTATTCGACGAGGGAGGTGCGGAGGGGAGACGACATTACAGATTTACTTTTTTTTTTTTTTTTGAAAGTCGAGTGTTTCAGTGTAAGTAATGAGGTGGCGAGTGACTTTAATTCTTTCCTTCTTTTACCCGCGTTACGATCTTTTTTGTGTCTTTTTTTGTGATAAGTAGTTGTAAACATCGATTCAAATACAAAATATATAATATTCATCACAATGCCAAAAGAGCTAATTTTTCCATCTAAGAGTCCGAAAGCTACAATTATGTATGCTAAGCGCAGAACTAATTTTTCTATGACATCGTTCATTAATATATTTGGCTATATTGCGACACTTTTTCAGAGGAACTGCCATCGTATGAAAAAAAGCGAACAAAAAAACACGTACACATAATGAATAAAATATTTATGCGAGACATCGTATCAATCCAAAATGAAGTCAAACAATATATATAATTGATGAGAAAACTCGAAAAACAATGATTTTTTTAATAAAAAAACAAAAGCAACGTAACGTCATCAAAGTCGAGAATGAGTCGAACGAACGAATGAATGAATGAATAAAAAAAAAACGAATAACAATAAACAAGTTTACGCTACATTTATGGGACTCACGGTCGCTTGCTTCCTCTTGCCGGTCTGCTTGGACTGGATCTCGCGCAGCTCGTTGCGGGCGTTGCTCGACTCGTGCTGCTCGATGGAGGACTGTTGCTGCTGGAGGCCCGCGGGCGCGGGCGGCGGATTCGGCGACGCTCCTAAATTCAAAGAATCTTAATTTCAACAGTTATGACGATTTCAATGGAGCCTGCGTGTGCGTCGGAGCGTGGCTTAGAGTATGGAATATCAATGAAAGTACCCAGCGAGCGAAACATCTGATCCATCTCGTCCATCAGACTGGGGCCAAAGTCGAAGCTCAACGGCTTGTCGAAGCGCAGCGGGCTCTCCTGATTCTCCTCGTCGCTGATCTCGTGGTACTCGTGGTCGCCGCAGATGGTGCTGCTGTCCGTGCTGCTGACCATGTTGGCGGGCATGTTGTTGATGGTGTTGACCGAGCCCATCTGCGAGATCTCCGAGCACGAGTCCGACCACAAGCTGTCTGCTCAAACGAAATTAAGAAACGTAAACGATGACAAAAAAATTAAATAAAGCTAATCATCGCCGTTCGCTTACTGTGCTGCAAGCTCCTGCTATCCCTGATCGATGAATCCCTATTGTTGTGGCTCCCGTCGCCGTTGGTGCGCTCGCGTAGCGTACTACCACCGGCTTCGTGATGATGATGTTGATGATGATGATGACTAGAATTGTTGTCGGTCGCGTCCTCCTGGGGCTTATACGGCGTGACGACCTGGCGCGGCAAGTGGGGATACTTGCCGCCCAGGAAGCTCAGATCGCCGAAGTAGGCCCCGTCGAGGCCCACGTGGCCGGTGTGCTTCAAGTCGCCCTGCGGCGACGAGATCATGTCCGTGCGTATCTTGCGCCTCTGCGAGGAGAAAATGCCGCCGTTCTTGCCGTCGGTGCCACCGCCGCCACCTCGCTGGAACTCGCCGGGCTTGACGTTGCTCGGCAGATTTCCGCCGAGGTAGGCGATGGTGTGCGCGGGATTGAAGAAGCCCGTCTTGCCGTTGGCCAGCACGCCCTTCCACATGGTGTTGCTGCAGCCCTTGTCCAGCACGGTGATGACGTCGTTCTGCTTGTAGACGAGCATGCCGATCTCGTTGGTGTCCTGCACGGCCTGCACCTGTTCGGGCTTGAGGTCGGGCAACAGCGCGATGATCTCGGAGAATTTGGGCCGCTTGGTGGGCTCGTGCTGCCAGCACTTCTGCATGAGATTGAAGTAGTCCTTGGGGCAGCAGTCGGGCTGCTCGAGTCGCTGATAATTCGGCTCGTCGATGGCCTCGAGGATCTGGTGGCCGGTGAGAGCGGCCCACGGCTGAAAGCCGTAACTGAACATCTCCCAGAGCGTGACGCCGTACGCCCAGACGTCGCTGGCGCTCGTGAACTTGAGATAGGATATGCACTCGGGCGCGCACCAGGCGATCGGCAGCTTGAGATTGACGTTGAAGTTCGTCTGGTAGTAGTCCTTGCCGACGCCCAGAGCTCGCGACAGTCCGAAGTCCGAGATCTTCACCTTGTTCTTGGAGAAGACGAGTATGTTCCTCGCAGCGAGATCTCGATGTATCAGCCGCTTGGCCTCGAGATACTGCATGCCGTCGGCGATCTGCACGGCGAAGTCGCACAGCGACGGCACCGGGAAGCTCGACCTGAGCTGAGGTTCCTTGAGGCACTCCAGGAGCGAGCGCAGCGGCGCCAGCTCCGTCACGAGCATCAGCGAGCTCGTGTCCAGCACCACGCCGTAGAGCCGCACGATGTGCTCGTGATCGATGGAGTGCATGATCGCCGCCTCCTTCAGAAACTCGATCGGATTGTTCTGCATGCGCTCGCGCGACAGACACTTGATGGCGACCTGAATGCGCTCGCCGTCGTTCGTCCATACGCCCTGCTGCACCACCCCGAACTCACCGGTTCCTAAGAAAAAATAAATATTGTATAATTAAAAAAAAAGAAATTAAATTCAATACATTTTATTATTGATTATGATTTATTGGCATTCGCGTGCCAAGAGAAGCTCAGCAAATGTCTAGGGCGCGACGTGTTACTGCGGGGTTTCGACATTGAACTTTATCATATAATGCATGCATTATAATAACGTAACGAAATTAGCCTCGATTTTTTTTTCTCTCCTCTCGTCTTACCGAGCTCTTTGTTGACGATGATGGCGTCGGCGGGTATCATGTGCTTGTTGGGCACCCGCACCGGCGGCCTGTCCTGTCTCTCCTCGGGCAGGCCCTGGCCCAGGGCGCCGGCGAGCTGCTGCGCGTCGTCCTTGCGCGGCAGCAGCATCTTCTTGAACTTGGACAGGTAGTTCTGGGGAAAGTGTCGCTGGAAGTACTTTTTGAGGCGGCGCATTTCGGGCTTGGTCATGCCGATGCCGCCCAGATCGTCCTCCGTCACGTACTTGAGCTGGGCGGGGTTGTGGACCTTCAGGTCGCCTATAAAATAAAACGAAAAAATAAAAAAGCAAAACGTGCGATGTATATTGAGGGGAGCGAACGATTAGTCAGTGTAAACAGAAGAAAAAAAATAAATAGGTGGGCGATGAGTCAGAGACGGAGAGATGACGAATAAAAATCCGGATGCGAGACTTAATTAAAAGACCGGCCATAATTACCCATTTTAGACATATGTATATGAAATGAAAAGAAAAAAATACGTACCTCTGATGCCGGAATAATACTGCTGGAGCTCGGCCTCCATGAGGAACTCGTACAATCCGGGACCCGTGTTACGCGACATCCCTAATTGTGCGTCTGCAAGTGGAAAAAAAGAAAGAAAGAAAATATGAGACGAAGGGGTTGAAGTTGTATATATAATACAGATCGAAGTATGTGTACTGTACGAGTGTGGGTGTACATGTGTGTGAGTGCGGTGTTTTCACGGCGTAAACGTATACTATTCGCAGGCCGGCACAAGATGAAATACGATCGCGGATAGAGAGAGAGAGAAAAAAAAAAGAAGAAGAAGAAGAGAAAAACACCTACGCACGAACGACGGACGAACAAAAGCTCTCTCGAGAGAGATAGACAGACGTACTGTTAGAAGCATACATACAGACACACACACATACGTATTACGGGCGGCGGTTCGATTGCACTCGTAAAAGCACTCGACTCTGACAACAGCACACCTGTTAGGTGCAGTACTCCTGTACGTGTATACAGCGGCACGTGTACACCCACGTAAAGAGAGAGAGAGAGAGAGAAAAAAATCAGCGCGTTATCAATGACAGAACAAGAGCAGCTTCTCTCTCGGTTGTATTTATATATACATACATGCATACATGTAGACGAGATGAAAGAGAGAGAGAGCAAAACACAGCAAAGGCAGCAGCTCTCGTCGATCGCGCTCGACTCCGGAGCACACTACTGCCAGCGCGCGATGTTGTTTGCTACTGGTGCCTATATACGTGTGTACGTATATGTATACTACTGCCGGGCGCACGGGATTAATACACGCGTGCAGAAGAGAGAGAGAGAGAGACACGAACTTCCTCTTCACGAGTTTTGCAGTCAACGAGTCTCTCTCTGTGTTGGTCGATGGACACTGAATAAATAGAGCGCAATTAATGTTTCTCCGGACTCTCTGGCTCTCCTGTGTGCGTGTGCCCGTGTTTTCCACCATGCCCGTATAGCATCTACATACACAGCAGCAGTAGCTTGTAAAACCCGTTATATATATAACAACATCCATTACAATGCACAGCAGCCGCGCGCGCGAAGATTAGTCAAAGGTAGTGTAAGCGCGCGCGACAATGACACTGCGACACAGATCCGATAATGTAAAATTGATATAATGTTATCTTTCTCGAGTAAACGCACGAGTGGATGTATGGAGTCGAGCTTTTTTATTTATTTATTTACTTTTATTTTGTATCTCGTGTACGCAGAAATTGATGGTCGATGAAAATAAATTTAGGAAGAGCAGAGGTGGAAGAATACGAACGAAATAGGTAAATAAATCGTGATTTTTTTCGCGGGAGCTTTACGCGCGCGCGCGTGAATAATCTCGCGTTACACGCGCGAAAGCGAATAGGAGGCGAATGACACGATGAGTGTGTTTGCGTGCATGTGTGTGTGTACATATGAGAGAAGAGAGAAAAAAAAACAACAACAAAAACAAGAAAAAAAGTGCCCGCATTGTTTTTCAGTTTGTACACGCGTGAGCCAAAGAGGGACGGACAAAAAGTGGATGGTCGTTGAGACACACACGACGAGCGCCGGCCGAAAGACGAGTGATCTTCAAGAGTGAAAGTTGTTGTTGTTTTTTTTTTTTTTCATTTTTCGTCTATTTTTCTTTCTCTCTCTCGCTCTCTCTCGCCGAGTGTGGACACTGCACGCAAGTTGGCTCTCCTCGAATAATATACATGTTCGTGAAAAAATAATTGGCCCAAACGTGCCTGACTCGGCGACGATCGCGACGATAATTGACATCGTCATTATTATTACTATTATTATTATTATTATACTTAGCGGAACGCGAAATATATTTTGCATCGGTCTCCGATAAGGACTCCTCGGCGGACACAAGGCAGCAACAGCAGCAGTGTATAATATCGATCGAAAAGCCCGCGAGGCGTACGCGCGCTATACCTCTTTTTTCATATATACATATATAATAATCGAAGATAAGACATCTCTCATTTCCGCGATTTTTCCTCGGCTGTGTGGCTGGCTCGCTTGCCGCCTGCGTGCACTGCACAGCCCCGCCGCCGCGACGTCGCGACGCGCCGATCGTGATTATTTTCGAGGTATGTATACATACACATCTAGCAGAAGTTTACGTTCTAATTATATACATAGTATATAAAATACGATCTCTCTCTAGCGATGCAGTTGCAGTGCAGCAGCAGCAGCAGTAGTAGCGTTCGATATATATGTGTATATGTTACGCGTTAGCAAGCGGGCACAATAGGGTGTCTATATAATACAGCCATGTGCTGCTGCGCACGCATACACACACACACAACTTTTCTAGCGCAAAACGACTTCCGGCCAAAGTTATTTTTTCCAACGCGTCTTTGTGCGCCGCAGCATCAGCAGCCAGCACTGATATCGATATTTTTGTTCCCCAGGAAACTGGCAAATATCTTTTACGTATATATTAGGCCAGACGTGCATCATAATACGTAACGCACGTAGGAGGACTCTGCATAGGTGCATACGCCATACGATACAAGGGCAAAGATGAAATTTAACAACAACGACGACGACGACAACGGGAGCAGTGGTGTGCAGAAGAGCATCGCATCGCATCGCATCGATGAAACTCAATCATCGTCGTAGTCGGTCGCCCACACACACACACACACACACACACACACACACGATGCATACACGCTTCGTAAGAGAGTAAAGCTCGTGTGTGTATATACCTACAAGACGAGAAGGAAGTGGCACGCCTCGAGTAGGGCCTTAAATGGACGATGATTTAGGCTCTGTCTCAGGCGAGGGCACGGCTCTCCCGACGACGTACACAGAGAAAAGAGTCTCGCAGACTCGCGTATATATATGATGCACGTACAAACGTACGTGTGTTTGCGCACCTATAAATACACGCTCGCGTTAGCATCGCAGCTGCAGCAGCAGCAAAGCTTCTCTCTTTCTCTGCGTCTCTCGAGATAAACGGAAATACGGCGCGCGTGTGTGGAGAGAGAGAGACGATTTTCAAATATATTTAAAGCGTATATTTATATATCGAATGCTTCGGCATATTATGTGTGTGTATGTGTGTGTGTGTGTAACGAGATTCCTGACACGCGCTCGCCGACTGCAGTTTGTGTACCTACTCTTCGAGAATAAAACGAATCGTTTTTTTTTCTTCTTTTTTTACGTGCAATGCACACTATCGAGTGCGCCGAGCGTACTATAGTCGAAGGTCGCTACTGCCGCATCACACTTGTGCACTGCATATCCTATATTATACTCTGTGTGTGTATGCTCGAGCAGTTAAAGATCGAGCGATTATGAGAAACGTAAATATATCTCTCTCTGGAGTCTCTCGGAGTTTTCAAATTGATAAAGCGAAAATATATGCGAAAGGGAGGAGAAAAAAAATTTTTTTTTGAGGAAAAAAAGCGGAGGTGCGAGAGAAAAAGAAAGAAACGGGGAGCGCCGCGACGAGTTTTCTCTCTCTCTGTCTTGTACAAAGTTAAATTTAGGCGCGCGTGATCCGAGATGGATAAAGTCATATTCTCGCGCTGCGTGTCGTGGACTTTCTATATATGTATCGCAGGGAGAGTCAACCCAGGAAGAAAATAGCTCCGCGGAAGTTGGCCCTTTAATTGTCAGTTTTCCACGCGGAGATATGCATTCATTCATTCGTACGTATATATACTATAGAACGGAGAGAAAGAGAGGAAGAGAATTCGAGCAGCGCAGTACTGACAGGGATGACGATTCCCCGACGCACACAGGCTCGTGCGTCTATTATAATACATGCACACACTTACGTCGTACACGCACACGAGAAGCTCTTAAAATAAAGTGCTTTTAAAAAGGCAAAAGTGAGCCTTTGCTTTATCAGTCGCGCGGGCTCTTGGGCGCCGCGACGCTGCTACATCGTATATGCGTACACATTATATCGGTTTTTCTTCATATTTCTATATGCCACGGAGCTCACTCGAATCTTTTCTTTCCTCTTTTCTTTTTTTCACTTTTTCGTCGTTGTATCGTTTATTATATTCACCATATGATAAGCCGGAGGGGTACGTCGTAACGATTACGGAGCCGACGAATATATAATATTACCACCAAGTTCGAGCTTGCGGTAATATGCAACGCGCGCGTATAATACGAAGTCCAAAACGGTTGCGTTTGAAGCGTCGCGCGGTCTAATTTTATCCATGTCGCGCGCGCGCTCGTCTTTTTTGATATTATTACATTATACATTTATAGCCCTGTACTAATGCTGCGGCACGAGCGACCTACGGTAATAATCGTGCAAAAGCCGCGCTAACTCATATACGAGTTTGAGCACATTCCCACGAGCAGCATGCTTCTTTATTATTATTATACACGCTCTGGACGACATTTTATTTTTTTTTCTCTCTCTCTCTCTCTCTCTCTCTCTCTCTAAGTCCAAAAGTCAGTTTCAGTTGTATTATAGGAGAGAGAAAGACGACCGCGTGCGCGCCTTTGCAACACGTACATAAGAGCGTATACACTGTATACGTCTATATCTCACTTTCTTATCGATTTTCGCGGCGCACGACTAAGACAGAGAGAGAGAGAGACGGAGCTTTCTCTCTGTCTCTCTCTCTTTTTTTCTCCCCCGCAACTGTATATATACGTGTGCCTACGACGACGACGACGACGACGACGACGACAAAGGGAGAGAGACCCACATTATGCTACGCTGCTATAATATGTACAGCACACACATACACACGTATACCGCGTCTAGCAAGTATAAGTAAGTAAGTGTGTGCACATACACTAGGTACCTATACGCTGCTGCAAAAGCCGCAGAGTAGAGAGAGAGACAGAGAGAGAACAGTGTCCTATGCGAGAGAGCATATTACACACGAGAACGTGCAGCGCGCGACAAAAGCCACGCGGTTGCGGCGCTGCAGCTCATGCCGCTGCTGCTGCTTCATCGATAAGAGCCTTCAAAGATCTAAAATTTCACTCTCTTTCTCCTCGTAGGCACACGTAGACTTGCATGGCCTGTCTGTCTCTCTGTCTCTCTGCGACATACACGTTTTAAATCGCCGCGTCACTGCGGGTGGTGCGCGCGCGAAAATACTTCGTGTGTCTCTTACATACATCTCGAAAAAACTTTTCTGCCAAGTTGCTCGGAGCGATAAAAATCATTGTAGAACGATTTACATAGGCACGATTTTTACGATATTATAAAACGAAAAATAAAGCGCGAGCATATAAAGTGACACACACACACACACACGAGCTCGCAATTATAACGCGGCACAATGCAAATAGTTGACTTTTTGTATGAAAATGTATACAAGTCTCCGAGAAACGAGCGGCGCGCGCGCGCGCATGTATCACTACCGAGGAATTTCATACAAAATGAGAATTTCTTTCTAAACGTAGAAATCGAAAAAAATAAGAGAGAGAGAGAATGAAATAAAACACAGCACGCGGACAAAGAGAAGTTGAGAGTCAGATCGAGCTGTTTATGCTGCCAATACGGGGCATGACTACTGTACACGGATATCTATATAGATATAATATAATGTATAATTGTAGCACTCTAAAATCTCTCGCATGCCGCAGCTGAGCGGTTGTATTAAAGTCCGCGCTTATTATATATATAGCCGTCGAGAGTGGTAAAAGTAAGATAGACGCACGTACACACGCGTACGGTTATACACAAATATCTATCATCTATGTATATGATATTGCTATATACCAGCACACAGCACGGCGTGCGCGGAAGGAAAGGCACAAAAACCGCACGACGTACGTACGTATGATGATCGGAGAGAAGAGCGCCTGTGAGTAGAATGAAAAAAAAAAGCTCACGCACACACAGGATACAGTTTCAGAAAACCGTACGTATAGGCAAAAAAAAATCACAGACGAAAAAAAAAGAAGTAATCGTGACTTACGCTGACCAGTTTGTGTGCGTTTGTATGTATATGTACTGTGTATACGTCGAAAGGGCAACGACGCTACAAAAAAAAAAAAAAAAATGTTAACACCAAAAAAACACAAATCACGAGGATGTTGGGCCACAACTCTCTATTTCTCACACTCCGTTTCGCACAGTTTTTTTAGCGTATGTATTTTCTCACTCGTTCAGAGACACGAACTATACGCGCCGAGATGTCTCTCCTCGACGACGACGATCGTCCACTTATTTATCACAAAAATGTCACGCGGATAATATCTTCTTATCCGCGTGCGCTGCTACTGATGCCGCTCGTCATCGTCATCGCGCTGCGGGTCAATCGTTGTCAAATCTCGCACCACTACCGTAATAATAATAATGCGTGTGCACACCAAGACACACGCGCACACACACATACAGGAGCGGTGTAGTATATATACGAAGCCGGCACTTCTCTCGCTCTCTCTCTCTCTCTTATGGCTGCGTGTGTCTCGCGACCCCCTCGAGCGACTACTACATGGCAATGGGCACTCGCACACGGACACGGATATTAACACACACGTACACGATATATTATAAACACACATAAATTCACTCGCTTGCTCGCTCCTCTTTTCCCTTATGGTATTTTCGTTTCTCTCGCTTTGAGAAAAGTGCAAAACGCACGTATACGCTCTTATGCGGCTCCATCGTCCAGACTAAATATTCTCTCCACTATTATAACTTCTCACGTAGCTAGTGCAACTGCATGTGTGTGAGTGTGTTTCTGTGTTTTGTATGTGTACTTTCTGTCGAGATTCATTATGTTATACATACCCATTATCTTGTGTTGGAGCAGCATAAATAAAAACTTGAGTCGTCGTCGTCGTCGTCGTCTCGTGCGCGTCACAACGTGGTGTATCGACGATTCAATAATAAATCAAAACAAAAACAACAAGCTGTCCACTAATAATAATGGAGCTTCTCTCTTCATCAAATCGACGAGACAGTAGTGGCATTTACAACAGCAGCATCAGCGGTATTAATGTAACATACACGGTGGAGTACGCGATTCATTGTTGCCGGACTCCGCGGACTGTACGTATGTGTATACGCTGTACTCCGCTTTCGTATCGTTGTACATGGCGTCTCGCCGTCCTGTCCGTCGTCGTCTATTTACGTGCGGTCGTGCTGCTGCTGTTTATTTCAACGATCCGACGACGATGATCGACGAGCGATGCAGTGGATGCCGCTGAGATTATCATGATGCCTCACTGTGTCACAAGTCGTACAACACAAGACAACGATCGCGAGAGCACTATAGGACTGCGCTGCGCTGCCACCCGCGCACACAAACACACGTTCAAGCGCGTTACGAATTCGAAAACTCGCTGCACTTTTCTCCGAACCTTTTCTTTCTTTCTTTCTTCCTTTTGTATGTATACAACACAGACACAGTGCCAACGACGACGAGTATAGCAAATGATATAAACACACTTGTAACTCCGTTGTCGTGTGTGCACACGCAGGCGTATCAGATGGACGACTGGCTCGGTATTGCGGCTGCTGCTGCTCTTCACGCTCCTCTCAGTCAGCGGCGGCGGCGGCGGCAGCAGTCTTACTCGCACACATACACGTACCTACATACGTGCGAGGAGTGTTTTTTTCGTAAAAAAAAAAAAAAGAGAGAATCGAGCCTTTCTGCCAGTCTGCACAGTGTTGTCGGCAGGGCAGGCAGACACTCGCGGCAGGGGATCCGCTGCTGCTGCTGAGGCGGTAGTAGCGGTGGTGATGGAGGACGCTGGTCTGGTGGTGGTGGTAGCGGCAGGCAGCCGCGAGTATTTTAGGCTTCGGTCATAGTTGCCGCTAGCGCGCAAAAATCGCCGGAATTCGGCACACCGCTTTTTTCTCGTGAAAAGTCCTATTTGAAAGAAGGTTTCGCAAAATTCGAAGCCACATTTCACAGTGACGGTTCGATGAACTTTTTTTTGAAATACCGTTCGATTATTTGCACAAACAAATCTTGTGAGTCTTGGTAGAGAGAACTCACCCGTTTTCTCGCGCGGTACAGCTGACGCGGCTGACAGGCAGATAACGCGGAGCAGTCTCGTGTATATAATCGCGTGCAAAAATCTCCATTCACTCGGGCATTGCGTTAATATGCTTATTATGATCGAGCGCTGCGAGCGAGCAGCCTGAACAGCAGCAGCAGCGGAGAACTGATATTTTGTTATTAGTCCAGCGATTGCCATTATATAGCGAGCAGCGCGCATTATTATCGCGCTACGACTCCGATAATAGATAGCGAAAGAAATATAATCGACATCGAGGCTTGATCGAGAGCAGCAGCAACACAAGCAGTAGCAGTATAGTTAGCAGAAACTTCTCGAGCAGCCAGAAGACTCGTATATCAGTGTGATTTAGTTATACAGTAAAAGGTAAATAGAGGCCCGACGAGAGGATGTGACATTTCGCTCGTCCGTGCTTGGTATTATGGAAATTCACTGTGTTGCTGCAGCAGCAAACCGGTTGCTGCTTTCAGCTTTGTCATCCTCTCTCTCTCTCTCGCTTCGCGATTGTATTGTGTGTGTGTGTACTGTGTACATATAGTTGGTATGATGCATTACTTTGTGCCTTCGCGTTTGCTCTAATTGTGTCGTAAAAAATCTTGCAGCAACGAACAATCATTAGTTCCGAGATCGTCCTTTCCGCTATTAAGAGACTTTCACCAGGCGCGCGCGCGATTTTAGATGCAATTTTTGCTCTCGACTACGACGGCGCTTTCACTCGCTGACAACAATTCGTTTGATTAATTTCCCTGCTTTTCGCGAATTTCAACGGCCAATTTCCGTCGTTGATTTGTTTCGTGCGCCGTCCGACTTACGCGGTGCAGCTATCATCGCTAAATAATCCGCATAGCTCTGTATATGATAAGCCACAGCTGCAGTGGAGAGCTGCACTATAAACGATTTGCAACGTAAAAGAGTACGTCCTTGATAACGGCGTTTTTTCTACATCTCCGCGAGAGATTTACATGCTTCTGCTCCGAGAAGACATAAACGCGCGTAGTCGCTGTCGTCGTCGTCGTATTCGTTTTTATCAGCTTCATGAGTCATAGATGCATTCGTCGCGAGGATAATGCCGACAGTTAATAGCCTGTGTTTTTCACCTTTGCAGATCGCAAAAATGGCGCAAAGAACGAAAGTCTACGTGGTCGGCGTGGGTATGACCAAATTCGAAAAACCTGGCAGACGCGAGGACTTTGATTATCCACAAATGGCCAAGGAATCCGTCACCAAAGCTCTGTCCGATGCCAGAATCTCCTACGCTGATGTCAAGGCAGCAACCGTTGGCTGGGTGTACGGCGATTCCACCTGTGGACAGAGAGCACTGTACGAAATTGGCTTGAGCGGTTGTCCAATTTACAATGTCAATAACAACTGCTCCACCGGTTCCACCGCTCTCTTGATGGGCAAGCAGATCATCGAGGCTGGTGCAGACTGCGTTCTGGCTGTTGGCTTTGAAAAGATGGAAAGGGGCTCGCTGATGAGTAAATTTGATGACAGGACGAATCCCATGGATAAACATGTGGAATTGATGGCTGACATTGCTGGTTTGTAGTTTGTACATATTAAAGATGTATGATTTGATTTTCTGTACCAAACTAATGTTGCACTTTTTGCTACAGGTATGGACGCTAGCCCTATAACAGCTCAAATGTTTGGCAACGCTGGCATTGAACACATGAAGAAGTATGGAACCAAACCAGAGCACTTTGCAAAAATTGCGTACAAAAATCATTTGCATTCTGTCAACAATCCATACTCTCAATTCCAAGATAAATATACCTTGGAGCAAATTATGAACTCTCCTAGAGTTTTTGGACCATTGACAAAGCTGCAGTGTTGTCCAACCTCTGATGGCTCAGCTGCTGTCGTTCTTGCAAATGAAGAATTTGTTAGAAAGCACAAATTAGAAGATCAAGCTGTTGAAATTGTAGGAATGGAAATGTCGACTGATTTACCATCTACATTTTCTGAAAGAAGCTGCATAAAAATTATTGGGTACGTTGTCTAATGTTGTTATTTGTTCAAGTTGTTTTTGTTTAAATAACTAAAATCATTGTTTAATGAATTTATCAAACATCCATTTATCATTTAAATTAATCTCATTTTATCAATCAAAAGTAATCTCAATAATTTTAATCATATCTTTGTTGAATATTCAATGCAGTTGTTATCAAAATATCTTATTTATCATTTTTAATAACTTCATTTCTGAACATCCTTAATAAACAATTGATATGAATAAATAATTTTTTATATATTTCAGCTATGATATGACACAAGATGCAGCAGCAAAGCTCTTTACAAAAACAGCTTATCAGCCTAGTGATGTCGATGTGATTGAATTGCACGATTGTTTCTCTACAAATGAATTAATAACTTATGAAGCCTTAGGTTTATGTGCACCTGGCAAAGCTGGTGAACTCATTGATTCTGGAAATAATACGTATGGTGGAAAATTTGTGGTGAATCCTAGTGGAGGTCTCATATCTAAAGGACATCCGTTAGGAGCAACAGGCTTAGCACAATGTACTGAGCTATGTTGGCAGCTTAGAGGTGAAGCAGGCAAAAGACAGGTTCCAAATGCTAAATTAGGTAAAATGATTCCATTTTTTTCAATTTTATTTAATATTATTAAACTCTCAAGGAAGATAATAAAATGTATTTACTCTTACAGCTTTGCAGCACAACATTGGTTTGGGTGGTGCAGTAGTAGTAGCTCTCTATCGCCTAGGTTTTCCAAAAGATAAACCTTACTCATATCGCAACCAAATCGCGGCTAAGAAAGAATATGCTCCGACTCCGGATGGATTTAAAGCAACAGTACTCCTACAAGCGCTCGAAGTAGCTATGGAAGAAGATCAAGACGGTCTTATCGATCGTGTTAGAGGCATTTACGGGCTGCGTGTTACTAATGGTCCAGGAGGCTCAACTGGATACTGGGTAATCAATGCAAAAACGGGTAAAGGTAAAGTTACCTATAGAGGCACGGAAAAACCCGATGTCATTTTTACCATAAGCGACTCGGACGTAGTTGACTTTATATCTGGCAAGTTGAATCCGCAAAAAGCTTTCTTCCAAGGAAAGGTCAAGATTCAGGGAAATATGGCTATGGCTATGAAATTACCCGATTTGCAGAGACGCGCCCATAAGAAAATCGAGGCTATCCGTTCCAAGTTGTAAAATCGAAGCATTTGTTGGTAGAGTTATTGGGCAATTTCTATACACCTTTGAATGGCAATGATGCCTCGTATTTTTATGCGAATTACATGGATATGATAATTTTATATTTTTAATGACGAACAAATAGAGAGGCACTGATAATCGTCATTAATCAGCATGACGTTATTACATTATATTATGGACATTTGGTTATAATTGGGATAGGTTGAAGGCATTCCATATTTTGTAATTGCGCTGGTGCATGTTATGGATTTATGGTAAAAAAATTTGTAAAAAAAAACATATTTTATAGATTTTATAAAAGATTTTTCCTGTTATTTATACGATTTCATTGTTACTTCGTTCTTTAGATCGTAAATATGATGGGCTATTGTAATATATCTTGTGCAATTAGATTTTAAATAAAAGTTTATATGGATTTGTTTATTTTTATAAATTACTCAATTTCATTTACCGAGCAACCAACAAGTTTGAAGTTAAGAATAGCTTAAAATTTTTGTTGCGATAAAAGACGAGGAATATTAGGTGTAATGAATGAATTCATACAAAGTTAAATAATTCTAATTACCTGTATTTGAGAAAATCATCTTGTGATAGTTTTATAATCGTTTACAAAAATTGAAACATTTTTTCATTTATTAGAAGGTGTTGGATTCTGAGACTTGGTATCTATTTGGGCAATTTTTTGTTCAAGCGAATGTTTTGTCATATCTCCTACATAGACCCATTTTCCACTATGCACAGCTTCTTGTAATTTACCCATGTGCTGCAACATCTGCTCCCTTTCTCGACGTGTCATTCTTTGTTTATTCATCTGTAGAAAACAACAAAAAATATTAGTAATTTATCAAGTTCTGCTATTATCGAGTTGACGTTTTTTACTGCTGACAAAATTGATATAATTTATCGCAAAAATATATAATACCAAACATTATTTTTTTGATACATTGCTTTCATCCAATAGAAATTCGAAAATTTTTGAGAACAGTTTAGATTCGTTAAAAAATGTATATAATTGATTAAAATTTCCTAAAATTAAGCGCCATACGTTTATCAATCGCTTAGATGCGCACTACTCACTGTAATCGTTGGGAGATCCAAGTTGAAAAGATGCAAATATGTTCCGACGTCGATCGGCTACTTGTGTCTCGAGCGAATGTCAATTCGAGACTGCGACTCGCTGTGGTAGGCTCGCCTTGTAACTTCCCCCGAGTTTGCTTGCAATATTTTAATTCGAGACCTTCAAGAAAGGAACGAGCGGACACGGAGTTGAGTTACACCTGATAACGCACAAACGAACAATGGACAGAACACCATCGTGAGCCCGTGCGTTCACGCATTCGTCGAATACATTTCGTTGGCTAATCGATTCTTGTGGCTGGCATCTCGTGCGTATTTTTAGTTTTGACAAATTTGAAAAAATTTTGGGAATCAAAATTTAAAAAATGCACGAATCAATCGATTCGCGCCGAGGTAAATTCTCATCACATTTTGGCCGTTTTAATCTCTTTCGTGTTTGCATAATTCAAATTGCATAGACAACGTAAGAAACGCCGAAAATACACAGACGTCATTCAACATTGCTTGAAGCTTGCGAGCTTTCAAAAAATCGGTATACGGTCTTTTGCTCCGATGATAATTTACTCGCACGGCTGAGACAGCATAGAGCACATCAGCGCCGCACGAGCGAGCAAGTAAATACTGAGTAGAGAGACTGTGAAAAAACAGCTACATCATTATGGAAGCAAAGCGCGCGCGACTCGGCCGACACGTGCTGTTGTGTGCTTTTGACGTTTGAACAATTTTTACGTTCTAAATTGAAAATTGCATCCAAAGATTTTTTCAGCGAGTTTAAATGATCGAACGGTGTGTTTTCAAATTACCGCCCTTAGCTGTCACCTGCAGACTACGCGCAATTTGAATTAGAGCCAACGTCAAATCTAATAATGTCTCTCGCGTGCGACTTACACTTGCGCCTGTTGCGCACTGGTCGTGCTCGGTGGCGACTCCTATGAGATGCCACGACAGTTACCGGAGTCGTCAGCGGCACAGTTGCACCGAGTATACTGCGCTGTCGAAAAGTCCGGACTGTCCGAAAACGATAACTTCTCCGATCGAAGCTCGTGCGCGTGTATCGCAGCCGTTCGAAGATAAAAGTTGTAAATTCGTCGCCCTTTCAGCGATATTCTATTCGACGATAGTGCGTAGTGCATTGAACGTTCCCATTTCAACGAAGAAAACGCATCGTACGGATAAGCCCCCCGCGCGCGCGCCCGACAAACAGCCAACTTCAGGCTTCATCGGGCAGGTCGGACATCTTTTTTCATACCACACATACATACACACGGCTTGGTTCGCGTACGGAGGCGCAACAGATTATCCTACGAGTGGAGTGTTGCAGCAGCGACTCCATTTTTCACGCAGCGTACTAACGAAATTCGGGATACCGTTGCGAAGGCGCGCAGTGGTCGACGGCGCATAGTGCATGTACACATTATACACATAAACATTGAATCGAACACCGACTGTGTGCGGCGCTGTGCGCTGCAGCACCACAAGTAACTGAAGTAACGGATCCGGCCACCACTCGAGCCACTGTGCACAGTGCGCTGCGCGAGAGAGAAACAGCAGAGTCGCGAAACGCGCACAGTAGTCGGTCGAGCGACTGTATAATACCATAACAGTGAGAGCAGCTCTCGCGGCCGCGTTGTGTTGTGTTGTGTCGTCGTTGGCGCGCGCGTGTAAATACTACACATTATATTTCGATCAGACATTTTGAAGTTTCGAGAGTGAGCGGAGAGCTTCGTACAGAACGATCGAAATCATGCCGACGGACAGTGCCAAGCTGTACTCGATGCGCGCGGAGGAGCTGCAGGCCGAGTTTCGCGACCTGTCCAAGGCCCTCGAGGCGTCGCACGAGAACCAGCGCATGCTCTATCAGGCCATCGCGGAGAATCGCAACGAGAGGCGCATGCTGTTCGAAAATCGCGTGAGCCTCGCGGACGGCGGCACGCCACCGCTGCTGCGCGAGCTCAAGCGGGAACGCCTAGGTGGCGCCACCACCCTCACGGTCGTCGATTCGCAGCAGCAGCAGCAGCAGCAGACATCCGCGGCCACCAGCTCGACGACGACGATGACTCGAGTGGCGCCGGGTGGCGGCGGCGGCCTCATCGTAAAGTCGGCGTCGGGCGCGCAGCACACCATCAGGCACAGCGCTCCGCTGCCGACGACGACCTTGACGACCGCCGGTGGCGTTACCACAGTCGCTAATGCAGCTGGCGGCGGCGCCTCGTACAGACTGCAGCAGATCAATCCGCAGCAGATCAGAAGCAAAGTCGTGTATCTGAGCAACAACGGCCAGGAGATCGTCAAGGCAGATTCCTCTCCCGCGGCCCAGAAGAACATCATCTACAATATCAAGCGCAAGGCCGACGACGGTTTAGGTAGCTTTTCTTCTTCTTTCTGCTCTTATGAACTTTTTTTCCCTTTCTTCTCTTTTTTTTTACTCTATATACTTTACTTTTACCGGTCGCCGTCGCCACCCCCTGCTTGCGCGTGAAGAGGTCGGTAATCCAATTTTTTCCCTAGATTCCAAGCAGCAGATGAATCCGGTCTACATTACCAAGCTGCCGGCTACCAAGACCCTAAAACTCTGTCCGATCGAGATCGGCTCCAAGGACTATCGCATCGTTTCCGAGACGAACGCGTTGCCGGCGATAACGCAGAAGCCGAAAGTCGTGCAGACCGTGGCCAAGGTGGTGAAGCAGACGCCGCCCGTCGTCGCCACGACCCCGCAATTCAGCAAGGTCGTCACTCGAACCGTCGCGAAAATCGACCGGAGAAAGTTGAAACAAGCGGCGACGAGTAGCAGCCCCGCTAATGCGACGACGACGACGACGACGACGGCCACGCTACCCACGAACAAAGTATTCGTAAAGATGGAATACGACGATGGTGAGTTTTTCTTTGGTTGGATTAACTGCGATTGTTACTAAAAAAACAAGGAAAACGTAAGAGTAATCGAGATAATTCGTTCGTTTAGATTTGGACATGGACATTGTGGAGGAGCCGATCCCCGCGCCGACAAAGCCCACCACCAAGAGCTCGACGGAGAAGTCTACGTCGGAGGAAGAACCCAAAGACGCTGCAACCGCTGCCGCTGCAACTGACACGGCAAAAGAAGGGAAAAGTGATACCAATACTAATACCAATACTAAAACTAGCAAAAAGGCGGCGGCGGCGGCGGCTGCGGCGGAAGCTGCAGCAGCCGAGCCGGAAAAGGCCGAGAAGTCCAAAGCACCGGAAAAGAAGATCGGTATCTGGAGAAAAAGATGCACTAGAAGGACATAGTATAGTTATTTAGTACGATAATATAATAATGTTGCATACTTTTAATCGAACAGAGGAAAGAAAGAAAAAAGTATTCCGTGCCTGATGTATATTGTTTATTTACGTTTACTCGCACAGCAGCTGAACACGCTTTAAATATTTAGAGAATAATTTTATTCGCTTGGTAATCGGACGAGACGCTGCCGCCACCGCCTGTTCTGTGCTAAATTAGCACGAGAGTATTATTTATGAATGAAAAAAATAATTGGTAAAACCAGAATGGTTGATGAAAAAAAAAAGAAATGTACAAATTACATTGTAAAATTTATTATTTAATTTTTGTATCACTATATTAATGAAAAAAAATCTAGATAATTTGTAATGGATTGTATATTGACAGAATGAACAAATCATGATTATTAATATTAAAATAAACAACATTTTTGTTTAATGCATTGTTAGTTTGTATTTGTTTGTTTGTTATAACTACGAAATAAATTAAACTATACAATTTACTTGTCCGCGCGCAAATAATATCGAAATCGGAACCCAATTCATTTCAAAGGTCGAACTTGCTTATAAGACATCGATGTATTTGCTCTGCCATTTTAGCACTAGCAATTAAATTTTCATGTTTTTACTTTTTTTTCAGTATGTCTATTCGGCAGCCGTAGCGTATGTGCCAACAAGCCCATTTTACCGTCCGAAATAGCTAAGAATATTATTGACTTAATTTTTTGTCAAAAAAAATTTTTTAGTACTGCTGGTCGGCCAAAAAAAAGCTCTTATGCAAGCTCAAATGACCCGTTTATAATCTTTTTTCACTTTTTTCATAATAATGAATATTACGATAAAAATTATTGATCAGCTACAGGAGCCTGAAGCGTAGTTCTTCATTAACCGATTAAGTTCTGGTAAATGTCTATGCAGGCGACCATTTTGCATATTATTTTTTTTTGCAAGATATTTTGCGTTTTTATCCTACGAGTACAATTTAAGCAAATCAATGAGTTCAATTTTTTTTAATTTTATTATCCATTTCCAACAAAAAAGATATTACAGTTACAATGTAGTATAATGTGCAAACATAAACATCAAACCCTAGGTTTTGTATATTAATGATTTTCTGATATGCATCTTTTTTGTATCAATTGAAATTTTTTCGCAATCGGGAACAATGTTCACGTACATGAACGAGCCATCAAGAGCTTTGGTCAGCAGCTGCCATGCAAATGTTCCTTAAATCTTCGTTCGATAGTTTCTTGATGATCATTTCGCAGCAGAGAATTGGCAGCCGGAAATGTGTCAACTCCATAAAAGGATCCAGTGCCCAGCGTCGAAAAAATCTCCTTGATACTATCTCGCACAGATATACAACACAAGACTCTTGATGCTTCGGGGGCAGAGACCAGAATCTGATCCTGTGTGCGAACTCAAAGTCAGAATATGTTACTCGTTTTTCCGCCTCATCGAGTCGTAATCGGGACAGGCCGTAGAGCGACAGACTCGGATTTATCATTATCGTTTTTGCTTTCTTTGTTAACTCTTTGACATCGTACCAATGTTCTTTGTGATCGGTCGCCCATATCTTGAATAATCCTTTGTTATCGAAACATTTCATGATCGTTAAGATTTCGTTTCGGTCCAACTCGTATCCTCTTTTTTCTAAGCACTCAACAACGGACAAAGCACCGGATGTTAGGCGAAATTTAAAATTAATAACAGATTCATAACGAATTTTAAAATTAATTTTTTCACCAAAGTAACTCGAATCGGGAAAAATGAAGCTCGACAGATCGGCACCACGATCTAAGAGTACATCGACGGTTTTCGGCAAGAGATTCGCCACGGCCAACTGAAGTGGTGTCCGGCCCAACTTGTCTCGGGCGTCGACCTTGACCAGCTGATGATTTTCGTCGTTGATCTGGAAAAACAGCTCGGCAAAGTCATCGTCGAGGTATCTCTGGCAGATATAGTGCAGAGGCGTCGATCCCTCTGCATTAGCTAGATTAGGATTGGCGCCTCTCCTCAGCAGCAAATCGGCCACCTTCTTCTCTCCCTCTTTCAAAGCCAAGTGCAGCGGTGTGTTACCCGATTTGTCACGAGAATCGATTTGCACCGGCTGATTTTTATTGTCGATGAACTCGAGTAACATGTCCACCAACTTATTGTCGTATATTTTCTGACTGATAATAATGTGCAGAGGTGTTAGGCCATCCTCATTAGCTAAATTTATATCGACGCCCATCTTCAGGAGAATTCGAAGCAATGCGTTGTCGCACCACTGCAGAGCCAAGTGTAGTGGTGTGTTGCCCGACTTATCTTGAACATTGACTTGCAAAGTTTGATTCAATTCATCCTTAAACTTCAAGAACATCCTCAATATTTCCTCACTACTAATCCTGAAGTAGTTTTTGCAAACAATATGCAGAGCTGTCGATCCCTCGTTGTTGGTCAAATTTGGATTGGCGCCCTTACGCAGCAACAATTCGACCAACCACCTGCGATTGTATTTAGATCTTAATACCAAGTGCAAAGGTGTGTCGCCCGACTTGTCCTGAGCATTGATTTGCACCGGCTGGTGTTTAACGTCGCCAAGCTTGAATAATATCTTTGCCAAATCGTCGCGTTCGTTGTCTCTGCTGCAAATAATGTGTAATGGCGTCGATCCGTCTTCGTTGGTTCGATTCACCAGCTGATGTTTTTCCTCGCTCAACTCGAATAACATCATCACCACGTCAATATCTCCTCCTCTTTTGGGAGTACTGCCCCAAGACGTCCGTTCATCGTCGTTCAAAAAAATCCAATTCTTATCGGGGCCTCTTCTCAGCAACGATTCTATCGCCTTTTTGTGACCGTTGTCCACAGCATAGTTCAGTGGGGACCTACCTAATATGTCTCGAGCGTCAACCTCCACCAACTGATTTAATTCGTCGTTGATATTGAAGAAAATTTCCGTCAAGTTGGAGTCGTATTTTCTCTTGCAAAACATGTGCAAAGGAGTCAATCCTTCTGCATTGGCCGCATTCGGATCGGCGCCATGTCTTAGCAGTAATTCGATTACCTCGTTGTCACCGAAAGCACCCGAAGCAAAGTGCAACGGTGTGTTGCCCATTTGGTCACGGGAGTTGACCTGTGCTGACCGATGTTTTTCGTCGATGAGCTCGAGTATCATCTTCGTCAAGTCATAATAACGGAGAGACTTGCAAATTAAGTGCAGAGCAGTTAATCCCTCTTCGTTGGCCAAATTCAGATTTGCGCCTCGTCTCAACAATAATTCAGCCAGTTCTTTGCTACTGCTGCTCTGCAGAGCCAAGTGCAATGGCGTGTTACCTTTTTTGTCCCGTGCGTTGACCTCCACCCGCTGATTTAACTCGTCGCTGATCTTAAAAATTAGCTCCATTGCATCATAGTAAATGACTCTCTCGGAAACCACATGCAAAGGAGTCAACCCTTCTGCATTCGCCAAGTTCGGATTGGCGCCTCTTCTCAGCAGAAATTCGGCTTTGACCCTAAAGTTGCGCCCCAGAGCCATATGCAACGGTGTATTGCCTTTCTTGTCCCGAGCATCGACTTGCACTGGGTGAAATTTTTCGTGACTGAGATCGAATAACATCTCCCCTACTGTCACTAATCTGTCCCCTCGGCGGAGCTCCTCGCGAAAACGATGAAGAATCGTTGATCCGTCCTTGTTAGCCGAATTCGGGTCAGCGCCGCTTTTTAGTAACAATTTTATTATTTCCATCGACCCACAACTACCTAGAGTCAAATGTAGAGGCGGATCGACTGAACTCGCGACCGATTTTTGCCCGAGGCAATTGGGATCCTGGCCGAGCTCGAGGAATTTTTGCACAACTTCGTAAAGGCCGAATTGGCAGGCCGCATGGAAATGTGTCAACCCATCCTCGTCGGTGTAATTCACGTCAAATCTGTCGTAGATTTTAAAAAGTTCAGGAATCACGTCAGACCCGACACCATATCCTTTCCTAGCTGCATGATGTACTGCAGTTGTGCGACGTGACGATGGCTTACCGTCTGCATCAATGACAGGATTGTCTTTATAGCCGGTGCTAGCCACGAAACTGATGAAGCGAACTCCTATTCCGTCCCCAGTTCTATGACATCTATCACAGTAACTTATTGAATCCGAAAGAAGCAAATCGATTTCTTTGGGCCGAAAAATGTCGTGGAGATCAGGAAGTTGACCCTTCCAATGACTAATCATGCTGAAAAGTTGATGCAGAAATTCACGTCGCTCATTGTCAATCTGCCAGTTGAGCTTTTCTTGCATACTTTTCAATTTTTCTAATTTTTTTTGGTTAATATAATTCATTTTTTCTTCACCTTCACTTCGGTCACAAAGACTACTGTCATCGAATTCGTCATTGAACAAGTGCCACATTTTCTCGCTCACACACAACACACAATTACAATTTGATATATATTTTTTATATTTTCCACGAGAATCACTCGATGCGATATTTTTTTTTAGCTTCGCACACCACGACGTCTTTACGTGTACTGACTCTATCCTCTTATGGCTAATTTCTATATATAAAGTGTAAAGGAAGTTCGATGGTCGAAGCTAAAAAAAGTACAAGATGCTACGTGCGTGTCGTTGTATTGAACACGACCCATGCGATGAAGCAGCTGCACGAGAGGGACCGACACGAATACATACCGCTAAATAGGCTGATTTTATTTTGACTTAAGTGGGACATTTTTGAATCCGTTCTGACTTCTGCGGCCGATGCGCTATTCACGGTGCGCATCGACTGTGAAACAACTCTGAATCGACTTATAGTTACTACTTATAAATTGACTCTCATATTCTATAGCTCATAAGGTTTAAGACTTCGCAGTTTCAAGTCGAAACAGATTCAAAAAAATCTCCAACCTAAACTAAATTATGCTAGGTATTGCCGTGAGCCATAAATAATACAGAATAAATGTTGAGAAAATTAACAAAAGATAGCAAAAATATTGCTACTATATACTAGACAGACGTTAAAAATCGACGTTTTTAAATGATGTCATGCTAGTCTCGAATCAATAAAACTTCTACTACTATAATGGTTTACTTACTGGTATAAATGTTTCATTCACTGGTGCATTGTGTATTATTTCCCTTGTTATTTGTCATTTTATTAATAAAAGGTGAAAATCAGAATTCTTCAAAAATTCTATTCAGTAGAGAAAGACATTCCTCACTTAAAATCCTCACTTAAAATCCTCACTTAAAATAATCCTCACTTAAAATAATGATGGACCTGAAAGTGAAGCCAATCCTCTCTTAATCTATTCGGCCTGTGATTGGTCGAGTTACTTATGCCTCGAGACGAAATGCAATAAAGTGACACCTACGGTCAAAATAGTAACTTTCTTAAAACCCTATTGAAAAATTTATGAGCCCAAAGCGCGCCTGAAAGTTGCTAGTTATATGATAATATATCTGAATAATAGCCTTTAATTTAAAACGTTGATTTGAGCTAAATTTAAACTAACTTTTTTGAAACCTTTTATTCACTGGGTATGTGACTCTATTTCGGATCATTCATGGCACCTATTATATCATATTCAAAGTTGAGATAGTAAAATTTTATCAAGAGCAATATTAATTCATTTTTAAATACTCGCATTTCTATGGCTAACGTGTATAGAATCTTATTTAATGTTTACTATGAAAGTCGCACGAAAACTAGCGCATGCTCTACCAGGCCATCGCGGAGAATCGCAACGAGAGGCGCATGTGGTTCGAAAATCGCGTGAGCCTCGCGGACGGCGGCAGTCGGCACACCGCCGCTGTTGTGCGAGTTCAAGCAGCAACGGATAGGTGACGCCACCAAACTCACCATCGTCGATACGCACCAGTATGGCAATGTATACCAACTATGATGCCAATAAAAACTTACTAAACGATCCGCACCAGCAGCAGACACCTGCAGCCACCACCGCGACAACGATGATGACTCGAGCAGCATCGGGCGCGCAGCACACCATTAGGCAGTTGGGGTACATTTTTTATAAAAATTTTTTTATAATTTTTTATTTTTTATGATCAAGATTTTTATAACGCTTATTTATTATAATACTTTTATTTTTAATCTATTTTTATAAACCAAAATTTTATAATCTTATAATGTTACCAATAGTTTTTAAGTATGACATGATATCGTCATTTTCAACGTAATCATAGTACTGTAAAAACAATGCCAATAGTTTTTCTACTTTCTTTTTGCGCTCTGTGCTAAATTAGCACGAGAGTATTATTTAGGAATGAAAAAATAATTGGTAAAATCGGAATGGTTGATGAAAAAAAAAAAAGAAATGTACAAATTACATTGTAAAATTTATTATTTAATTTTTGTATCAATATATTTATGAAAAAAATCTAGATAATTTGTAATGGATTGTATCAACAACTTGCACGAATATATATAAATGAATGGACAAATCATGACCATTATTATTAAAATAAAGAACATTTTTGTAAGGAAAATGAAATGAAAGAAAATTCGCATTATTGCACAAGCCATCGTCACCTTCGTCGAAGTTCATCATCGCGTGCATCGAGGGTTTGTATTTGTTTGTTTGTTTTAACTACTAACTATTATAATTTTCTCATCCTCGAGCAAATAATACCGAAATCGGCTGTAAACACGTAATCGCCTACCCACGACATTCGTCCTACTTTTTTTTCATTCTCTCACCCCCGTGTCACACGCGAAGCAGTGTCACCATCGGTATGATCGTTCTGCGCTTAATTTTGTGCTGTCTCCTGGCGCAAGCCTCGTCGACGTCATCGTCGGGCAACACAACTATCCGCCGCGAACTGCTCGACCTGGTGGCCTATCGCCAGAGCAAGGCCAATCAGGGCCAGCTCTACGACTGGCTGTATCGACTGCTGGAGCACATCTTCGCGCACAGCCATCGCACCACCGTGCTGTTCGATCGGGCCGGCGGCTCGTTCAACAATTACGCGCCCACGGTGATACAGCGACGCGCCGGCCGCGGCACCATCGATCTGGCCTTCGAGCTCTTCGCCGAGGACGTCGGCCTCGCCAACGAGGACGTCAATTACCTGGTGATGTCCCGGACCTTGGACTTCTTTCTGGGCGCCTTCGACGACGCGCTGCACTACAAGTACGCCAAGTACCTGATCGGCACGCAGATGGACCGCGAGGAGGACTTCCGGGCGCTGCTGCGACACCTGGAGGCCCGTGACTACGCCTACGTGACGATCGTGCGACTGGTGAACGAGACCCGGGGCCGGATCTATCAGTTGCGCAGCCAGAACAGCACGATCTATCCGCATCGCGAGCAGCATCTGGTCGCGGTGCTGGAGAAACCGATCGCGGAGCCGCTGAGCTGGGCCGAGGTGGTGCGCGACGTCAGGCCCTACTCCCAAACCATATGTCCGGTGAAGAAGTGCCGTCTGCACGCCAACAGTTTGAAGGAGGAGATCGTGCTGACGCGTTTCAGGGCGCGCGAGTACCAGACGGCCGTGCGCGACCTGCTCGACACGTTCTGCGATCTGAATCGTCTCGTCGATTACGTGTATTATCCTCTGAAGCCGGCCGAGTACTGGTGGCAGCTCGAGGAGCAGCTCAGCCAGGAGCTCAACGGCATCGACGTGATCTTCGGGAATCTGCTGGCGCCGCCGAATTTCACGGAGCTCTTCGACGTCGTCTGCGTCTTCAAGTGAGCTAATAGTACTTACTACCTCAATAAAAATATTAAACAAGATCTTATGACAATTCTTGAAGAGAAGATCTTATGCTCGATCTTACGTAAAATCTTACGTATTATTAATATTATCGACAGTAGAAGTTTGGACAGAAATTCTTACGGAAGATTTGGTTCATTGTATGATAACTTAATATATGCATGTACTTGAGAAGTTCTTAGATGAAATCTTACGTAAGATCTTGAACAAAAGTATGAACGAAAAGGAAGATTATGTCTTGCGGCAAGATTAATTTAGTTTCTTAAGCTAAAAAAAATAGTTTTTCTGACGATTTTTATTTTTAAGATCTTACATAAGACTACTTAAGATCTTCTGAAAGTTATTTCTCAAGTTCTTAAGATCTTACTTCCATACATAGAGTTTAGTAGAACTAACTTTTAACTAAAAACTCGTGTGAATAATTATGTAAGATCGATATTGTCGATAATCATACTCAAGATCCAGCGTAAGATCATATGAAAGTTCGCGTTAAGAATTGATTGAAAATTTTCGCACTCATCGTCACCGATCGCGTTTGTCGCAGAGAAAACTCGTACTACTTCGCCGATCTGCTCGAGGATCTCAAACCGAACGTCGGGGCTCTCCTCGAGCCGTTCGACGCCTCGATCTGGGTCTCTTTCCTCGGCGTGGCCGGCCTCTGCGCCTGCTTCCTGCTCATGACCTCGTATCTGCGAGCTCGTCGGCTGCTGCGCGAGTCCGGCCGCGTCTTCGACATCTACGCGGTGCTGTTCGAGCAGGGCGCCCGACTGCCGGGCCACGGCGGCATACGCGCCGTCTTCGCCATGTGGATCGTCTTCGCCTTTCTCTGCGGACTGTTCTACAACGCGGCTTTCAAGACGTCGCTCATGAACGCCGATCACGGCACGAATTATCGCACCCTGGGCGATTTGGAGCTCGATGACGTGGACGTGCTGGGCGGTCCCGAGGCCGTCAAGGAGTTCTTGAACGACACGGAGAACGAGGTGCTGCTGGGTCTCTATCAGAGGTACGAGATCATCGCCGCGGACGAGATAATCGAGCAGCTGCTCGATCACGACGTCACCGTCGCGCTGTCCAAGATGCAGATCGACAACGTCGCCAGGGGACTGTTGCGCGAGCCCGACGTCGATCTCTACTACATCGAGGAGCCGATCGTCACGTTTCCGCTGCTGCTCTATCTGAAAAAGGGACATCCATTCGTCAGTCACCTGCAGCGGCTGGCCATAGACAACGCAGCGACGGGTGCCATGGACTACTCGAATTACAGCGAGTACGACTTGGAACCGCCCTACAGCTCGTCCAGCTACATCGGCTTGAATCAGTTCGTCGTGGCGGTCTACGTGCTGCTGATCGGTTTATCGGCGGCCGGACTGGTGCTGCTCTGCGAGGTCTATCACAGCGCGAGGAAGAAGAAGAAGATCGAGGCGGAGGCTGTGAAGCAATTGAGTGACGCGAAGGAGTGATGATAATTAATAATGTAATATTATATGTTACGGTAACGGGATAAATAGCTCAAAGAGAGAGAAGAGAATTGTAGAAGTTTTAGTTTATTTTTAATAGCTCGGAAAATTATTTTAATTAATTATTTTTCAGAAAAAAGAGCAGAAAATAATGAAGGTTTAAAACGAGAAAAACTAGTACATACTAGTACATATGGACGCCAAATTTGAAGAAAAAATTGTTTCATGTTCAACTCTCGAATAAAGCAAAAATCTGGAAAATAAATTACACACAAAATTCATTATAGAAGTAATCGAAAATGTGTGAAAGTGTGATAATATGTTTATTTTATTTTAGGGCCGAGTTTTACTTACACTTCTGGGGTGTAACAGTACCCGGACACTACAAAATATTATAGGATATTTTTATTTTAGCCAGTATAAACGTTCGGACAGGTGTTTAATAATTATTTAATGAGTACAAATCAACGAAATTAACTTTAAATAATAAGAAAAATATTTAGCAATACAATCGCAAGTTGGATCACTATGGCTGCTGCGAAGCTAAAAAATAAAGCATTCGTCACAGCGTCCGGGACACTATTATAATGAAAACATCGCGTGTCACATGTGTGTTCTCTCTTTCTCTCTGTCAGTGTACTACATGGGTCCCACACTGTCGATCCTTAATCCCGATTATAACGTTTCTCCCCCCATGCGCACACTAGGATGCAACACACTACACGTATACACAGACAAGAGTCGTTTATTAGCGATTTGCCCATCGTGACTGTATAATAGGTAGGTGTACTGGCTATATAAGTAATAGAGGGGAGGAGAAGAACACCCCCTTTCGACGCTCACGGCGCAATCCTTAAAAATGTCACACATAAGCGATATGGGGACACTGCATATACGCACACACACACGATTTAAAGATAGGTATATAGGTGTAGTCGACGACGACAGTTTTTCCCATGAGTCGCCCCCTTACTATATATGATAATAACCATACGTCATTATTGCACGCGTCGACGCCGCCGCAGCGGCTTCGATTTGGCAATTGCACAATTGTCGCTTTATGTCGCGCGACGATCATTATTATTATTATTTTATTTTTGGCCTTGCATATTGTGCGTATGTATACGAGTCGATGAAAGGAACCAGAAGTGCCGTCGAGTGCCAAGTAGAATATAATATAGTATACATATGATTTTGAGTACTCGAGCAGAGAGTGCGAGTGCATATACGTATGCTTGTTGGGCCTCGAGTGCATCGCTCGAGCGCAACATATACACCGCGATAGAAAACAAAAAGGATCGTAACGAAAATGTCCCGTGCCACATGTAAATAGTTATGAAGTTACAGTAGCTGCACCACCTGCGCGCTCAATTAGACTTTTATCATAATGCTATACTACGAAGGAGAAGAGGGCAAGCCTCAAATCTAGCTGCAGCCCTGGCAAAGCCTCTCACTTGTGCATCATATATAGGTATATGTGCACAAATTCGCGCACCGGCAAACTCGGCGTCCCCCACCCGTTTTCCCCCCGCATCTCTGCCGCCGCACAGTCCCGGAGTCACTTCGCGAACACATATACCTATATATATATTGTCCGCTGCTTTCGCACGCAGAGAGACACAGACAGATACACTCGGCTCAGCACTCGGCAGTATCCCGCTAACGCTCGAACCGCGAGCACGCACAGGCCTCCCGAACGTCGTTCGTTTGTTCGTCGATCCGTCCCCCCCTTTCAGCCGCACTGTATACATTGTGCATTATATACACACGATACTATCGCGTGTTTCGTGAATTTTTGCAGCTCCGATACCTTTCTACTACTGAATTAATAATAAAACAACATCTTGGAAGTCGCGCGAGGTGTGTGATTTTCTTCTAACACGAGTTTCTGTCTCTATCGGCGCCCGCCCCCACCGAAAAATTCAAATTCACGCGTGTGCTGGCTGCTGTTGTTGTTGTTTTGGTCTCGATGGTTCATGCAGTTTCTTGTTGTTGAGTAGTGCAATTGTTGTTTTACATCGTGAGATCGTATCGAGCTCGCTGTCGCTCTCTGCTCGACTCGCCTGTATAACCTAGAAATTCCGCAGTGCGAATAGTCCCCGAGCGCAGTTTTGTTTATTTCCAAAGGATATACACGCGAGCGGCAGCGCGACGCTGTGAAGTGTGTGCGCGTGTGTGTGCGTGTGTTGTCAACGAGTGCACAAGAAATCGTCGTCGTCGTCTCTGAATATAACATAACTCGCGTGTGATAATCTTCATCTTCTTCTTCTTCTTGCGTGGGGACTCCTCTGCGCGATAAGAGACACAAGTGTGCCAAAGGACTGTCTGTCGTCGTCGTCGTTGTTTTTCCTCGATCGGTGAGTAATCGTGTCCCTTGTATACGATACACAAATGTTTCTTTTCTTCCTTCGTCTCTTCGGTTCGTGCGCGTAATATCAAGCATCGTTATTTCCGCGTCTTCGGGGGCAGCAAGTGTCAAACCCTCCCCGCGTGTGCGAGGGGGTCTCGTGCCGCGCGCGACAGACGCGCACATCCGGCTAGTTGTCATTTCTTTTGCATTTTTCTATTTCTCCGTTCGCAGCCAACACCGCCTGCAAAAATCGCCTCTCTCTCTCTCTCGCGTTTATAGCACGGCGTGTAATAATGTGTATACACATGTATACGCGAGGGCTACCGTGCGCGCAGCTCATTTCGTATTCAAGGCGAAGGCCAGATAAAAAAGAACGAGGGGGAAAAAAATAAATAAACACCACCGTTATTGTGTATGTCCGCGTGTTGTGTTCTCTCTCTCTGTCTCTATCTATCTCTCCCGACTCGCAGAAAAGAGAAAGAGATAGAGAGTAGAGAGAGAAGAGAGAAGAGTTCGAGAGCCGCGTCCGTCGCGGATTTTCGCACACGCACGTGCGAGGATTGTATAAAACTGCTCTAACGTCGTGCTGCATAGCATCATGTGCACAGCGCGTGTAATGACAATTTTAAGTTTAAGCCAACTCTGCGTGGCGGTGCCTCGACGTTCGTTTATAGTTCCTTCGAGGAGGAGGAGGATTAAGATTGTGCTCATGTATACCATACAGGAGCTGCTGCTGTAGGTACACCTCGCGCAAACGAGCGGATAGTAATAACGATAATAATGATAATGCCGATCGCGATTTACGCATACGTAACGAGGCACGGTGCGTCGCGACAGCTACTTGTACCTGTACATTCCTTTCGACGTTCGTGTGTATGTGCGCGTCTGTATGATATACGACCCATCTTTTACCTCTTGTTTACATTATAACATTTAGGCGTGCGCTAAACGCCGCCTGACATCGTTTAGCCGCGGGTTTCTCTCGAAAAGCGTCTGCGCGTGTCTGTCTCTCGGCTGAATTCCTATTCATCGGAGTGTCAATATAGAGGCGTCCCCGATGCACGCACTGGTTTTTACGCGTATCCCATGATAATAAATCAATTTCTCTAACTACTCGGGTTCTTCTTCTTCTTCTTCTTCTACTTAACTTCTTCTTGCAGCTGAGCACAGGTGTATAGTATGTAATAATAATAATCGGCGCAGAGGCGCGATAAGACAAGTCAATAAACAAGTCAAATCAGCTTTACATATTTTATGTACTTTGTACATCATTTATTTATAATGAGCAACGACTCGCTAATCGCCAACTCGTTATCTCTCCCCAAGTGCACTATTTAATGTACAATAAATACGTTGCATAAATAAAGCAAACTCGTTTAACAATTGCGTCGCAGTGTCAACGAAGTAGTTTTGACACAACGCGTCGATACATCTCTCCCTCGTCCATCGACAAAAGTTCACAATCGAGTCGTGTACGAGCTTTGCTTCTCTTTTGCGCTCTCCGGAGGAAAATTATTATCGCAAAGTCTCTGTCTACGGCCGATGCTCGCTCCGTCGTCGCGACGAGTGCATCATTATGCCACGAAGCACCGATAATAATGCCCCTCTCGATATAATTTATTATCGTCGTTTTATTATATTGCTATACACTCGGGTACGTCGCGCGTGTATGTGTGTAGCTGCTCGATCTCTAAATCGTCCCTGCACGCGGCGATCCTAACTGTGTATATTACAAGACTGGCAGGCATGTGTGTGTGTGTAGCTTCGTGCACTTGTGCGCAGGTAGGCCTCCTCGCGGCTCACATATATATTTTATAAAATACATACATCCTATATATACTGGCCCTCGTCGCGCGCGGCGAAAGAAGGACGACGAGAGGAGTCGTGACCATAGGCCGTGCAGCTGCAACTACTATACTACTGCGCAGCATCTCGTGCTGCTGCTGCTGCAGTAGTTTGGAATTCAGCCGCGCACTACTGCATGTATAGCAGTGTGTACCGTGTATATGTATGAGGAAACCTAGATCGTGACGCGCAAGTGGACGCTCCAACACCTTCGGCACTGCTGCAGTGCGCTTCTGCCGTTATATATACACACACACACACACACACACACACGAGTCTATATATGCAGGAGGAGGAATTGAATTTCAAGAGGCTCTCTGCGATGCGCTCTTAACTTTTGCTCTCTCGAAGCCTAGCTTTTCTATATGGATCTCGCGCGCGTGTGTTTGTGTGTATGTGTAACGAGCCAAACGATTTTAAGGCCGCGGCAGCGCGTGGGCGCGCGCGAAAAATGTTTAATAAATTATAATGCGACCGGCCCACACTAAGAACAATCACACGTATGCACAAACTCACACACACACTCAAGACATCGAGATAGAGAGAGAGACATAGATTTAAACTTACTCTCTCTCTCTCTTCTCTTTCGCGAAACTCGTTCCGTGTCAAAGGGTTAAAATAACGGTCGATTGCTCTCGTGCCAGCCGGCCGAGCGGCAATTATAAGTGCACACAGCAGCAGTAGTATCGCGGCCTTGGAGAGTTTTTCAAGTATATTATACTTTTTATATAAAATACGCAGCGCGACTTCGATTTTATAGTCGAGCTTTTCTCTCCCTCGCATTGTCCGATTGTATGCGCGCGCGACAGACACGCAGAAAGTATATGGATGCCTCGCGCGCGAGAAAATAAACTCGTTCGTTACCAGCGATGATCGCTCCAATTAAAAGGCACGCGTGTCTTTTGCCCAGCTCTCGACGCAAAAGCGCATTGCAACATATATGTGTATAGTGTAGTATATATTTATACGCGTGTGACACTTGTCTAACGATATTTGTTGCGCGCACTCGGGCATGTGTACCATATACACAACTGTGCAAGTATGTATATAATAATAAACGCGGCACTCGCGCGGAATGGCACTTTAATGGCTAATTAGCCTTTTCCCGCGTGGAGGCTCGCTCTTTCGAGCTGCTGCAGTACAATAGCGCCACGGTATCGTATATATTTTCAGCTAACGCGAGTTATTTACGAATAAACACGAGTTATTTTCCTCTCTTTCTCTCTCGTTTTCCCCTCGTCGTCGACGACGACGACTTTCTTATCTTGTTGTAACATGCGTTTTGACGACGCGATCTCGCGGCTCGTTGCAGTAGATAGTAATAGCTCGAGAAAAGGCGAGTGTCTTCTCTATCTCTCTCTCTGCTTTTTTTTTTTTTTTTTTTTTGGAAAGCAAAAAAAAAGTATAACCGGAAACGAAGCGATTCGTCCGGATTATATCCGCGACGTCGACTGCGCCTTTAATGTATTTACCCGTGTGGCTTTATTTTTTATTTTCATCAAAACTATACCACGCAAAATGAACCACCGAGTGCGAGAGGTAAAACCCCGAGATAGCCACTTGCCCTCCTATACACTGGATATATGTTTCTACTCTTCTTCTTCGTCTTTCTATTGCCTTTTTTTTCTTATATTTATGTATCAACGACGTCTCTTGTCCTCCTTTCCGATCTCCGCAGCAAAGACTTACGGTGCAGTATCTCAACTACTACTACTACTAACTTCTACTATATGGGCTCTCTGTATAGTGGTCCTTACCTGTTTTTCAGACACTGTACTGCTGCTATCCTGCAATGACGTGTTTCGCGTGTATACACATTTTATTGCGTGCGTTTTACGGCTGGCTTTGGGTTTATATGTGCACGTACCTATATCCTACATCTACCTACACGCGAGCTTTCTCATTTTGCGCGTCGGAAAATCGGAGCTCGAGCCCAGCAGTAACAGCAGCAACAACAAAAGGAAAAATCGGTTCTCTCAGCTGTGTGTGTGTAATCGCTCGTAAAATTTCAGCAACTTTATTATATTCTCACTGCGGTGCGCGCTCGGTGAAATTGATTGTATATATTACATACACCTTTTGTGCGCGAGTACACGCATCCGTAAGTAAAAAAAAAAGTAAGTTTAACGTCTCTCATTTTCACGGGGCCGAGTTGAGGCAAAATTAACAGCAACAAAAAAATGAAGGAAAGAAAGAAAGAAAATGGACAAAAAAGTGCTGCCGCTTGCGTATAGCGTCTCTTTGGAAGCACACCGTATATATATGGGTCAAAATAATACTTTTTTACAAAACCGTGCGCACGTATGTCACCGATCTTGACGCGCTTTTGGTATGTTATAGTACATGGTAAAAAGGTCCCAAAAAAAAATTTTTAGACCCCCTCCCCCCTCCTACCCCCCACTTCCGGTATAAACGTCCATTTTCGATCTATATTTTTTCTGAGGACATGAAGCAAGTAAAAAATCTGAAAAAATTCATAAAAATACTTTTCCACAATCCAAACAACCTTGAATTTTTTCAGATTTTTTGAGTGCTTCAGGCCTTCAGATAAAATCATTGAAAATTTCAAAAATCGAGATACGGCGGTATGAGCCGATGTAGTACTCGGAAATTTTTTCAGTTATTTTTCGCATTAAAAAACATAACCTCAATTTTTTTCAGATTTTTTCAGATTACCTAACGCACCTTTTGAAGCCAAAAACCGATTTTTTTGACGAAAATAATTTTTTTAGGACAGTACGGAGCCTCGAAAAATCTGAAAAAAATTTTTTCTTGTTTTTTTCATCAAAATACGTAATCTCAAATTTTTTCAGATTTTTTAATTGAAGGCGATAGCTTCTAGGGCCGAAAAATGCTATTTTTAACAAAAAATGGTTCCTAGAACCCGATGGTTCCGGTGAAAAAATTTGAAAATATTTTTTTTGAATTCCTTGTCAAATTTTAATAAATTTTGACCGTTTCAAAAGTTCGATTGAAGCTTCCTAGCTCATTTTAGAGCATCAAACGAGTTTTATCATTCCTTAATGTCTTCAGAAACGTCTTCAGATATTTTGCACTAATCTTTGTCCTGCTCTAAAATGAGCTAGGAAGCTTCAATCGAACTTTTGAAACGGTCAAAATTTATTAAAATTTGACAAGGAATTCAAAAAAAATATTTTCAAATTTTTTCACCGGAACCATCGGGTTCTAGGAACCATTTTTTGTTAAAAATAGCATTTTTCGGCCCTAGAAGCTATCGCCTTCAATTAAAAAATCTGAAAAAATTTGAGATTACGTATTTTGATGAAAAAAACAAGAAAAAATTTTTTTCAGATTTTTCGAGGCTCCGTACTGTCCTAAAAAAATTATTTTCGTCAAAAAAATCGGTTTTTGGCTTCAAAAGGTGCGTTAGGTAATCTGAAAAAATCTGAAAAAAATTGAGGTTATGTTTTTTAATGCGAAAAATAACTGAAAAAATTTCCGAGTACTACATCGGCTCATACCGCCGTATCTCGATTTTTGAAATTTTCAATGATTTTATCTGAAGGCCTGAAGCACTCAAAAAATCTGAAAAAATTCAAGGTTGTTTGGATTGTGGAAAAGTATTTTTATGAATTTTTTCAGATTTTTTACTTGCTTCATGTCCTCAGAAAAAATATAGATCGAAAATGGACGTTTATACCGGAAGTGGGGGGTAGGAGGGGGGAGGGGGTCTAAAAATTTTTTTTTGGGACCTTTTTACCATGTACTATAACATACCAAAAGCGCGTCAAGATCGGTGACATACGTGCGCACGGTTTTGTAAAAAAGTATTATTTTGACCCATATATAATAATATATAGCACGTATGCACGCACATTCGTTTTTTCGTGACGTCAGTTCTGTAACACTTTTGGCGCATTGTGGCGTCACGCACGCACATCCGCGGCGCGCACAGCCTCTCGTGTATACATACACTCGCGTGCGCGAGCACAAATAAGTATCTCGTTCGTATCGTATAATAACTTCTTCTTCTTCGTATATGTCTTTTCTTGCTGCTGCTGCTGCTGCACCGACGATTGACCCATCCCCGGGGCCCGGTCGTTGTGTATAGATATATACGCGCGCACGAGCGCCGCTTGTGCGCGCGAAATCTTCGCGCAATTAGATCGTAAATTTCTTTCTTTCTTCTTTTTTTTTTTTAACTTTCTCTGTGTGTACAATGCGCATAGCGCATTTATGTGTACCCGCGGACTTTCCTAAAACGTTTGTGTGTGAGTGTATTATCGTTTATGCGCGTCGGTCGATCGATAATTCGAAGTTTCGAAAAAAAAAAAAAATTATTTATAACGCTGCGTGCGTAAATGTAAAACGCGTCCGAGCAATTTATGCATTATCTTTCGGACTTTAATTGAATAATATATACATTATACGCGTGGCTCTCTGTATCCTCGCGAGAATCACTTACCTTTTCTTCTCGCGACTTTTATAATAAAATTAAGTTCAGGATATGTGAGTGTGTGGGGATTTATTTTCGTCCAACCAATTGACGCACGTTGCAGCCGGTACTCGCGTATCGTTGTTACTTTCATTAAATTCCAATTTTCTCGCAATTTTTTTCTTTTTTTCCATTTTTGTTTGCTCGTGTATAATGCACCGAGCAGACGCTAATAAATGATCGTCGATATATAAAAAAAAAAGGCCCGGGCATGGCGCACTATAAACTTTCTTTATCGCTGCGATTGTAACGACAACAACGATAAAACGTTGTTTTAATTTATACGCTGCGCATGCGTGTGCGTTTCTTCTTTGCGTTAGCTTTTTCAGCTTTTTACATTTTACACGTGCTAAAATTACTCGAATCCATTTGGTTTTTAAAAAACCTTCCAGTACTCTAAGACCGATAATATAGCTGTTGAAGTTATACTGAAAATTTAAGTATCACGTATGTCAACCGATGATAAAACAGACAATTATATTATCTTTTAATTTCTCGAATCGGTATAGGTCAGAAGTCGGAAAAAATTCATACATAGGCTGTCAAAACAACCCACGTAGGGTAGCGTCGAGAACGGAGCATCTATCTCGTTCGCAGCTGCGTGTGTTCAGTTCAACGACACAATGTTTTTTTAGCTTCACCCACGAATTTTCCTTCGTATATACGCTTTATATATAGAACAGCAGCGTACGTGGATAGTCAGTACACGTAACGACGCCGCAGTGTACAGAGCCAAGAATCGACTAAATCGAGTGATTGCAGTGAAAAAAGGCAATATCTCAAAAAATTATTAGTGACTGTGTATTGTGTGTGTGTATGTAATGAGAATGAATAACGAGTTATTCAAAATTAATCCCCGCGTAGGCGAAGGGGAAGATGATAAAAACAACGAATATTATAGAATATTGTACTCTTTATTCGCCGTGATATTATTATGTATATTAAGTTGTATTGAATCACATCGTATAAAACAAATGAAGCATATTTACCAAGAGAGATCAAAGAAATTGAAGGCATTAAGAAAAAATGTCAAATTGGAGATCGAAAAAGAACGACGTCAATTTCTACGTCAACTTCATCCCTTGATCAAAGATTGGACGGGACGATCGCCTTATCTCCGGGTCATTTTTCGGACCGAAGAAATTGACTGTCTTCTTACGGAGTCCGTAAAGTGGCCTGAAGTAGAATTTTTGATAACAGGAAAAGGACAAAGAGCTCGATTCATCGATTTCGTGGCTCGCAGCGGCTTCAAGGACAGACCCGACATCAATAAAGGCGGAAAGTTGCATCGTACCACACCGGTGCATCTCGCGGCTAAAAGCTGGTGCTGCGACATAGAAATCGTGATCCGCGAGCTTTTTAAAATCTACGACAGATTTGACGTGAACTACATCGACAAGGATGGATTGACGCATTTCCATGTGGCCTGCCAATTCGGCCTTTACGATGTCGTTGAAAAATTTCTCAAGCACGATCAGGATCCCAACCTCCTTCTGGAATCGACGGGTGAATCACCTCTGCACATGGCTCTGAAATGGGGCCAAAAAGAGGTAACGCGATTGCTGCTGGGATACGGCGCCGACCCGACCTTGGCTGGCCAAGACGGTGTCACACCCCTACATCTTGCAGCCAGTAGGAAGGATTACAGCGACGTGGCGAAGATGTTATTCGAGGTTGGCGAAAAGAAACATCGCCCGGTGAGAGTAAATGCTCAGGACAATGAGGGCGACACACCTTTGCATTTAGCTGCGAGATCGAACTGCGTGAAGATGTTCGAACTGCTGCTGAGGAGAGGCGCCATTCCGAACTTGGCCAATGCAAAAGGAATGACTCCACTGCACGAGCTCTGCCTGAATGAGTGTCATTTCGATTCGATGGAGCTATTTTTTAAGATCAACGACGAGTTAAATCAGCGGGTGAAGGTCAACGCCCGTAGCCAAAGGGGCAACACACCGTTGCATTTTGCTTCGAAATTCGGTAACAAAAAGCTGATCGAATTACTGCTGAGAAATGGCGCCAGTCCGTATGCGGCCAATGCAGAAGGAATGACTCCTCTGCACGAGCTCTGCAAGAATGAGTATCATTTAGATTTGGTGGAGCTTTTTTTTAAGATTAATGACGAGTTAAACCGGCCGGTGGCGATCGACGCTGTGGACGCGTTGGGTAGGTCACCGCTCAGATATGCTCTGGACTGTAACAACACAAAGGCGAGCGTATTTCTGCTGAGGAGAGGCGCCGATATGAATTTGATTCGGGAGGACGGATCGACACCTCTGCACTCGATTTGTTCGAGTGGCTGGGACGAAGACGTGGTGAAGGTTTTCTTCGAGCTCAGCGACGAGAAGCATCGGACGGTGCAGGTCGATGCCCTAGACAAGAAGGGCAATACACCGTTGCTTTTAGCTCTGAGTAAGGGGAAGAGTGAGGTGGCCAAATTTCTGATGAGTAAAGGTGCCAATCCGAACTCGACCAATGCAGAGGGTATGACTCCTCTGCACATCATATCCAAGGAACGCATCGATGTCGATGTCGCGGAGATGTTATTCGAGCTCGGCATCGATAAACGTCGGCCAGTTCGAGTCAATGCTCAGAACAAGTCGGGCGACACGCCGTTGCACTTGGCTGTATGTCAATACGATCGCAGGTGGGTGGTCGAATTGTTGCTGCGTCAAGGCGCCGACCCGAACTTGCCCAACAATAACGGATACACGCCTCTGCACAACATATGCACGACGCAAGTGGACAATTGTGAATTGGCGAAGTTATTATTCAAGCTTGGCGACGTTAAACACCAGCGGGTGCAAATCGATTCTCGTGACAAATCGGGCAACACACCGCTGCACTTGGCTTTGAAAGAGGAAAAGAAGAAGGTGGCCGAGTTGCTGCTGAGGAGAGGCGCCGACCCTAATCTAGCCAACGAAGAAGGATCGACAGCTCTGCACTATATCTGCCAGAGATACCTCGACGATGACTTAGTCGAGCTGTTTTTCCAGATCAACGACGAAAAACATCAGCTGGTCGAGGTCGACGCCCGAGACAAGTTGGGCCGGACACCACTTCAGTTGGCCGTGGCGAATCTCTTGCCGAAAACCGTCGATGTACTCTTGGATCGTGGTGCCGATCTGTCGAGCTTCGTTTTTCCCGATTCGAGTTACTTTGGCGTCGATTCGAGATATACAGAGACTCGTTACTTGTCTAAATTCAATTTTCAATTGAAAGCACCCGGTGCTTTTGTCGTCGTTGAGCACCTAGAAAGAAGGGGATACGAACTGGACCGAGTCGGAGCCATGACGATCATGAACTTTTTTGTTAAAGGATTCGAGATTTCGGCGGACATTTTTGGAGAGCATCGTCTTAATCCTATTTATTCTCCTCGTCTGTGCGAGATAATGTCGAGATTTTTCCGACGCTGGGCACTAGATCCTTTTATGGAGTTGACGCAATACCGGCTGTCGATTCTCTCCTGCGAAATGATCATCAAGAAGCTATCGAACGAAGATTTAAGAAATATTTGCTTGGCAGCTGAAGACGAAAGCTCGTTCTATTTCGTAAACATGTAATTATAATAAACGTTGCAAAAAAGCTGCTGTGGATCAAAATAATCAAATATATGAAAAACCTAGGGCTTAATATTTATATTTGTTATTGACTGTAATAAATTTAGTTTGTAACTCTCCAACAAATCTCCTAGTTATGTAATAAAGTTGATATTAAAATAAAAAATAAATTAAAAAAAAATAAAAAATTAATAAAAAATAAATGAATAAATATGTAGAAAATACAGAGGAAAGTCTTGGTTAAATGATTTTTTTTTACTCAATGAAAACTTCATTTTCCCGAAATTAAATAATATCATCAGGATAAATACATAGGAATAATTACTTAATCTTGTGGATGAGATTTAACGCATAAACTATGCGACCAGAGTCTCTGCTCACTCTGGGTGCTACGGCGCGATGATTGGAATCAGACGAAGTCATGCTCTTATCCTTTACACAGCTCGTGAAAATCGCAAACACCTATACTTTTCATAAAATCAATACCGAAATAAAACCGCGAGATTTTTCGATCTATCTGTGTTGAACTGCAGAGCAAAAAAATGATTCAAACTCGTGTCAAATCATTGACAGAAATCAATTAATGAAAAATAGACAATTTTCAATATTTTTAACTGAAATTTTTTTACAACTTCTTTAATGATTAAACTTTACTGTGTAAAAATGTTCCATTAATTGGACTATTTGTTTTTGAAATGCAATTTAACTACCCATCCTTCTAAAATAACTTGAAACACTTGAACGTTATAAGCTAATAAATACGAGAGTCGATTCAGAGTTGTTATACAGTCAATGCGCAACGTGACCTGCGCATCGGCCGCACAAGTCAAAATGTTGTATATTCCTGTCTCTCTCTCTCTCTCTCTCTCTCTCTCTCTTTCTCTACCTCTTACTGTAATTTTTTACTCATGTCTATTAAATATGTAACGCTTATACCTTAAGTATTAGCCTGTGTGCTATACAGGTCTCCATGGCCTAATAGATATTCTAATCGAATCTCTCGTTCAGCTGCTTGATCGCATGGGTAGTGTTCAGTACGACACGCATGTAGCATCTTGTACTTTTTTTAGCTTCGACCATCGAACTTCCTTTACACTTTATATATAGAAATTAGCCATACGAAGATAGAGTCAGTACACGTAAAGACGTAGCGGTGTGCGAAGCAAAAAAAAAACATCGCATCGAGTGATTCTCGTGGAAAATATAAAAAATATATATCAAATTGTAATTGTGTTTTGTGTGAGCGAGAAAATGTGGCACTTGTTCAATGACGAATTCGATGACAGTAGTCTCTGTGACCAAAGTGAAGGTGAAGAAAAAATGAATTATATTAACCAAAAAAAATTAGAAAAATTGAAGAGTATGCGAGAAAAGCTCAACTGGCAGATTGACAATGAACGACGTGAATTTCTGCATCAACTTTTCAGCATCATTAGTCATTGGAAGGGTCAACTTCCTGATCTCCACGACATTTTTCGGCCCGAAGAAATCGATTTGCTTCTCTCGGATTCCATAAGTTATTGTGATAGAAACAATTATAGGATAGAACTACGCTTCATCAGTTTTGTGGCTAGCACCGGCTATAAAGACAAGCCTGTCATTGATGCAGACGGTAAGCCATCGTCGCGTCGCACAACTGCAGTACATCATGCAGCTACGAAAGGATATGATGTCGGGCTTGACGTGATTCCTGAACTTTTTAAAATCTACGACAAATTTGACGTGAATTACACCGACGAGGATGGATTGACACATTTCCATGTGGCCTGCCAATTCGGCCTTTACGAAGTTGTACAAAAATTCCTCGATCTCAGCCAGGATCCCAATTGCCTCGGGCAAAAATCAGTCGCAAGCTCAGTCGACCCGCCTCTACATGTGACTCTATTTAGTAGTGGGTCGATGGAAATAATGAAATTGTTACTAAAAAGCGGCGCCGACCCGAATTCGGCTAACAAGGACGGATCAACGATTCTTCATCTTTTTTACGAGGAGCTCAGCCGAGGGGACAGATTAGTGACAGTAGGCGAGATGTTATTCGACCTCAGCCACGAAAAATTTCACCCAGTGCAAGTCGATGCTCGGGACAAGAAAGGCAATACACCGTTGCATTTGGCTCTGGGGCGCCACTTTAGGGTCAAAGCCGAATTTCTGCTAAGGAGAGGAGCCAATCCGAACTTGGCGAATGCAGAAGGATTGACTCCTTTGCACGTGGTTTCCGAGAGAGTCATTTACTATGACGCAATGGAGCTACTTTTTAGGATTAACGATGAGTTAAATCAGCGGGTGGAGGTCAACGCACGGGACAAAAAAGGTAACACGCCATTGCACTTGGCTCTGCGGAGCAGCAGTAACAAAAAACTAGTTGAATTACTGTTGAGACGAGGCGCAAATCTGAATTTGGCCAACGAAGACGGATTGACTGCTCTGCACTTAATTTGTAAATGTCTCTGGGGTTATGATTTGACGAAGATGATACTCGAGCTCATTGACGAAAAACATCGGGCAGCACAGGTCAACGCCCGTGACAAAATGGGCAACACACCGTTGCATTTTGCTTCGGGATTCGGTAACGATAAGGCGATGGAATTACTGCTGAGAAACGGCGCCGACCCGAATGCGGCCAATGCAGAAGGACTGACTCCTTTGCACATGATTTGCAAGAGAAAATTCGATGTCGGCTTGACGGAAATTTTTTTAAATATCAACGACGAATTAAATCAGTTGGTGGAGGTCGACGCTCGAGACATATTAGGTATGTCCCCGCTGTGCTATGCCGTGGACAACGGTCACAAAGAGGCGATAGAATCGTTGCTGAGAAGAGGCCCCGATAAGAATTGGATTTTTTTGAACGAGGATGAACAGACGTCTTGGGTCAGTACTCCCAAAAGAGGAGGAGATATTGACGTGGTGATGATGTTATTCGAGTTGAGCGAGGAAAAACATCAGCTGGTGAATCGAACCAACAAAGACGGATCGACGCCATTACACATTATTTGCAGCAGAGACAACGAACGCGACGATTTGGCAAAGATATTATTCAAGCTTGGCGACGTTAAACACCAGCCGGTGCAAGTCAATGCTCAGGACAAGTCGGGCGACACACCTTTGCACTTGGTATTAAGATCTAAATACAATCGCAGGTGGTTGGTCGAATTGTTGCTGCGTAATGGCGCCAATCCCAATTTGGCCAACAACGAGGGATCGACAGCTCTGCACATCCTTTTCAAAAAGTTCCACTTTAGTAATGAGGCAATAATTAGGATATTCTCAAAGTTTAAGAATGAATTCAATCTAACTTTGCAAGTCAATGTTCAAGATAAGTCTGGCAACACTCCGCTACATTTGGCTCTGAAGTTGTACGACGACACTTTGCATCGAATTCTGCTGAAGATGGGCGCCGATATAAATTTAGCTAATGAGGATGGCCTAACACCTCTGCACATTATTATCGGTCGGAAAATATACGATAATAAGTTGGCGGACATGTTACTCGAGTTCATCGACAATAAAAATCAGCCGGTGCAAATCAATGCTTGTGACAAATCGTGTAACACACCGCTGCACTTGGCTTTAAAAGATGGAAAAAAGGAGGTGGCCGAGTTGCTGCTGAGGAGAGGCGCCAATCCTAATCTAGCTGATGCAGAGGGATCGACCCCTCTGCACTATATCTGTCAGAACCACCTCGACGATGACTTTGTCGAGTTATTTTTCCAGATCAACGACGAAAAGCATCAGCTGGTCGAGGTCGACGCTCGAGACAAGTTGGGCCGGACACCACTTCAGTTGGCCGTGGCGAGTCTCTTGCCGAAAACCGTCGATGTACTCTTATATCGTGGTGCCGATCTGTCGAGCTTCGTTTTTCCCGATTCGAGTTACTTTGGTGAAAAAATTAATTTTAAAATTCGTCATGAATCTGTTATTAATTTTAAATTTCGCCTAACATCCGGTGCTTTGTCCATTATCGAGCGCTTAGAAAAAAGAGGATACGAACTGGACCGAAGCGAAGTCTTAACGATCATGAAATTTTTCGATAACAAAGGATTATTCAAGATATCGGCGACCGATCACAAAGAACATTGGTACGATGTCAAAGAGTTAACAAAGAAAGCAAAAACGATGATGATAAATCCGAGTCTGTCGCTCTACGGCCTGTCCCGATTACGACTCGATGAGGCGGAAAAACGAATCACACGTTCTGACTTTTTCGAGATCGCACGCAGAATCAGATCGTGGGAGCTGCCCTCGGAGTATCGGGAGTCTTGTTTTGTGTATATGTGCGAGATAGTATTAAGGAAATTTTTCCGAGAGTGGGAACTGGATTTTTTTATGGAGTTGACGCATTTTCGGCTGCCCATTCTCTGCTGCGAAATGATCATGAAGAACCTATCAAACCGAGATTTACGGAACATTTGCTTGGCAGCTGAAGACTAACACTCTTGATGGCTTGTTATTTTTCGTAAAAGTTTCGTTTCGTTTTCGTAAAAGTAACTGCGCATCAAAATAATTATAAATCTAATAAACCTAGGGTTAGATATTTATGTTTGTATATTAGGCATTTATATAAACCGTAAAAATTTTTGTTAGAAATGAATGATTGGTTGAAATAGAATCTATAATAATATTCGTTGATGGAAATAGATGAAAATGGATAGTAAAATTTAAAAAAATTCATGAAAAAATGTCATTCATTAATTTGCTTGGATTGTAATTAAAATAAAAAGAAAACACCAAAAAAAATCTGGAAAAACTAGATCATTTTTAACGAGTATCACCTTCTTAAAAACTACCTAGCTTGGCAAAGACAATATAGCAAATGTATAGATTTCTCATTGTCTCGTTCATCACTTCTCGATTTGCTTCTTTTTTTTTATTGCAGCACTTCGCGCGCGAAGAACGGGTATTTATATTCACAGAATACTTGGATCATCCGCAGCAGCATTACCCCGAGCTGACACACACATGCACATTGCACATTGCACACATTACTTTCTCTCTCTTCTTTCTGTCTTATTGCTCAGCGTGTGTCAGGGGCATAAGCTCGGAAACGCGTTAGGATATACTCGTATACAGCTCGCTTAGCTCGCTCTTCATCTCCGCACAGTACATTGGCTTCTTTTTCTCTCTCTCTCTCTCTCTCGCGTGTGCACTCAGGATGCTCGACGATGCTCCTTCGAGAAGTAGTGCACTTTTGATACTAAATATACTAAGAAAATTGAGTCCTTTTTAAAGCTTCGTCGTGCGTCGGTAATGCGCGTCGATCGATCGATCGAGTCGTCGTCGTCGTCATTTTTCTCACCCTCGAACGAGTCGAGAGCTTTAATCCTTCCCTTTATCTCGAAACTGTAGCAGTTATTATCTACTCCCTCGCTTTTGTTCTCGTTCCTTTTTTTTTGTTTCGCGTCGCTGCGTGCGATATTCGGCGCGAGTATATCTGCACGGTCTCGCGCCCACTTGTTGACGGCTGCGGATGATCGTCTTTTGCACGCATGCAGCAGCAGCAGCGGCAATTGCTGAACGAGCACGGAGAAAGATGCACACGCAGCGCGGAGCTTGCCTCATTGTTTTCGCAGCAGCAGGTCCCGCGTGCTCGTATAGGTACATTATTCTCTCTTCTTCATCCTCTTCTTTTTGCTTTTTTGCATCCTTTATTTTTTCCATACGAGCCGTGAGAAACAAGAGACGAGCTCTTGGATCGAATTAATCATGAGGGCGTGTACGGTTTATTTTTGTTTTTTTTTTTTTTTTTACATTTATCGAAGAAAAAAGAGCGGATGAAAAAGCAAAAAGGGAGATTTTCATACGTCGTAAACAAAACTTTCTCGTCGTGTAGAATTATCAAACGCTCCGTGAGGCGCGCGGCGTCTAATTTAGCTTCCGTTTGACTTTGCATTTTTCTTAAATTGCATTTTGCAAAATGCTGACGAAATCTGGGTCACAGGCCTGTTGCTGCACCGACACTGCCACTACCACTACTACTGCTCTCTTCTTGCGCTGCACTGCTGATACGTTTCGCTTTAATTGTTTTTATTACATATATATACAAAGTCACTCTCCCAGCAAAACATATAATGTAATACATAAATTGAATTCAAGCAGTGCACCCGCGCGCGAGAGTTGAGAGAGAGAGAGAAAGAGGGACCCAAGCCTGGCCTGCCCATATGCATACATAAAAACATATCGGAGGCATTACAACTTAATTCTAAGCACGCGATTGAATGTACAGTAGCGTTTAAATGCAGATATTCGAATGAAGAACGAGAGAAATCGGTCGAGTCTGCGGTCGCGAGAGCATTAGAAAGAGAGATATCAGCTGCGACGTGGACATTGGCAAAAAAGAAAAGGAAAAAACCTTCCATTACAACTGCCGCTTCGCGTGCATTACGATTATATTTATCGCTTCTTTTTTGGATTTTACATACGATGAAAAACACACGTTACGGCGCACCTGTGCCTCCGTCAAGACTTGGATTAACACGAGACGAAAATTTATGCGCTTTTCCCCCTTGATATTTTCTTATTATTACAATATCGTTGTATTCTCCTGCCGTAGCGGCCGTAAATTCGCGAATAATTTCGCACGACGAAAGGGCGAGAGAAATGCTAAGCTATCGCTCGTCGATATACATATCTCTTATATCTCTTTATACACATACGTGCGCAGAGAGAATAACGACGACGAGGACCGAATGATGCGTTTACCCGCATATACAATAATAATAATAATAATAATGATACATAAAATTCGAGACTGCGCGAGACAAGACAAAAGCGAGATCGTATACGATGCGGCTTTCGATGCATCGAAGCACGCTTGGTGTACCCGGTCTTTTCTCGTTTTCACGCTTGAATCCGGTTCGAATAAATAAGCTCGACGTGCATCATAAAGCTCTCTGCTCTCGACCGCAGATCTCCGTATAGCAACGCGTGCAGTTATTATATATAGGCGTCTGGTCGTCGTCGCCGTCGTTGTCGTGAGCTCATTAACACGGCCGGGCAGAGATCGTTGCGGGCGTCGAGAGAGAGAGAGAGAGAGAGAGAAACACGTCTCGGTCTCGAGCGAGCGATTGATAATCAGCCGCACGCAGTCGAGTAGGGGTGCGCGCTACAGAAAATAATAATAATAATAATAATAATAATAATAATAATAATAATAATGAAGCACGCGGATAACCTCGTTTTTATACTGGCATAAGCTCGAGAGAGATATTTCATTTTCGCGAAAGAAAGCTCTCTCGCTCTCTCTCTCTATTTCTCGGCTGTCGCGCGGCACGTGACTCTTGTACACCGCATATATAAACTAGACGCGACGGAGACGACGTGCAGTGCAGTGCAGTGCGTCAGGTTGAGGTATTATCATTGTCACTATTATTATTATCATTATTATTATTATTATTGCGGGAGACAGCGCGCACGCGGGGAGACAGCTCGGCGTGGACAGGTTTTAACCATCTAGCGAAACACGCCTCTTCGTGATCTCTCTGCGCGCGGAGACTTGCGGCTTCGGCCGCGTGTACCGTTTCAAAATTGACGACGACGACGACGACAACACCGCAATCGGTGGTTTCGCGTGTCGAGAAAGACAGAGGATGATTGAATCGGGGTTGAAAGAATATTGTGTTGTTTTTTTTTTTTGATTATCCAAGTGCGCATAGCGGTATATGTAGACGAACAACGAAAATTGATTGTAGTCGATGAGTTTTCTGCTGCGCGTGCAACGATTTTTTTTTTCATTTGCGTCGAAATTCAAAATTGAAATCGACTGAAATTTCACCGGCGTACGCCCGTTTTAATTATTGCTACACGCACACGATCGCGTGCATTCTCTTTTTTCGAATTAGCACGATATAGCGTTTCGCGTGTAATCCGAAATCTTGATTCTGTGTAATTAAATCCAATCGAGTTATATAAATTATATATTATAAACGTCGAAAGTTATACACGGTAATACAAAAGTTTATACTCTTCGATCGTTTGCTTTGTTTATTATATATCGAAACGAGTTTTCGACTGCCTAAAGTCAGCGTCTACCTGTCCAAATAGAAATTCATATTTTTTATACCGGGGTGAGAGAGAAAACAAAATGTTGTCATTGATTTTTTTCCTTTCGGTACGGTCTACATTTGAATTAAAGTAAAAAACGTGCGATTCTTTCTTCATTGTCAAGAATCTTTTGTCTCTTCACTTGCAATAATTGACGCGTCTGTATAAATGCAGAGAATGTTGGGTAATTCTAATTTAATTTTTCAAGTGACATTTTATTCCGTATAAAAATAGATACGCTCGACGCGTTATCAGTCGCACAAGGACGTATAAAATTAGCCATAGACCTCCCTAGACCATTTTTTACTTTTATATAGCTCACCAGCTCGCGCTGCAAAAGAGGATCTCGTGTGCACGCGCACGATCCTCTGCAACAACAAAAAATGACCGTGTGTGTTTGTGTATGTGTGCAACGTCTCTCCTCAACGGTGACCGGTTTTCACTCGGACGCTCCCCGGCTCCACGCACTCGTATAAATAAACGCGCGCGCGCGCGAGTTCAATGTCATTACCCCCTTATACGAGAGTGTCGCATTATATATACAGCCGAGTTCGAATGCAGCGCTTGCAGATATTGTAGGATGTATTTAAAAATCGCCTTCTTTATCGCGCCCACGCGCGGACGTCTCTTTTTTAATTGCGCCGCGCGTTTCTTATCAATCGAGCGCAGCTTTTGGTTAATACGTGTGTGTGAGTTTCGGATCGCGTGGGACGATCTCTGCCAAGTCGCTTTATTGAAAAGTATCGTACGTATTCATCTTCCGATTATTGCTTAGGAAGAGCAAAGTTGCCAAAAAAAAACCCGCAGCTCACAAACCACATCCCGACTATATACGTCATCGTACACGCGTTGCCGGGAATTGCCGAGAGAGAGAAAGAGTCGTTATGCGATCGAACAAAAGCTCATCGAACGAACAATCGACGAATTTTATCAGTCTCGTAGCGCTATAAAAATAACATATACATTTCTCCGAAAGGAAAAATGTGCGCGTGCGCACAAATCGCGATCCATACATATCGGATATTATATACTTGTATCACTCGTCTCGAGAGCGATGCATCACGAGCTGCGCGTGTATACATTTATTTATTATTTATTATAAAATAGAAATATATATCGACGGATCGAAGAAAGAGAAAGTCGTCTTTTGCGCGCCGCAACTTTGTGTTTCATAATTTACCTTAGAAGAAAATAAAATGTCTCTCTCGGTGGAGAGAAAGAGACCGGAGAGAAAAAAAGTCATTTGGTCGCTGCTGCTGCTGCTGCTCCGATCGGAAAGTAATATACAATATATCCGAGAGACTCGACGAGATAGATAGACAAGCGTGTAAAGTTGCTTGTCTGCTGATTTTTTTTTCTCTTGTTTTTTTGCTGTTGCTCTCCTCCTCGTCTTGGGAACATTAACACACATACACGTGCGCGCGGCGGCGGCGGTCGAGAGTGAGAGGAAAAGTGCCTTTGATCAATGAAGCGCAGCAGCCACCACTGTATACAGTGCGGTGGCTACTGCGGCGATGGCGATCGAGCGCGTGGACTCGGTAATTTTTTCCTCTTTTTTCTTTTACCTTGGATATATAGTAGCGTCCCGATATTATTGTATCGGGGAAAACGACGAAGAATCGATTCGTTTCGGCACGGGATAATAATGCAAGCATACACACACCGTACAAGAACGATATCGTTTTATAAAATATACAACTTGTGAAAGTGAGCGTAATCGGCTCGTTTCCGGTTTTTATAGTCTGTCGCGATTTTTTTCCTCTCTCTCTTCCCTATATATACCTTTTTTCCCCGTTTACTTCTCGGCTTCAATCATAATCGACGTCGATGATGATCGGTCGGAATAAAATCAACGTCGGCGAGATAGAGAGAAAGAGAATCCCTCACGGCTTTCACGTGATACATATTATATACGCGCTGCGACGATGAAAACGCAAAATCGTAATTATGCTCGCGATCGAAAACACATCGTCTGGAAACTTACGCTCGCAATGTACTCTCGTCTCCTCGCGAGCGATAAGGTTTTGCAAAACATTGCGCGCGCGCACACACACACGTATACACAGACGCATAAAAGAGATGAATGTGTATCGTATATAGAGTTTGTTGTTTGCGCGACTACATAATGTGCTGCACTTGCACATATATATTACAAATACGCACAACGAGGCCAAAGATTAATGTCTGCAATACAGAACGTAGATGTTAGAAGCAAAATTGCTGAGAGAGAGAAGAGAAGAGAAAGCCTACACTACTACTTGTCCCGTGTGTGCCTTGTATGTGCAGCCTCTTATACTAATGTGCAAGCCCATATGCAAATGAACGATTATCGAATATTATACATGTACCTGTGTATGTATGTACACTCCTACATCGGCAGATCACACGCATACATAAACGAAGCTCCAAATTTGTTCGCGCTAAATGTTAACCTCGCGTTGCGTAACTGCACAATGGGGACTGCCTGCGACGTTATTTATATGTATAATAATGTTGCGCGCGCCCGTGTCATCCTTGTGTAATTAGCCGTGGATTTATGTAAGTACACATCGTCCGTTGTTGTTGTTGTTATAAAAATGCAGCCGCAACAGAACCAGCGGCTTTCATCTTTAAAGGAGAGTCCATTAAACGAGTGAGGGAGAGAGAGAGAGATTATCTGGAGCACGTGTTCTGCCGATCGTTGCCAATACACATTTTATTATTATTATATATATTTCATGTATATGCACTTGTCTGCATATCATATAACTGCCTTCTTGTGCAACGTCGTCAGCGCGAATGAGCCGGCATTATTATTTCATTATTATTTCTTCATTGTTATTATTATTATTATAAACGAACGCGAGAAGCACACCGCGGGGCAGGTATTGTTTTTTTGTGATACGCCCATCGCGGACTTTTTTGATTGTAAAAACCGCAACGCAGTCAATCGGCGTTTGGGATACAAATATGTCAAGTACTTTACACACAAGTGCCTCGTACGTATGTCGGAACACGCGCGTGCATCATATAGCGCGTAGGTGTCACCCGTCAGGAATTTTCGACGCCTCTCGTACAGTGACACTGCGACGCGCCCGAGAAATTATAACTGTTCTCGTTGCCTCTCTTCGATTTTCGCACCTTCGTTTTTTTTTTTTTTGTTTCTTTCCGATCGTCGGTCCATACGGTCTTGCTCGTGTGACTTTCGCTCGACACCCAAAACACACAACGTATATATCCAAACACGCGCTCTCGACTTATCGTCGCGCGCAATCAGTCTTGTTTCTCCTTATCGGGTCCCTAATATGTACGAGCCGCGGAGATAGAGGCTGGAATATATGTATACATCTCTCGTAGCGCTCATCGGGCCGCGCTAACTCGATAATAAGCTTGACCGCAGGATAGTATACGAACATACGCACGAACGCTGTTGCGCATATAGCAATTGGAAAATTATTTTCGGCGCACATGAATCACACGCGTGTGCGTGTGTAATGTAAGCGTGTCTCGTCGAATGACTTTCTTCGCGTTTTGAGCCATGTTTTCCTCTCGAATTTGTTATAAAGTTTACTATATACCACTACCAGGCCGAGTCGCGAGCAGCGGAGCAATTAATTATAAAAACGAAAGTACGGCGTATAAAGCACACGTATACACGGACGCGCGTTGTTTGCTTATAAACGATGATTTAGATTTGATCTAATCGCTCCGCGGAAACACCATGCTGCGTTTATTTGTATATTCGTATATACAGGAGCAAAGCAAAAAAAAATGTAACGCGAGACTTGTGCGGAGCAGCAGCAGCAACGCGAACAAAGGAGAACAACCTCGTGCTGTATCAATCAGGGCGCAGTGGAGTGCGGCTTATTTTTCGGTGGTATACGTTATGATGCCCGATGTAAATGCGCGAAGCTTTTTTATCGCTCAGCGGCGGCGAATGCGCTTTGTAGAAAAGAACTCGGAACGATAAGAGCTGCCGGCCGGGCGCGCACACGATATCGAGGAAATGCAATTATATTACGATAGATAGAGGCGCGATGAATGTAATCGTGAGAGCACCAAAAAAAAAAAAAAAAGACCGCAGATTATAAACACCAACGTATGTGCGTATGTGTAAAGTTGTTTTCTTCGACGAGCGTTTATAATATAAACTTACGCAAATCAGTGAAAGCAATACACGCGCGTAGACGCGCACACGTATGTATGTACGATACACGATACACGAGTATCTCTCCGGCTTTGGAGCAAAGGGTCGTTTAACTCCGGAGCTTCGCAGAGTTCGATAATGCGCACGAAAGAGGAGAGGAGGATGAGAGAGATGATATCCGAACGCAGCCGGTTTTTTCGCGAGAGGATCGCGTGCAGCGGCGTCGGCCGAGCATCGTAAATAAAACTGCAGGTGTACGAGAAAATAATTTGTTACGTTTAATTAGGAACTTTTGAGCGTGTATTATACCGTTGGTGTCGAGGTAGATTTTCGAGGCTACTCTGCTGTATTACAAGAATGTAAACAAGACGTGAGCTCGACAGATACGCGTACGCGAGCGATCGAGTCGTCGTTTAGTTCGATTTTCCGAAGCCAACACAACTGACGAACGATGAATGAGTGATTTTGAAATTTGGTGAGTGTACGCAGCGATTTACAACGACAATTTTTCATAGGCCATTCATTAAACCGATCGTGTGTGTTTTTTTTTCTATTACTCGTTGCCAGACTTTACAAAAAGAATTTAACGAAGTACCTCGTGGGGCTCAGATGTCAGTCGTCCGTATAGGTACATATTTATCGCGTATAACTACTAGGCCCGAAAATGCAGGCGATACAATCCTTACCGGGGACGACGAACAATTATGCGTCGAGTGTCTTTTTGCCGCCTGGCCAATATCTGGATCGACTGCCACCGGTTTTAGATCATCAGAGAGTGCCAAATGCACCACTATCAACGCCGCAGCAACAATCGACTGCTCGAGTCATGCGAAACGACTGCTCGCAGCTGAGATTGAAGATCGAGCCGTATCAAGTCGCGGCACAGTACAGAAACGAGAGCAAAGGATACGCTACGATCGTGCGAAAAAATTCGTTCACGCGGGTGTGCGATGAAAATTCGCCACGAACGATTGCTGCCCAGCACAATGGATACTCGTCGCAACCGATTACATATCGGCAAAATCGAAATTTACCACAGCCTATGCAACAAAATGGAAATTCGCCACGGCCAATTTTAATCAAGTCGAAAGGAAAATTACTGCAGTTTATGCAACGTAATGGAAGTTCCCCAATCCTTATGCATCAAAATGGAAATTCTCCACGGCCAGTTTCATTGAATCCAAACGGAAATTTTCCAGAACCTATGCAGCCTGATGAAAATTCACCAAGGCCAGTTTTGATCCAGCAAAATGGAAATTTCCCAGGGCCAGGTTCATTACATCCAAATGGAAATCCACCACGGCCAGTTTTAATCCAGCAAAATGGAAATTCACCAGTGCCAGTTTCATTGAATCAAAACGGAAATTTTCCAAGACCTATGCAGCCTAATGAAAATTTACCAAGGCCAGTTTTGATCCAGCAAAATGGAAATTTACCAGGGCCAGGTTCATTACATCCAAATGAAAATCCACCACGGCCAGTTTTGATCCAGCAAAATAGAAATTTACCAGGGCCTGTTTCATTGAATCCAAACGGAAATTTATTACAGACAAGTTTTATGCAGCATAACGGAAATTCGCCACAACCAATTCTAGCCCAGCAGAATGGAAATTCACCACAATCCAATCCTATGGGATGTCATAGAAACTCACCCCATCGAAGTCCTATCAACAATAGTGAAAATTTGCCGCAACCACTTCCACTTCCACCGAATGGTAATTTACCACACTCAAGTCCTATGCAGCAAAATAGAAATTCACCACGGCGAAATTCTTTGCAACTAAATGGAAATTCACCGCAACCAAGCCCTGTGCAATACATTGTAAATATACCACAGTCGCGTACTATGCAACATATTCGAAATTCACCGCCTACATTTTCATTGCAGTCACATGTAAATTCACCCCGACCAAGTCCAATGCAACATATTGGAAATTCGCCACAACCAACTCCACTTCAGCAGAATGTACATTTACCACATTCGAGTCCTATGCAGCCAAATAGAAATTCACCTCGGCGAAATTCTTTGCAACTAAATGGAAATTCACCAAGTCCTGTGCAATACAATGTAAATATACCACAGTCACGTACTATGCAACATATTCGAAATTCACCACCTACAATTTCATTGCAGTCACATGTAAATTCACCCGGACCAAGTCCAATGCAACATATTGGAAATTCGCCACAACCAATTCCACTTCAGCAGAATGTAAATTTACCACATTCGAGTTCTATGCAGCCAAATAGAAATTCGCCACAACCAAGTCCTATTCAATGCAACGGAACTTCACCACGGCCAAATTCATTTCCGTTAATTAAAAACTCACCGCGATTCAGTCCAATGCAACACAATGAAAACTCGCCACAACAAAATCTAATTCAGCAAAGCGGAAATGCACCACGGCCAGCTTCGTCACCAATGCAGTTAATTACAGTGCAGCAAAATGGAAATTCAACGCAGTCGCTTCCACTTCTGCAGAACGGAAATGTTCAGCAACCATCTCCAGCCCAGTATGAAGGGAATTTACCACAATTAATTCAACATAGTGGAAATTCGTCACAACCAATCCCAAAACAATCACAGCAAAATATAAGTCCACAGCATTCAGCTCAAGCCCAGTATGAAAAAATAGTACCTCAGCCAATGGAAGTTCAGCAAAATGTAAATTCACCACAATCACGACCAATGCAACATAATGGAAATTTACAGCAATCAACCCTACTTGAACAAAATGTAACTTCACCACAAGCACAACCAATGCAACATAATGGAAATGCACCATGGGCATACTTACTCCAGTCAAATGTAAATTCAAAACCACCAACTGTATTTCAACAAAATGTAAATCCATCTCAACCACAACCACCGGTCCAGCATAATGAAAAATTGCAACAATCGATTCAAGTTCAGCAAATCGAAACATCACAGACAAACGTCCAGCATGTCAAAGACATGTTCCAAGAATTACAACTTCAGCAAAGTGAAAGCTCGAAATTTGAAATGCCTTGCGAAAATACTTCTGCGTTCATCGATAATAATTTCAGTTTGCCCAAAACATGCACTATCTGTAATATGGAGTTCCGTAGTTTCGACGATCTACAAAATCACGTAATTTCGATGCATCTCGCTGATTCAGATATTTTTTCAGACTTATCTGGCTGTTATTGAGTAGGTTTCTTGATCGACCTAAAATTAATATTTCGGAAGTCGAGCCGTGTAAATATATGTTTCTCAAACAGTTGAGAATCATGTAATTGTACTTTACTTAATTATGTACAAAGATAAATTTGTATTGTATCGGTAATTTCAATATTACTCTTGATTCAGTAAAATAAATTTTATCAACGCTACTCTATCTAATGATTTTTAAATCGAGTCTCAACTGCATCGAGAAAAAAAATTCATTAATACTTTACCGTTCTGACTTTCCTCACTTTTATATCTATTAAAAACTTGTAAGTTGTCGGCTCGGCCTCTCGACGCTGGAAGTTGTGCGAGTGGCCGCGGAGAGTTTTCCCGACCCCCATTTATAAACTGCAACCCGCGAGGATAATTACGTGAAAATTCAGTTTGCCACTCGGCTCTCATAATTTTCTTGCGCTTCTCGTCGTCGTCGTCTCGTTGCTGTGTGTGATTCACCGTGGAGGCTCGAGAGCCTGTTAAAATTGCCCTCGAGTCGGAAAAGTTGCCACGCGATCGCTCTCGTTCAGAAGAGTTTTACGCCAGCTGTCCTCGACGTTAATAACAGAAATTCGACTTTCTGCTGATTGCCTCGAAGCGAAGTCCGCACAGCATCGAGGAGAATAAAAAAAAAAGTTGCGACCGATGATCCGAGGATCGAATTTCCAAGTGCAACGTAACAGAGCGTATTTCATTTATAAATCTTCTGCGGAAAATGAAGAGGGAGAGAAAAAAGTATCGGCGTGAGCATATTGCACGTAATCCTCTCGCGAGGAAAGGAAAAAGTCTCATCGATTATTCGATGCGCGTCTCTCGTACCGCCAACAATACACGCGCTCGCACAATGCGGCCAGGTACAACACACACGTAAGAGAAGCTCCTGGATTCTGTGCGGATACTATAGGCACGGAGACTAATCGAATTATCGTGCGCAGGTCTCTCTCCGTCTCTCTCTGAACTTAATTAGAGTTTGACTTCCTGAAAAGCTACCGTTGCTGCTGTGGCTGCTACCTGCCATGTGCTCTCGCGGGAGATATTTTCGTGCGCAAAGTCGAGACGGGCCTCTCTCTCGCTACGTAATGAGGGTACCTGCATGCATAAATGCATCGGCAGCAGCCAAGGCACCTATATGGTAATATCGGCTCTCGAGTTGTGCTCGTAAAGTTATATACACATAGAGAGAGATCGGTATTATAAGAGAACTTTGAGAGAACTGCCAGAAGACAGATTCTCCGTGGAACTGACAGATGAAAAGCGCCACACGAGCTTAGGGTATAGGCCGTATAGGAGAAGGTGATGAACGAGCCGAGATAAAACTGTAAATTGAGTAAGCTCCTAATATTTCGGTTGTCGTCGTTGCACAATACACCAGCACGATGCAGGGGGGCAGAGCAGCGCAGCGCAGCAAAAACTTGCGAAGCGGACAGTCAATTATCGCCCATCTATTATCTGTTTCAGTGTGCGTGTGCGTATACGCACGACCAATGAATATTTACAAGTCCCAGTACGAGAGGGTATATGAAATTAGCCGCGACCAATTATAATGCATTTATGCGCGAGAGAGTATATATAAGCTCGAGGTTTCGAGCAAAGGGAGTGAATTCTTCGAGCGCAGCAGGTACCTACTGCCACTACTGCATGTATTATATTATACACCTAAGCGCGCGCGCATGCGAGCAAAAAATTTATGTATATTCCTCCTTTCACTTGCAGATCGAGATATAGCTTACTCTTTAAATATATATTGCCTCGCGATGTTGCGGACTGTGCCGCGGCTGCATTTTAACTCGTTTCAGGCTCGCGAGTTTAGTTTAGTTTACCGTCCGTTCGAGTGAGAGAGAGAGAAAAAAAACTTGCGAAACGCGCCACAATGAGTTAACGACGATAAAGCAGTTTAAAATATTTTGCAATAGATATAAATATATCTAACGTCCATCTGTCAGCAGAAATTGAGCAAAGTTGGCGTGGAAACCCAAATTTTCGTATAACATCGGAAGCAAAAAACTTTTCCTCTTGTTTGTCGTTTTATATTGCGGGCGAGATTCCAAAAGACGCTAGAGAGAGAGAGAGAAGGGAGAATCAAATCGCGGTCGTTGTCCTATATATTTTATTACGTTCGAAAAGTTTTGTGAACCGTAATTTAACACAGACAATGGGCCGATGAATTAGAGTAGATTAATTTATGCACTGCGTCTCTTGGATCGACCGACGCGCGCAAACTTTGCGTTTGTTTTGAAACACGGCTCGATACGTATTATTCAAATTCCTCGTCACCTTATGATCCTCGAAAAACAGCTCGTGTAATTCCTTTGTGTTTAGTTCATTTTTTTGTTGTGTACGCGCTGATTATATACGACGCGATGAAGATCGGAACCTTTACTTTTGTCGCTTCTATATGTGCGTGAGTGAAAGGTGACGCGCTCAAATTTTTACTCGATTATTGTATAGGCAACGATACGATCAAAACTCGTACGCATGATTCAAGAATGATTCATTGGTCCACGAATCTTTGTACGTTTCTTCATTTTCGTCGTCATCGTCGTTGTTATTATCATTATTATGAATTATTTTATTTTTGCGAACTCGAACGCAGGCAATAAACTCGCCGTGCGAAAGGAGCCTTCGTTTCACGGAAAATGCAGAATTTCTATTTGAATCGATTTTGTGTGTGTGTGCGCGCGCGGCACACGATCGTCATAAGTATTGCAGCAACTGCTGCAGCTTTCTTATAACTGGCGCGCGCGCGCGGGAAAATTTCCCATTCAAAATTTAACTACTTTTCGCGCGATAATCTTTCATAAATCACGCGGGAGCACGGCAGAGAATATCGAATAGATTTTACCGATCGCACACGTAGATAATGTGAATAAATAAATTTTAAATACTTTCAAACAGTTTCTTATATCGCGATCAGCAAAGGAAAATCAATCTCTCTCTCGACGATATTGGAACGAGAATCATCTAACCCAATTCCATTGCGAAACGCATCCTTACGCGAATGCTCGACTCGTCGTCGATCGATCGGCTAATAAACAGCTCGTACATCGATTGTTTATAACACTTTAGAGAGCAACGCCATCATCGATTATACTCGCGCATTCGGCAGTTTTACGTCGTCGTAAATATATCATCGAAAATCGGTGTTGCTGTTGTTGCGCGCGGAGGGCGGAAGCGAATCGCTTTGATCTACGACTCGATAAACCGTAAATAATAACTCGGCTACACTTTTGCGCGACTTCGAAACGCGTTTCTCTGCAGGCGGATAACGATCGTCGCGAAAAAAAATTCCTATTATCGACTCCATTGCTTCGTTTTTCCAACTGCAACAGCAACGACGACGCGTTTGTATAATACTTTATACATATACGTGTATATAGCTGAGCAGCTGTGGCGCGAGAGGACAATGCGATTCGTAACGGTACTGCCTCCTCGTGGGTAGAAGTGTTGTTGTCCGCCTCTTACACACCGCAGCCGCTTCCAGGTCAGTTTCCAGGTCAGCCGGACAAACCTTTTAGATTTTTATATTTATTTTATATCAACGCAGACACAGCGGCCGCAACGCGCGCACGATGCTGCTGCGTGCTCGAGAGAGAAAGAGCCACGAAAGGGCGATAAGAATGCGGTTTATAATGTCTTTTTTTTTTTTGTTTGCCGTTGCCGCGACTCTCTGCGCGTTGTCCGGTTAATATAACACGCTTTCTTTTCACGCGCACACAAAGGAAATTGCGCTTCCGCTGCTTGTTGATCCTCTTCTCTCTCTCTCTCTCTGTCTTGTCTTTTCCTTCCTCTATCCGCGCGGAAAGAAGAGGTGCCAATGGCTATATTGTTTAGTTATATCGATATCGCTTACCGGTCGCGGGGGACAAACATTAGTTTTTTTTTCGCAAACGAAAATCATCTCTTCGAAACTCGAGAGACGGATAAATATTGGTACATAACGGCGCGAGTATAATTATCACTCGCGATTCCTGCTAAAACTTACTGCTACCTGCTACGAGGCTCGGAGCAGCGGCACGATGATAAGCACGCGACGAAAGAGAAAGTTGCTAGGCTCGGAAATCTTCTCTCTCTTTCTCGCGTGTCGAGTCATATTTATAATATAATACGTTATATTCTAGTTTGCGCCGCGTGTGTCTAGCGTTAAAACGAGCAGCCGCGCGCCAAAAACCGCGAGCTTCGTCGTAATCGATACACGTTTATTATCACGCAATACTCGCTCGCGTACGTCCAAGTTTATAAGTCAATTTTCGCGCATGGAAAAGCTCCGAAAAACATCGTGCTCCCCTATATTCGGATGACAGGCTAATGATCGACACACGAGAAGCGCGCGGCGTACTACGATGCGTCAGCTCGCAGCACCGAGACTTTCTCTCCCGCACTTGTGTGTATAGATGTGTGTGCGCGAAACCAATTATATACATCTCGTGCGCGCGTGTGTGTGTATATTATACCGTTGTACAGCATAGTGTATTATACACTGCTCGCGATGGACGCGTATATGTATAATTAAAAAGCCGTGCGCTATGCGCGCTCAGGATGACTTCGAGGAAAGTAAAGCGCAAACGGAAGAGCGAGAGAGAGATTAAAGAGCACATGTAGCTGCACAATAGGTGCGTGTGGGTGTGAGTTTTCCACGTGTCGTGTGCTGCAGCAGGTGCAGTACGCGAATTTCGTTCGGTTTTTTCGTGGAAAAAAATTGGGTGCGATCGTGGCACGGTTCATCGACTCGTTCGGTGTTGCGTACTTATTGATTTTTTTTTAAGAGAAAAAATGGGGTTGTAGTGGCAATTTTATTTTAAAGAAAAATGAAAAGAATGGAGGGTACAAGAAAATTAATGATTTATTTCGACTTTAACACTTATACAAAGCGATTTTAGATTACTGTTTTTATACAAATACATTCATAATCGATCCTATTTACAATTGTTCGAGCTATGCCCCGCAGCCGCCAAGGCTATATGACACAAATCTTTATTCGTCAGCTGGTCGATGATCATCTCGCACATCTCGATCGGCAGCCGATACCTTATCAGCTCCCAGAAAGGATCCAGCGCCCATCCGCGAAAGAATCCCCTCCACATGCTCTCGCACAGATGCAGAGCGCAAGCCTCTCGATGTCCCGCCGCGAGCTCGTACCAACGCGTCTCCTCGCGCGGAAACTCGAAGTAATCCTGG